GGCGAAATCCAAGAATCACCCAGAGCAACCCCTCTAAAGTCACACTTCACACTTCCACTTTGGATAGCTTGATATAGGGCCACGCCAAAGGCAGATGTCATCTTGCCTCCATAGGATTCACAAAAGATATAAAATGGCATTTGCTGGAAAACAGGTTGTTTTTCCAGGAAGGCTCTAAAAAGAGTAACAAGGTCATTTGCAATACCTGTTGGAAACAAAAGGGTACATTAAGACAAATGAAAATTTTCATTCTCTTTTATGCAAAATTTCTACACAAAAATAACAATCTGATTGCCTCAAAGGAATAAGGTTATCATAGAGGTTGGTCTGGGTGAAGGCCTAAGGAGTTAATTAATATCTGAACTGGGTTGTTCTGCCCCTCATGCTACTGCTGCTGCTGCTGCATAGCAATGGACCTTTTCTACACAAAACAAGTTATTTTAATTGTTTAATGGACAGTCTCCAATTGTTGCCATGTCAAAATGTGTTAACCCTTTCACTTGAGGTACAACTGAGCGTTTCACCACTGTCCTTGTCACATTTTGACATCTTTTGTAATCTTTTTGCAAACATACCCATATACTTTTTTTTAAGGATAAGAAAGCAAATTTTTTTTTAATGTTGATGTCATCTTTGCTCTGTCCTCCAAAACATCATAAGCAAGGACACATTAAAATGTGTAAGGACTCAGATTAATTCGTAATATGACTTGTAAAGGTGAAACTGAAAGAATGCCCTTAGCCAGCGAGCTGAACCAATCTTTACTTCGGAAACACCTCTTCTTTTAACAACATTCTAAGGAATCAAACTTAACCATTGAAAAAATTTGCTAATGTATGCAAAGTAATAGATTAAAATGTCAACTTCCCGTCACCCTCCACCACGCCACTCGAAAAAAAAATTAAATTGTCACAATGTAGTCACGAGATGGAAATTACAGTACTAAACGCTGAAAGTAGGAAGAATTCCTTTTGAATTTTGTTTTAACAAATTATTTCACTGTAAGATATTGAACTACGAGTATAACCCCAAAGCTATGAAGTTTTACACAGATCGATAAAGTGTAGAGCTATCCCGTATTAATAGCATGCATACCAGTCACATTCGTGGTGTAAGCACTTGGTTGGGTGACGTAACTAAACCCTGAGCCAACAGGATTATCGACGAATAAAACATTTGCAGCCTGAATCCAAGTAGTGTCGCGAGGTTTCAGCTCCACTGTGAGTGGACCAAGCTCTTCGAAATTTCCAAACCCTGTTGAGGAACCGCCTGGTCCTCCTTGAAGCCACATGATAAGTGGCTTGTTCACTCTTTCAGAAGAGTTGCTCGTTTGAGCTCCGTAGAGCCACCAAAACATATGTGCATTTTCTCGCACTTCCACGTAACCCCAAGTTTCGGTCGGAATTTCTTGAAAATAAGATTCAGCAGTTGAAGGAAAACTCCAAGTGCACATCAACATGAAAGTTATCACAGTAGAAATTCTGCCGCATTCCGCCATAATTGCGATCGCCGAAACAAATGACTTGATACCAAGCCTCATGCGTTATTATAATGAGGCAAAAGTCACGCAATCTTGGGCCGTGAACGTTACCTCCACATCCCATACCCCCCCGGCCCCTTTTCCTCTCTCTTTCTCTGTCTCGCTACCCCAATCCACTCATAATCACCAGCAGTCAAAGCACATCGTAATTCAGTCATCAATAAAAAATGGAGTTTGTAACAAGGAAAGCTCTAAAGGATAATAAAAACCTGATAATCTGACACCAGTTAAATTAGAGGCTGTTTGAGAAATATTTTCTCACATTAAGAGGAAACAAACTTTCCGGACAAAACTTCTTCACTGCTTTAATACAACAGAACACTTACAAGGATTTTGCCACAAAGGTATTTACTAATTTATTGATTCTTACACAAGTCTCGCAGCATTGTACAGGAAGAAGTATTGCCAATTGACAGTAGAAAGACTTCTAGGGTTTGGAATTTTTTTTTGCAGCAAGTGCAAGTTTACAGATAACCATTGAAAAAAATTGAAACCAGATTCATTTGACCCAGCAACATGATAACATACTCAGACTGTATCCTCATAAATAGAAACAGAAAAATACACTTTAATAGTTTCCATATGGTGATAAAACTGGACTGTCATATTCATAGGCTGGTGTCTTTCCATTTTTTTCCTTATCATTTTTAAAAGCTGTCTAATTTGTAAGAGACACTAGAGCCTCTACCACATCTCCTTTGTGCTCTCTTAGACTCCTTTCTGCAGCAGCTCTTGGTATTTCCATTTCCTCTACCTAGTAATAAAAGCAAGGTTTCATTTAGGATTAAAGTTCTCCCCTGCTGACAACATTTTGTGAACTGCTTCACCCCTAAGAGTGACTAGTATCTAATTTCTCCTTACAATATCACCCTGAATCACATGTTAAGGTCACAAGAATAAAGGAAATGATCACCAACTAAGGAAACCCTTGATTGTTAAACAAATTCTCCTTGTCAGCACCTTAGGAAATGTATAGAGAACAGTATGGAGAATATGGACACTGATGTTAGGGTGAAAAGGGCTGATGAATTCCTTGTGGAAAAAAAATTTATTACATCATACAGCTTAAGCTTGCCATAGCTGTGGGTTACTGATATACTACTAACAGTTGTATAAAGTTGTGGCTGGTGAAATTGAAGCAGAGGCAAAATTAAACACAAGAGCAGATTCATGTTGTCCAAATTAGAAGCATAACTCACAATCAAGTCAACATCTTCCTTTTTTATGACAATCCTAGCAAGTTCCTTCTCTCTGGAAGCAAAAAAAAAAAAAAAGAAGCAAAGCATAATGTTGTTAAACATGATAATTATACACAGTGAATTTATTGACCCCCAAAATGAGGTCTAGCAATGATGAGGAAAAGTGAAGTTTAGTTTTTATGAAGTCAAAATGAGTAATAGGCTGGCACCCAATACCAGCTTCTGGAAAGCTGTAATCTGGAGAGTCCCGAAAAATTTAAGGTACAGGGTGTACTGGACACCCTAACTCAGGAAAGCAGGAAGAAAAAGAATTGATAGGAAGACAACACAGCTGTCAAACATCTGCCATGCACAAACATTGTAGGGTGCTTTCAGCCTGTCCAACAGAGCCAAGTTGTCTTACAAGAATTATAAGCAACCACTCAAGCCAGTAAGTCTTGGTGTTTAAAAAGCATTTAACTTGTTTGAGAAAGCTCAAAACAAAATGTTAAATCAGGAGAAGACCCATACACAAAAAAGTTTTGTGTTCTGGAAGTCTTGAGTTTTGCTTTTCCTTACTCTTGTTTTTTCTTACAGATTTCTTTAAACATTTCAATTTGTCTCTGTATATTTTGCATGACAGCAGTTCTATCTAATGTTCTGCTTTGAGATTTTCTGCAGAAAATTGGTGTGTAGTCAGCACAATTTGATCGCAGTGTGCAGGTCCAAAATTTGACCACTGTTCAGGAAAACAAACATCCTCTGACCAAATATCTCATTTTCACTTTTTCTCTTAATTTTGTTCCAAATTTATCTTGGAAATTTGGCAAGTTATCAAGGGTACTAAAGGGTTCAGGATCTTCCAGAAATGGCACTTATCCAACATTCCTCATCCAAAGCTATCTAGGCTCTCCTTTCTGACAACAATCATGTATAATGTTACATAATGAGGTTTATGACTTAACCCTTTAACTCCCAAGATCTCATCAATAATTCTCCTTACTGTCTGCCAAATGATTCTCAGTATGTAATTTTGGAGAATTTTGAATTGGATCAATTAGTAATCCCATAATTGATATTTTTATTTATTCTCATCACTTGTCTGCATGATATTGTATAGATGTAGCAAGGAGAAATTCTTCCTTGGTCACTCACGGGAGTTTAAGGGTTAATTGTATATTCTTAGATTGATCAAATTTCCTGTGAGGTATACATGAATTATGATTTCTAATTTGCTAATTGTAATACATTATTTGGCCACAATACCTTCATCTCTCACCTTTGTAGCTTGGCAGCCTTTTCCTCCGAATATCTTCCTTCCACTAGACTAATAGCCTACGAGTAGAAAACAAAGACAAAACCAAAGATGGATTATTCAAAATAATGACAAAACAGCACTGATATATACTCAACTATACTACCGTTATCCTACTGGGACACAGCTTTGTACTAGAGGCAAATGACTGCAGCTAAAATCGACAAGATCTGGTGCATGCAGAGCCACCTAAATCCACATGTACTGCATTGTTGCATGCACTAGGCTATGGAGATCGAAGAATATAATGCTTCAGTCACTTCTGACGATGCAGAATTCTGGTGCATAGCTATTTTCGCCACATGTTCTCAATGTGGTACGCAAAATATCAATCAAGCTGTGAACTACCTGTCACGATATGAAAAACTGACCAAATAAGACTTGTAATTAGAAGAGCGAAATCTAGCTTGAAAAGGCGACCAAGTAAGTAATTTCACTTTAGATTTAAACCTCGATCTTTAACATCATAGTTGGAAAAGTACAGAGCTCACATTTTCTATGTCCGTTGTACTTATTTCTTTCTCTTCTGCATAATCTGTTACCCTCTCGAGGTCTGCGGACGTTTGTAAATCATGTCTTTTCGGCAAAGGTTGCTGAGAATTTTCCGCCATCTTGGAAATGTGATCGCACTGTCATGTGGACTTTGAGCAAATTTCCCACAGCAGGGAGGAGTGACAAAGGCTGATACATACAGGACTGAAATCATCAGGAAAAAGAAGGTTTCTATTTTGAAGTTTACATGAGAAATATGTGTTTCATCGATAAATTATATAAAAAAAACACTACCTACTGTGGTTCATTCTGCGTTTCACAGAAAAAAAATTTAGGATAAAAAGAAAGAAAAAAATTGTTCCTTATAGTTCTACCCCTCCCCACCCTTAAAGGGAGGCTATTTCCCTGGTACCCAGATCTCTTTCGAGCAAATTTTACTCATCATCAGTCACAACCGAGGTTATACTAAAACGGAAATGGCTTCGATCATTTCCATGTTCGTGCTCGTTGCTTTTCAGCTATCCATTCAAGCTGCGAAATCAGAACCACAGATACAAGATGAAGCTTGGGGTTATGTGGAAGTAAGACCAAATGCTCACATGTTCTGGTGGTTTTATGGAGCTCAGGTGAAAGATCCAGCAGAGAGAGTTCAAAAACCTCTGTTGATGTGGTTGCAGGGAGGTCCCGGGGCTTCCTCCACAGGTTATGGCAATTTCGCAGAGATCGGTCCCCTGGATATCGATCTCAAGCCGCGCAATACAACGTGGATAAAGGAAGCTAACATCGTATTTGTGGATAATCCTGTTGGTTGTGGATATAGTTATGTTACAGATCCATCGGCCCTCACCACGAACATCTCAGGTACGTAGGGACCTTCGTTTCGAAGTTGTTGGACACCTAGATCAGTTTTGAGTTTTTCGGTTTTGAGCCCCTCCCCTCAGCCCCCTCCTATTCCAGCCCCCTCCTATTCCATTTCCCCCTCCTCCCCCTTGGCCCCCTCCTCCCACTCAGCCCCCTCCTATTCCATTTCCCCCGCCTCCTCCTTGGCCCCCTTCTCCCCCTTAGCCTCCTCCTCCCCCTCAGCCCCCTCCTATTCCATTTCCCCCTCCTCCTTCTTAGCCCCCTCTTCCATAATGTGCAATACTGTTATTTTAAAGGACTAAATCCTTATCATTTGTCTTTTTAGAAATTACAGCTGACTTGATAACCTTCTTCAAAGCTTTTCTGCTCAAGTTCCCAATTTTCCAGAAGTTACCTTTTTTCATTGCTGGTGAGTCATATGGTGGTAAAATGGCTGCTGCTTTGGGTAAGGCCTTACATGTCTTGATTAAAGAAAAGAAGATTCAGTGTAATCTTATTGGGCTTGCCCTAGGAGACTCCTTGATATCGTTTGAAGACATAACACTCTCTTATGGACCATATCTATTTTCTTTTTCGCTGCTTGATGGGAAAGACTACAATGATGTCCAAGAATTGGCCAATGAAGTTTTCAATGCTGCCAGTAAAGGAGATTTCAAGACAGCTATGGATTTAACGGACAAAGGAAGCAACCTCATTGCTAATGTAACTGACAATGTTGATGTTTATTATGTGTTGCGTCATAATGTATTAGATTCTGTCAACACACATTCCCTTATCCACAAGAATACTTCCAGGCTGTCACATGATCAAATGTTTGCACAATACATAATAAGGGCCCACAGTGATCCTCTTTCTGAGCTCATGAATGGACCAATCAGAAAGAAGCTTGGTATTATACCAGAAAATGTTACATGGGGTGGTCAGTCAAATTTGGTGGCAAACTGTCAACGAAATGACATCCCATCATCAGTATTATCAGATGTGGGTGAACTTGTTAGGGGAGGGGTGAAAGTGACTGTGTATGAAGGTCAGCTTGATATGATCTGTGGGACACTTGGTGCAGAGTTGTGGATTTCGAAAATCAAGTGGGATGGCTTGTCAGAATTTTTGAAGGCATCTAGGAAACCATTGTATGCACCATCAAAATTGGAAAAGAGGGAAACTGGAGCTTTCTTGAAGAGCTATAAAAACTTTGGGCTTTATTACATTCTCAATGCTGGTCATATGGTTCCAATAGATGCCCCTGAAATGGCTTTGGAAATGATAAAAACTGTCCTGAACTAATGGTTATCTACCAAATGGCAAGAGTGTGTCCTGTATTGTGGCACAAATGACATTATAGTCTCTTGGAGACTTTGACCTTAAATAATCATAAAACTTGATTTCGATGTTTTAATACTTTATAATAATAATTATTTTATTTTAATCATTATTGTAACACTGCAAGGCAGTATTATTTTTTTTCCCTCTCTACATAAAGATCATGTCTCATATTTCTTTTTGTTTTGGCTCAGATTAAGGGAAGCCTTTTGAAACGTAGCTTTTCCAAATTTGTTACAACAAAAGTCGGTGAAAATCCCCTAACCTGGGTGTTTCGCATAGTCTCCTACGATGGACCTCTGTTTTTTTCAAAACTCAGCCATTTTGTCACCTTTTACTCATAGGATTGTTTATATTACTTCACTTTACAGAGAGAAATTTATAAGACTTGTAGAAGTGACTCTAAAAAGTAAATTGCGGACAGTGACGATTACGAGGTAACTTGTTAATGGACACAATTTTAGCGTGCAATAAAATTTATTGTATGGGCGTCCAAATTCCACCTGCAAGATCGTGTGTCAAGACATGGACGAGTTTTCTATGAAAAGAATATTGTAGGAAATTTTATTAATATAGTGTGACGTAGTTGTAGAGGCTACGTCATTCTTTTAAGGACAAAGAAGTAACCTGAGCGGTTTTGAAGTTGATGGTAGGTCACTCAAGAACAACGATAGAAGATATAGAAACCTCTCCTTGGAGGGAAAAGTTATGAAGTGTGATTTCAGAATCCAAGAATATACGTTTTCGGATAAAATCATTTGACAATGAAGTCTGTTCTAATTAACACGCACTAATGTCGAGTGAATTATTCATTAATCGAACAAAGCGAGGCATTTTAATTTTTATACTTTCACGACTTAAGGAGAAATGTCCATGAGTAACTTTTGGTAGTAGAAGAAAATCGTAATTTCATCATGTTGTACGAAACATTTAAACAATGCGCTCTGTTATTTGGCATTATAAAAAAGCATTCCCGGCAGCAAAATTTTACAATTAATCAACAGACATAATGTGACTGACACGAGCAGCGCTTGGTAACATAATTATTCTCACCAAGTCATTCTGTCACCATGGCATCTAACGGAGTACGTAAATAGTGTTAATAATTTAGCATTTTTGGGCCATTTCAAGTTTAACACCTGCTACCGCGAGAGGCGAAGTTGTTTTTGAGATCGATTCGAAAACTTTCAGCCTCACTAACTTAAAATAATGTTCCTGTTACTCTACCTTGTAGCAGTTTTATCTAATTGTGAGGTAAGAGGTATTTTATTTTTCTTATGATTAAATATTCTGGTTGATCTTTAAGGACCGCAATGGCGAAATTGTTTTCTTAAACAACCCTCCAATATGCTACGCAGAAGATGCGCTCGTATCAGCATTGCAATATTTTCTTGGCAATTCGCTTTGAGAACACTGATAACGTGTAAAAAATTATTTTAATGATTTACTTTTTATACAATGTCTTTATCATGGACGAGGTTAGTTAAAAATTTTCGGTTAAGTTATTAGTACTTGCAAATATTAGGTTGACATGTTCTAAGCTCTCACCGCCTTAAAAAATTAACGCTTAACTGTTTACCACAGCTATCTCGAAACTGTTGAAGGATATCATTTCTGGGTTTGCTTGCAGTTCGTATGAGTATATCGTTTAAAGGAAAAAAAGGAGAAATTAAAGGAAACTTTCTTAATTAAGTTCAAACTTAATATGAAACTCTGAACGAGTTCCTGAAAACGGTCTTCAGATTAATCTAACCCGACAGATGCACGTAAACTTGAGATACAATGTGTTTTTTTTTCGATATATTTGAGGTCAGATTAAAAAACTGACGATAGAAAATCGCCTTATTGCAAAACATCGGCGTCAAATTGGGTCAAACTTACCAGCAAGATTGGATCACAAGTTTTTGCTGAGAAAATAGCTTTGTTGACGAAAAGGACGACGTATTTTCCTTCCTTAGTAATCAATTTTTCGCAGTTGGTTGTGAATCTTAAATGTTTATCGTATATTTTGTTGATATGTAGCAAAACAAACCGTTCTGTGGAGGTGCTTGGTAAAAGAAGTTGTAGCAGAAATTAGACTGCTTTTTAATGCCCTTTTTTACAGTGACACACTTCTCCTCCGGTTTTCGTTTTTCGATTCCTTCGTTATTCATCTGTTTCCGGCGAAATACGCCGGGTAAACGGAGAAGGCTCATTCGCTTTATTTGTTGATTGAGAACTGAATGCACAGCAACTTCTTCGAGTTAGTTTTAAGAGGCGTCATCCAATAAAATGGCAAAAACAACTTTATTCAAACACCAAAATTAAGTCCTTCAGGACAGAAGGCGATTATATAATTTAGTAGGCAAAAGCGTGTTTTACACCAAAAGTCCTCAAGGGAGACTGCAGCTTTTGTAATTATTGCGAAAAAGGGACTTTGAAAGCAGGAAGTTTATTTAAAAACTGTTACGGAAGGCAACTTTACATCGTTTTGTCTTCATCTGGAGCCAAAAGTGTTTCGTGTTTGTAACCTTTTGTCAGAGAAATTCGGTTCTGGAAACCATTATCCTTCATAAAATATGCATACGACTCTAGAAATGTTCGGCAACTTTTACATATTAGCTGCACGCTCAACTTCTGTCGAAAGTATATCGCAGTCGTCAGACTTTGTCGTAGGATTAACAAATCTCTTCAGTTCAGTTGCATTTGTGTTGCCCCTCGAAAGTTCCCAGAGAGCGCATAAAGAGAACAAATAATTCTTGAGACCTCAACGAAATCAATACCACTTAATAATTCATGAAAGTCTTAAACTGTCAGGTTTAGTATTGAGCTCTTTGAAAATCGATATACAATGATTATCCAAGCAAGGAACTTAAAAAAATAAGCTGCTTTGATAAAATTTTTAGGCGAAAAAAAAAGCATTTTATTCTAAAATAACAGGAGTCATAAGAAGAACACGAACATATTTCGCCAAGTTTCGCAATAATTTTGAATTTTTTTTCGAAGGATTCTGAATCCCACCAGATTCCTCCAAGCTATTTTAATTTGTGCAGGTGAACAATTAAACTTTGTGCCTATCTAAGAAGCCTTTTTCAAAAAGGTGCTGTTATTTATTCATTTGTTAACTTATGATTCATTCTCTAATTGCAACTTAGACGCCCAGAACCGTGAAATGAAACCAAATTTACTTCAAGGCCGCAGTTATGCCCTTTAATTTGACGTCAAGAAAGTCCTAGCAAATTTTTTTGCGATTCGGCAGGCCAAAACAAAATTTTTTAGGGTATTGTGCACCTGCTTCAAGATGAATTTCATTCCAAAGAATTCCGCACAAAATTTCGACCTCAAATAAAATTTTGCTAACATCACATGTGGAATGCTATGATATATCTATGGAGATATTGAGGCATAGAAACATTTCATCAGGAATAGAAATTCGATTCCGAATTGAGCTCGTTTCTCCTTACCTATTAACGTATCAACTTCATTTAAAATCGCCTCATTTTGTCGCTCTTCCGTTTACAGGCCTCAGAATTTAAGTTCAGCCTCTCCAGGTCTACAGATTGGCAATATGTTGGCCGTCGTGTAAAGTACACACTTGAAATGACCATTCCAGAGACCACTCAATTGAAGACAAAAATCAAGTGTCCTTTCAACACCTCCGCCATTCTGCGACTAACAAAAACAGAAGTAACTGAGGTTAGCTCTCAGCTGACCGTCCCAAACACGTCCCCAAACCTCACTTCATCTGCAAATGATGGTCTTCACGATATTGCATTTTTTGAATTTGGCGAAGTCACTCGAGCAACTTATGAGAACGAAACCAAGATTAAGATTGAGTTTGAGATTCAGGTGATGGATCACCAGGAGATCGTGAACGGTGGCTTGCAGTGGGTTAGTGTTGGAACCGAGTACAAAAATCAATCTGTTTGGGCTGCCATGCTAGCAGTAAAGACTGTCAAACCAGCCTGCAAGAGACCTGATCTGAAAGTGACCCTATGGAGTGTTTCAAACTACCATACCGTTCGCTCTGGGTATGCATGTATTTTCTCTCGTAATTATTTTAAAGCAAATTACTCATTACAAGTTGAGGACTTTATTTTATTCGGAGAAAGGCATCAACGTGCCGACGCTAGGTTGGAAAATCCAATATTTACAGCAAAACGGCTTAGGTGCTTTACTGAAATGTTGTAAAAGCACCAAACCAAGAAATCGTCGAAAGATTCTTGAGGTAAAGATTACAAATTGCAGCTAACGTCGCTGTTTGATTTGTATCCATAATCAGTGACTACTTTGTGGAATGTTTCAATTACAGGCCAGAAAAACATTGATGAGTGCTTAGCAAGAGATTACAAACTCCTGATTCTCAGTTATTTCAAATTCGTAGCCCTTCAACTTTCTACTCAATAATTTCCACTCCGCACTAAATCTCAACTTTAACTGTCGTGATCTCAGTCGATGAGCTTTCTAAAATTGCCGCATGTATATTTAAATTTACCTGATCCCACTTTAAGGCTCTGTATGATCTCCCCCCCCCCCTCCTTCGCAGTCAATTTTTTATATTTTTCCTTCTTTATCGCCTGTTGGCTACTGTTGATTCCCCCTCCCTTCCCCCTGAAAAATCATATGATCCCCCTCAAAACTGCTTCCACCCCTCCCCCCTCTCCCCAGGCGATGAAAAATGACTGGTCCTTTACAGTACCTTGATTGACATGCTGTCCTTTTATTTTTTGTTAGAGACAAAATCAATCTCCGTGTGGATGTGGAGCACTCAGACGATACTACAGACCTGGTGGAGAATGGCAAATTACAACTACCCTTACCGCCTTTCCTTACCTACAATGATTTTACCAAATTCTCCAACTCTGTCAGTGTTGTTGCGCAATCTGATTCGCAGATGGTCTCATTCAAGGTAAGAAACTCATTTTTATCTATAAAAACATTTTAGCCCAAAATTAGGTTTTTGAAATACGACCACACAATTGTTAATCGGTGCCAACCTTGTTTTGTATTGTTTTCAGTTTGAGAAACTTGAATTTTACCAAAAAGTGTCACTGAGCATAAAATTAAACCTGGATCCCGGCAAAACAAGAGCTGACGGGAAAATCCACGACTGTACAGTGTACGTGAATCTTAAATACAATGGGTCAGCGGACACCTGTAGCTCGGCCTCAGGCTCCCGGGAGTTTTCTCACCAAGGGCCATCCTCAGCTTCATTCAAGTATTATGTGCAAAGTACGTATCAAGGTTACCAGCGCATCAACCAATGATTGTATTCAGTGGAAGATGATGTCGTTTGTGTCATCATTTATCAAACACATTGATGGCGAGATTTCTACCGCGTTATATTTAATGAGGGTGAAACCCAAATCGACAACCACGTGAAGAAATTGAGGACGAATTTATTCCTGTTTACAACCGTTCACTGTTAAGCAACTCACTTTTACACACTATCTAATCGCGAAATTGATAACGAGTGGCGTAGCCAATCCGATTGCAGTAATCGTGTAGAGCGCTGTTAGATTTATACCGAACGTGTATATTTTCCACTTGGATGGCACAATGGCGGCTTATTTCGATTATTTACTTTTCGTCATAGTCACGCGCCACCATTGGTTAGTATTTTTGTCTAACTTTTAACCCTTTGCATCCCAATATCAGTATTCAGATTCTCCAAACTCTCCTCAATACATGTCCTTTGGCACTGACAAGGAGAATTCGTTTAACAATCAAAGCTTCATAGCTTGTTGATCAATTCCTTTATTCTCATGATCCTAATGAATGATTCAGTAGTAAAACTGTAAGGAGAAATTAGATGCTAGTCAGTCTCATGGCTTAAAGGGTTAAACCAAACTTCTTTTTATATTTTAGAAGCCAAATGTGACGAAGCTCTTGGTTTGCAAGATAAGAGTATCACAGACTCTAAGATTACAGGTTCGTCCTATTCTTCTGGCGGTGAGCCTCACGAGGCCAGGTTGGATGGCAGTAAGGCGTGGATACCTAGTGGACAGTTGGCGTAAGTTGTAATAAAACAGCTTTCATCTTTGGGCGTGTATGGGTCATAAAATAACCGTATATACTCAGGCATTATATATACCGGGGGGGAGGGGGGGGGGCATGAAAACCTGAAAACCTTCTTTCGGCGTTTTTTTCTCGGGGTGGTATATGAGGTAGATTTAATAAAAGGAGTTCATTAAGGCAAATTGGGAAATTGCGATCTTAAAAAGACGCATTTAAACTTAAAATTTTCAAGATACGCAAATTTTCTGCTCGCATTTTGACTCCTTTCAAGCTCATAACAATACGTGATTTCTTTTACTTTGATTTCCATGATTGAAACGTAGAGTTACATTAGGTGATAACGTAACCCAGTTTTTCTGATTTTCTTTTTCATCATTACCTTAGGAAGGAAAAATCACAGTTTCTTCAAGTCGATTTCACAAAAGTAGCCAAGGTCTGCCGACTCACCACACAAGGTTTCAATGGCAGTTTCGTCACCAGACTTTCCCTTTTCTACAGCGATGATGGAGTCATTTGGAAACCATATAAAGAAGGAAGTAAGATCAAGGTAACGCGTAATTAGTCACGCCTCTCGATAAAAGCGCGACGAAGACTATTTTGGCCGAAAAGGACGAGGTAAAGAGTAAATATAAAGTATTTCAGCTGTTAATGTTTTCCTGCTACATATAACTTAGAGGCGTTTCATATGCCTGACGATGGTTTTTTTTAAAATTTGTTTTCTTTTTCTGTTTGCTTTTCAAGGAATTTGCGGCAAACACCAATGACGACTACACTCAGATTATTGTGCTTCAGATTTGTATCCAGGCTCGGTTTATCCGTATCAATCCTGTGGGGTGGTACAGCAGTATTGCTCTCAGGGTGGAGTTCTTCGGGTGCACGATTGGTCCTGCACCCTCCTCGGGTACGTCTCGATACGTTAGTACTTTTTGATATCTGAAACTGCAAGTCAGGAGAATGACAGGTCTAACGCTTGATATGTCAGCTCTTCAAGAATCGACTGACTGACTGACTGCCTGACTGGCTTGCCGCCTGGCTGGCTGACCGGCTGATTAACTGACTGACTGACTGATTTTCTGACTGGCTGGCTGACCGACTGACTAAGTGACTGACTGACTGACTGACTGACCGACTCACTAACTACCTGACTCTCTACCTTACTGATAGACTTACTGAATACTATCTAAAATAATAAATGGCTGACTGACTGATTGACCAACTTACTGACTATCGACTGACAGGCTGGCTAAAATCCGTAACATTCGTTTGTTTTGACTGACTGCCATAGTGATTTCTTGATTGACTCACGCGGTAATATCTTAACCAATGCGGCCCAGTAACTTAAGTGACACAATAACTTTCAATGATATTTTTTAGGTTCTTTGACATTCACAAGTCGCGGTTACTTGTTGGACAAGAGCTCTGACGTCATGTATGTTTGCAGCGTGCCAATGAAAGGGTAAGACCTTCTTGACAGTGAGTCACGCAACAAACAGACAAAGACATCCGTGACCAAGTAAAGTTTGATTGCTAAAGACGTGTGGCAGTGAAGAATATGAAAAACCCTTGAAATTTATACAATTGTTTTATTTTAATTTTGCAGAAGTAAAAGTGCACCAAATTGCTTTCGTAGTAAAGACAAAGGCAATTCTTGGACAGGTAAAATCATTGAGTCTTTCAAAAGCTTAGCTATGGCCACTGAAAAGGGTTTGTGGGGCGGGGGTGGGGGAGGGGGGGGGGAGGGAAATTGGTAAGAATGGTAGGAAAAACAACATGATACAACCAAATAACAAAATTAAAAAGTGGAAAATGGCGCGCATACGACAAAATCATATTAAGCGAGAAGCAGAGAGAAACATTTTAACTCAAACAGCTTATGGGTCTAGTAGAAACAGGATAGAAAGGAATAGCTACCTCCTGTTGGACGATGTGGTGCCTCCACACTCTTTTCCAGATCCTTGCTCGTTCTAAATGATCAAGACCCGGTACGGACTAATGACTAGCATCAAGCGACAAGACGTTTTAAATATGCTTTTATTTGATACACAATATACAGGCTTGGATAATCGTCTTCTTACTCTGGTTGGACATGACAAGGACGAGAATATTCTCTTTGGAGTGAGCAAGAACGGAAAAGCCATTCTGAAAAGCACCACAGACCATTTGGCTCGGTTCGTCGCCGTTCCTGAAGATGAATGGGTGAAAGCAAAAACTAAATCAAACACAGTTTTAACTAAAATGCTCGAGAATTCCTTGGCTATTGCTGACGCAAACATGAACCCACAATCTCCACACACAGTCACTGCGGACAACTCCGGCACTGAGTGGGGAGGTAAGTCAAAATTATTTTAGGTCATGTCTCTCCACTGAAGAGCGCACTGTGATAGAGTGTCGTGGAAGCCAAACTAAAGTCATCACATTGTCCAATCAGAGCAAAAAGAGTTATAGTAATGAGCCAATGAGAGATAAGAATTAAAACAGTCACACTGATTAAAGCGCGGGAAAACGCCCGAATGACCAGATCTTGATGGGTTTTCCTCCAAATATTATTGATGTGTGACGCTGGCCATAAGGATCGCAGCACGACATCGCATATAGCTGATGTTATTTTCTTGCTGCTGTGATCCTTGATATTGGCCATATCGGAATAGCCGACAATTTCTAATAATCATCCGACTCGGAAACTCGTCATTAAAGCTCCACGGGCGTACCTCTGGCCGGTGGGATTTAGGCGCAACCTTGTTATTGTCGGTGCTGTTGCTTCTGTAAGGGTGCCACAGATGATAAGTAATGGTGCTAACGAGAAGCTTCTTTCCTTTTACAGCTTCTGCTCAAGGCATTCATGTAAAAGAGAGCTCACAGTGGAAACTGAAAGCCATATGGATGTGTTCTGGTATGTAAGAGCTCGAAAACCTTCTTTTATTTTCAGTCATAGTTGTAAAGATCGGTAAGCAGCATCGATGTTATTTGATTTCGATCGGTAATAGCTACAGTTGCTCCAACGATAGCCTGAGAGCAATCCCTTCGTTACTAGCGCTGTAGGACGCGCGTTTCTCCGCCTGCGGGAAGATTTGAGACGAGTCGGGGATAGGTTTGGCGGGGGTCTGGCACTATCAGTGCCAGACCCCTTGCGGACTTCTCGCAAAGTCAAAAAAGGCTTCAACGCGGACAAAAATATTTTAATTTTGGGTTGACCGGCTATTCGAGTTATTGTGGCCATGGGTATTCGTCTATATTTATATGTTGTTCTTCCTTCTATGAAGGACTTCCTTGTTTTGAAAATATTTCAAATCAGTTTTTTTTTTATTTTTCATTTCAGAACTTGGTAATAAGTAAGCTGTTCATGCATCTCCCCTGGTGGGATAAAAACTATAACGAGGCTCAGTTGGTAATTTAATATTAATTTTTTTCCTAAAAGTGAGCCAGTTCGCAGTGAACTCTCTCATAAAAGCCACATTGCAACTATGTATCTACATTCGGTAACTTTTCATATTTTCAGCTTTACGTCTCCTGGACGTCATTGTAGTTAATACTTACTCGTGACAAAAATCATGTCGATAACCTATCAATTACCTTTACTACAGGTATTCTGTTCTAAGATTTTTTCACCAGTTAGATGTTTCACTCTTAGGAGTGACCAATTTGTAATTTCTCCTCACAATATTGATACGTGATCAAGCAAAAAGGTGCTGAGAATAAACGAAAAAATCACCAGTAAGTTAAGCACTAAATTCTCATAAACAATATCGTATGAAAGGTACAGAAGACAAAAAGGAGAATTTATATTGTAATCTTCTTAATGAAAGGTTTAGAAGATTGTAGGTTCTTTGATCAGCAACAGAAAAGCTGAAGTTTTCCTATTAGGAGGCAATTTTTGCGCAGCATGACAGAAAATACCTTTTTAAAGTTTATATTCCTTTACGCACTCAGATTTATAATTTTGGTTAAATATTATACGTGCGAAAATCGCGCGCGTTTGACTGGCTGAAAACGAGTGCATTTTTCATGTAACACTATTGCAAATAAGTAACACGAGTGCAAATAAGTAACACGAGTGCAAATAAGTAACACGAGTGCAAATAAGTAACACGAGTGCAAATAAGTAACACAAATGCAAATTACAAATGGCGCGCGCGCTGCCAAAATTTCGCCCGTCTTGACTTTGTGTTATGGGTTTTGCAATCAAATTATTAATAAGTAGCAACATGATTTCTCGATCGTACAATTTGTTGTAAATAAGCACTTATAAATTGTACTCTACGGGCTCGTTTAATTTTATTGTCTTTAAGAAATTTGCTCTTGTGTATTAACACCGAATTACACTCGAAATCATGTTGTCAGCTATACACATTTCATCACTTAGCCACCGACGAATTGTAGTTTTATAAATTGATAATTAAAACCGCTCTTTCACTTACTGTAACATAAGACTAAGACTCTATGCTAGTTTTTTTCAGATCTTAACTCTAGATGGTGATTATATTGTTATGCTAAACTCGTTTCACTTATAATTAAGAACCTGTGTTTAAAAACTTCAACGATGGTCTTTCACCTTGAAGACTAGCCTGCGTACCAGGCCTTTCCGTTTACTTTTATCCAATAGAAGGAAACTTGAGCCGCGCAGGGGCATGGGGCGAAAGTGAGCAAAACAGGTGACTGACACAGGAAGGGGTAGGGAAGAAAAAGAAAGGCTTGTTGCTGCTGAGCTCACAGATTTTACATCCTTCCGTTCTTCCGCGAACGGGAGGCAGTGGCATTACTTGTGAGGATGAAAGCTCGAACATAATCAGTCTTTTTAGTTAAAAGAAGAAGTACGGGCGAGGTTGAGCGATTATTGTGATGTATTTTTATCATTTAAATCACATATCTACATACTTTTTGTGTATGCGAGTGATTCTTCAAGTTTTAATACCATTTTTACGTTCTTTGTGTAACTTCCGTCATAAGAAATAAAGTGTTCCTTGTTAAAAAAGTTGTTTTCTTTTTTTTACCTGCATATAAGTAAGCCTTATTCTAAGCCTTCCATTCTAATCATTTCTTTACTGCTCGAAAGAAGGCGAAACGTAAAGAAAACACGACAACAGGCTCTGAGTTTTAAACATAGAAATTACTCCGGTAAGTGCAAATAAAACTCTTTTCAAAACTCAGGTCTTTATTTTGCTTTATTATTGAATTTTAGGCAATTAAACTTCTCAAGCATATTTTTCCCCCCTTTAACTCGGGTCAGTTTTAATTTATTCTCTGGAACAGATTTAACTACAGATATTATGTAGTTAATAATTCGTAGTTAATAATTCGTAGTTAATTATTCGTTGTTAATTATTCATGGTCAATTATTCGTAGTTAATTATTCGTGGTTAATTATTCGTAGTTAACTATTCGTGGTCAATTATTCGTTCTCAGTATCCTCAATGTCACTTAACATATCCAAACTTCCATCATCGAGGAAATCCAGTTCATCGGGAACGTCGTTGAGTTTTTCAAGGCTTTCTTTGATAGTTTCATCCAGTCCTGCAAGGTATCTGTCAAGATCGGTGCCGTCGCTATCCATTTCTTGTTTGATCTTTGCTACTTGTTCCTGCTCGTCGGTCTCGTGATTGACTGTAGGGAGCATTGCGTCATTGACTATGCAGTTTTCGCGCGCACGTCTTGCCACCATTTGCTCCTCTTCGAATTTTGCCGCTTCAACTTTCAGCCAATCCACGGCTTGTTCCTCTTCTTTTTTACTATAAAACGGAATGCAATCGTTTTCTTTGCCACGTGCGGCGTCTCTCTCTGCGCTGGTAAACACTCTATTGGCAAATCCGTGGTCAGCAGCAGCCTTACTGCTCGCGCTTGTTATGTTTGTTGCAGGAACGCGATCCATCTGCGCCATGTTAAATGCGTCTTTAAGATTTCTTGGCTGAAAGCTGAGTGATCCTGCATTTGCACGATCTCGTATCGTCTGAGGAGATACCGACATGTTGCCTCTGTCTGCCTGTAGACTATAAGGATGGTGATAGCCATAAGAATCAGTATTACAGGGTATCCCACTGGGGCTACCCGTTGTAATATATGCTAAGCGTCTTTTCGACGGTCTTGGCTGATAAACCCAATTTGGATGTTCATTTCGGTGTTTCTCTTTCAAGCGCGAAGCTTCGTCAAAATATGGTCGTTGCTGTTCCGTGGACAATTCATTCCATATCTCGCCGAGCTTGACGCTTATCTCCGCATTGTTTGCGTTCGGATATCGCTTCGCAATCGTCGATCTGTATAATCGCGCCCAGATCATAAACGCATTCATGGGCCTCTTGACTTTCGGCGAATTGTTCTGTTGCAACTGCGCTTGCAGGCTGTGGTACAAATGTGGCATGCGCAGAAAGGTTTGGCTCATCGGATCGACTGTGAATCCTTTGAAGCCGCCAGGACTGCTTTTTTGAGTTGATTCGGATGCTGATGATGAAATGTCCTCAGACTTTTGCACCGGAGACATTGGAGACGAAAATTCAGGTACTTTACATTTGTCATTCGGCGTTGAATGGCTAGGTAAGCCATTTTGCATCTGCGTAGACTTCTTCGGAGTGTTGATTTCGTTGCGTGCGTTTCCCTCCTCTCGCGATCTAGCGACATGAATTGAAGAGGTTTCCTTAATTGAAGCGTTGCGTTTTTCCTTTGATGTCGTCAAGTTAAGCATTATGTCCACAAAACTTTGTAAACAATGACCAAAAAATCGTAACAAAGTGTTTGTTTCGCAACAATGGAGTGTACCAAAATGAAAACAATCGAGGGGTCTGTTGACTTTATGGAAACCGTTACTTATTCACCATGGAAACTGGATAAAATGGTGACGTGCATGCGCAACGAATGCCTTGCGCGCGGGGAACAATGCCTTCAAAAGGAAAGCAGTTTTGTTGCGCGCGCAAGCAGCATCAATGGTCAGGAAGACACTAGTAGTTTGCAAATGCCAGCGTTTTTCAGATGATTTTTTTCTAAGATAAGCGTTTCTCAATTGCATTTTAAACTTTGCACTGCAACAAAAAAAATTTTAATTTCATTCGTGCATGATGCTTATAGAAAGAAAAAAAATCATCATATTTATTACACCTTCTTAGCGAAATGTGTTTTTAAAGTAACGGTTCCTTAAAATGACATTAGCTTAATCTGTATCTAAATATTAATGTGTTAATACAAAAGCAGCATCTTGCTGGAGCAAAACATGAACCATTGAAAAAAACATTTGATGGTTGCCAGTCTATTGTATTTAGAGACATAAGACTTTTTTGACAGATCAGTTATCAGCATTTTCGACCTTATAACATGCACATACTGAGAAAAAAAATGGAAAAAAGTGGTGAAATGCGTATTTGATATCAATTAACAATAAATAAATCGTATTTAGAGGAAGATATCTTTTTCAGTCACTGTTCCGCTCAAATTGGTATCGGGAATTTTGTTTCTGCGGAGAATGTAGTGTCGAAGAACCTTGGCAGTGAGGACGATAAAAAACCGTAAAGAAAAAACAACTAAATCAATTCATACGTGATGTTAGGTTCGGGAATTAAATTCAGGAGGAGTTGCGGGAAGCGAAGGCTCTTACCGTACCATTGCACCATCCGGCTGTTAACTGAGCCGCAACCTCATATAAAATCAGGAAAATTAAAATTCAGCGTTAAGATATTATTGAATATAAACTCTGAATAGAAATGAGCTCGTAGTTACGTCTACTACATGTTATAATGGAATACTACTTTAGATAAAACTATTAAAAATGGGTGAAAAACGATTTTGGGCTACTGCATATCACGTTAAGTACATTTACTCTGTAAGTTCAGTGCGTGGGTGGAAGGGGGGGGGGTCGCGTTCGACTAACGTTCCCCCCCTCCCCCTGCTCCACCACTGTATAACATTTACGGTGGATCTAAGTTCAAATGCTTTTCTTCTCGGTTACCCTCGAGCACAGTTCATTTTTTGATTTTCAATTTCATCTCAGTGCGTTTCAGAGAGTAGTAGTGGCCTCTGAAACCGTTCCATTCCACACCATCTGCATAAGACTTATGTGGACCCCCAAGGTACAATCCGTTCAGATTAGACGCATGACAGGCGACGTACCACCAGGCTCCCTTGTACATTTCGCTGCAGCTGCAACTGCAGTGATCATTGTCATGATCTTTCGTTGAAAACTGCGAATTGCTGAAATAATATAAAAACTCATCTTAGCGTGTTTCATATTTATTCAGGAAACTGTCTTCCGAAGAACATTATGCAACTTAGGAGGCAGTCATTATCCATCCCCTGGGTGGGAGGTGGAAGGGTTTTTTTTGGGGGGGGGGATCACATAGTTTCTAGCAGGAACTGAGGGGGGATCAGACGTCACCATCAGAGTATTAAGGGGGGACCTTATAGAAGATTGACTTCCAATTAACTGCCAATGAGGGGTGGGGGGGGACTCATATGAACATTGCAGAGCCTTATCGTGGAAATTAGGTAAATTTTATCGTGACACAACTACCCTCCCTCCCCCTTCCAGGGGATAAAGAGTGACGGGTCCCTTAGTGGGATTGTAGAAACCATACAAAAAAAAATTCAGATAGACAAGTAGACAGGCAAGAAAAATGTACAAACCGACAAAGATCTATCTAGAGGGAGATACTAACAGACAGACAGACAGAGCACCCAATAGACACCCAAACGAACAGAAGAGGAAGATGAAGACGATCATCCTTACTTGTGCCACAGCAGGGAGTCTCCCACTGTGCCACTGTATCCTCCAATCAAAAGCCTGTACTTGTCTGCTTCGTCTGCCACCTTAAAAGTGGTGTACTCTGCAAATCTGATGTTTCCTTCAAAATCTTCCAAGTCAACTCTCAACATGGCGTTACCGACGGCTGTTAAACGGTGAAGATTGTCGTTTCCAAGCCAGAACTCGCCGTTCAGATTTCCAAAGCCGTTTTCGTAGGATTTCCATTCAAGATAAAAATCAACAGAGCCGTCCAAACGTCTCTGAAAAACAGTCCAGCCTCCACCGGCCGTGGTCATGTCACACAACACTTGGAATGGTTTGCCGCCATCTGGATTGATGATGTACACGCCACTGGATTGAAAACCATCTCGGAAAAGCTGGCTGCAGCTTTTTGGGTCTATAGAAAACAAGAGAGAGAAATGATTGGAACTTATTCTCAGTAGCAAAATTAGCTCCATCCGACCTCTTTCTCATACCATTTAAAATAATTATATGAATTTTCAAACTTACTACAGGGTTTTCCTGTGTAGTTACGGTCACACTTGCACTGTACGCTGCCATCTTGATAGTTGGGAATGCAGACTCCTTTGAGACCACATTGGAAACTGTCCTCCTCACAAGAACTCTGTGGAAAATGTTTTGGGTCAATGTCATTATCAAAGCAACCGAGCACCTGCTACCCACCCCTTAACTCAACATTAACCCTGAACTGTTATCAGTTGACTGTTGTTAGTTTAGGGAAGGAGTAGGTGCGTCATTTTCTCAGATACTGACATTGATCCAACTTTTCATCGATTCACTTTACTGAAATCTGCAAATTGTTGCAATTCTGACCATAATACTGCCATTACTGTGACCTGGATAACCCACGCAAATTACCTAATGAGATCATAGGAAACAAAAAGGACTTTAACGAAATTCAGTTGTGCCAATCATTGCTTCGGGCCAATTAAAGCACGCTTAGATGACCGAGAATTTAGTTTTTCGGAGACGCCGAATCATCGTTACCTTCCGACTGGATGAACGTTTCACCAATAAAAAATTGAGGGAGCACCTACAAATTTCCCCTCTGTTAATCAAGTCTCTTAGTAATAAAGCAAAAACTGTTACTTAAATTGCAACCGTGCAAAACGACATGGCAAACGCCCGAGCCATTTAGAAAGCTAGTGAAGAGTGAGATGAAGTGACAACTTTGAACGCGAAGAGATTGGGGAAAGACTCTACGTTTGAACTTAGAAGTTAGGTGAACTGTTTTACCTTTGTAAACATTAATTTTTAATGAAGCGTCACCAGCAACTGAGGCTGTGTTTGTGTTTTGCACAAGTTTTGGGTTAACTCGATATTTTTCATATTTGCCAAGTAATTTCGATTCTGTTAATGAAGCATCTCGGTCTATGGGCAATTTTTGAGCTGACTTTTCACTGTTCTTCAATTACCAATCTTACATGATTATAAGTTTTACATTAGTTTTTCAAGATCAAGCTGTATCACTTCGGCCCTCCATTAGGAGTTTCAATTCCCACTAAAATGCTTATGTGAGATTCCTAAATGTCAACTATCGTGCCATCGGCAGATTTCTCCACGAACACACAGATGTTGACACGTCTAGCCGGTTTGCAAAATGCTTAAATATAACCTAAACTGAGGAATTTACGAAAATGATTAGATCAGTCCACCTGTACACCACAGTAACTAAAATCTTTATCCTCAGTGAAGTTGGCAACGCCAACAAATCGATCAGAATCGCTCAACTGACATTTGAACATCTTAGAGTTGCTTTTTGTAGTTCCAAAGTTGTAGGATAGACATCGCTCTTCACCCACACACTCAAACTGACAGGTCTTCTCCGAATCCACTTCTACTTCCCTGATCGGACTTCCGTTCAGCTTTCGTCCTGATATCGTTTTAGCGAAGCTAACAGCTTTAAGATCTGGCATTGAAATACGGCTTACACCATAAACAACTGTGCACACAAGACTAAGTACCAAAAAATGCATGTTCACTTGAACATGAACGGAGAAGTGAGATGGAACTATTCAAATTAAGTTAACAGGTGAGACAAGACAATTGAATTCTGAGCCCTCCTACGGAAATGTTAATTTTGTTTTGTAGTCACCTGCTGATTCACGCCTGTTAATAAATTATTGCCTCATCCCTCTCTTATACCGTTTTTCGTTGGTTACACTTGTTTTGTCTTTGTAGGCGCGCTGTTTTTGGCAAAACTCTTGAAAACTATACACCACCGTAAAGCTTAAAAGATCTAGAATACAAAAAAAAATCATTATCTTAACACATTTCATTAAATCATAACTGCGTGCAAGCCCTTAAACGCACGTTCACGACACTTGATAAATTGAATTATTTGCCTTCGTTTTCGCACGAACCAAATTAACTGCCACAGCCACTCAGTCGTTGACGGACTGAAAAAAAGTTATAGGCTTAATTTTCAGTATTTCCATTGGTTCTCGTGAACCAAAGCATTTACTTTCAATGTAATTCGGTGTTAACAACTGAACTAGCCCTTCGTCGCAACGATTGACGAAGGGCTAACGCTCGAAACGTCAGCCTTTTAACTTTTTACGGTAGCTAATTTAACGTTTTCAATTCAGTTTTTAACACTAAATTAACTCTTCCACCTACGCAGCACCACAGTTCCTTTAGAAACTTACCCCCTTTATTCATTAACTTTCAATGTTTGTTGATTCTTTCCCTAGCTACACTTTTGTAAAATTTATGAATTAGGACTTATTTAACCTCCTCACCCCTCCTCTCCTCCCAGAGGAATAGTCAAGTTATGAAAGGAAAGAAAAGTTTGCATTGTAAGACTGTCAAAGAAGGTGTAAGTTGTTTGAATGTGATTGGTTGATTTAAACTACAACTTTGAAAGTGATTGGCTTAGTAAACTGTCCGATAACATGTGTCTTTTCTTCAAGAGCAAGTTCTTCAAGCAAGCAAGTCAGCAAGTTGCTGATTATTCAAATCATTTAGATTCAATTATCCAGATTAAGGTGGGGGGGGGGTGATTAAAGATCTCAAGAACCAGTGTGTTTCACAATTTGTTCTTATTTAGGCTAAACGCTCTGGGAGGATTACTTGAATCGCTAAGTGTATTAGAAATTGTAAGAAACCGCTAAGCTCCGTGATTTTTTTTTTTTTTTTTTTTTTTTGTATATTATTGGCATTCTACTGAGTTACAAAAGTAATAAACGAGAAGTTACACGTACAAAAAAAAAAAAAAAATTGCCAAAAGGGAGTAACGAACGGGACGTGAGTACCCATGCAAGGAAACTCCCTACAGAATAAAAGGTTAAGGTATTAAGATTAAGGTATTTTCCACCAATTTGCACAGTTGTCCTCAAACAAAGCATTTTCTATCATCGTCATCCCATCCTTTTTGCCGTGTTACAAAATGTATTAAGGAGTTGATCGTGCGGAGTGCATGTTTCGCTATTCCACCTCGCCACAGTCGTTGGTGAGTCAGGCCGGCCCCTCATCGCCATAAAACACAAGTTGAGTCGTTTTATTGATTTTATGGGGGTTATGGGGCTTAACAACAACTGGCTTTTTATTACAGTCTCTAAATAACTACGAAAAAAAGATTCAGCTACGACCCCATCAGTCTATCCGGTGATTAATGGTTTCTGTATATCATTCGTGGCCCTTTGAGTTTGGGCCAGATTCCAAATACAGCCGTGCAAAGAGAAACCTCTAGTTTAAGCTTTAGTCACTCGAATCACATAGTTTGCGTAGGTACCTTACTGCGTTCATAAATGACCCGCATAAAAGCAGTCGCAGCATAAAACAATTGTCGCGTTACGCCAGATGATTTTGTCTACATGCGTAGTTTCACAGGTCAGTCACACAACGAAGATTTCTCCGTGTGGCGAAGCAAAACTTCTCGATTTTTTCATAGGCCCTGAATTTCTTCTTGATGGGTAGCTTCTAAAATAGATGAAAAATTGCTACCTTGTTGAGTCGAAATTGTCCCGATCTAGCGGTTGTTAGTTGTTTTGATGTGCCATAAATCATTCACTTCGTTAACTTTTCCAGTCTCCTAGCTCAGGTTGTTGTGCTGAGGTGTGTCTCTTCTGGTTGAAGAGCCAAAATATTATGATTAACTCTTTAACTCTCAAGATCTCGTCAGTAATTCTCCTTACTGTCTGCCAGACAGTTCTTGTGATGTTAGTTTGGAGAATTTAGTATTGGATCAACTTATAATTCCCTGACTGATATTTTTCTTTATTCTCATCGCTTGCCTGCTTGATATTGTATTGATATTGTAAGGGGATATTATGTCTTGGTCACTCACGGGAGTTTAAGGGTTAAACAAATTAAGGATGCGTTTACAGGTCTCAAGAACCAATGTGTTTTACTATTGTTTATATTTACGGGAGGATTGCCTTAATCGAGACTGAAAATAATGAAATAAAAAAAACAAAACAAAAAAGACCCTAAGGGTTGTCGTTAACAATCTGCTACGATTTTCTCGGTTATGAAATCCTAAGCCATTGGTCTCCCCTTGAAAGGCATATATTTTGTGATCATCCGTCTGAGAAAAACAACCAGCATTTCATGATACCATCGACTTTCGATTACTAAGTTTCTCCATACAATAATTATGAGGTCGATTTCTCAGAGTTTTGGACGGGTTTCAAATATGATGGTGCGAGAAATAACCTCAAGCTTTGATCTTTATAATCATATAGTTTCTGTGGGTCGCTAATTGTGTACAGCTGTGCTCATTTATGACTCGCGTGTAAGTAGCCGTGGCAGTCAGACAAATTGTCGTGACATCACGCACCTTTGAAAAGCCTGGACTGTTATGTCACGCGAGTTGATCGTTTTTCCTTATTCAGTCACGCAACGAAGATTACCTAGCGGGGCGAAGCCAACTTACATTTCTAAATCACCTTATAGTCCTTGAATTTCTATTTCTTTCGTTGGTTTCAAAATGTCTGAAACCTTATCATTTTGTTGAGTCGACATTGTTTAGATCTAGGGGGAAATGAATTGTAATAATACTCGTTGTTCAACTTGTTCACAAGTTTAGACATCAGTTCTCATTTTCAGTTTTCTATTTTCATATTTTAATGCACGTGCGCGGGAGTTTTCTGGAAACTCCAGATTTCTCTCACAATTAAAGAGCTTTTATTCTCTATGCCAAAATACTTGTCAGCTTCGCCTTTATGGCACCATTCATTTCGTTTTTTTTTTTTTTCTTTGTCTTCTCAGACCGAGAGCATTCGATATAGCTTGTATAGCTTGGCAGATTTTAAAAAAACAAGGGCTTGTATTATAGACGAATTGCACTACTACCTTTGAAGCTTTGTTACAAAAGGCGGTTTGTTTGCTTACCTCTTTATTTTTGTTTAGTTTGGTCTTGTGTTTCTTTTGTAGAGTTTATTACATTAACATTGCAAATATGTGACTTATTGGAGAGACTGTGCTTAAGCTCAGGGCCAAATCTTAAGAGGATCTTGACATTTGTCTCTAGATGTAGTAAAATATTGGAATAAATTTGAAGGTCCTCTGGTTCAATTGTGATTTAATTCTGTCACGTGTGGTAATTTAGCGATCTTTTGTGTAAGTGGCTAAAATTAGCAAAGATTACATGCCGCGCGGAACACTTTCGACGCGAAAATTGATGGACAAGAGATCTTTTTGTTGGAGTGGTTCTAATTATAATCTAATCCCTATGGACTTCTGCTGTGGCAATGGTTGGTGCAGTTTTTATTTATCCAAGCGAAGATGAAAGATAAGAAGTCTTTGCGAACAAGAGAAGGCGGTGAGTTTGAGAGAAACTTGTTGAAACGCTATACAGTGCCATTGTGTGATATATAATGTTCATTTGTTTGGCAATTTAGTGCATTCTTTCTGGGCTTAACTTTGGAGTTTGGATTGTCACGTTAAAGAAATGTTTCCTGTCGTATTACGGCGGCTTTTAACCGATGGACATTTCCGCACAGTAAATAATTCGAAAATAAGACCTCGCTACTGTCGACCACCCGGACGTTGACGCGCCTGCATCAGTCGACATTTTCTTTGTGTGACCACTTTTAAAACTGTTATGTTCGCTTTTTACTATAGAATCTGATAGGATTCGTGTCTACGTTCGAGTGCGACCCAGAACAGCTGAGGAAGCAAGGCGACGAGAAGATCCAGGTGTTGAATCCGATAACTTTGAGGTGAGTATAAAGTACTGTTAAATTTTCCTGAAGTGTAAATGAATTTTGTGGTCATGACTCATTTGCTCTCTACGCTTGTCAAATTACTTTCTTCTCCGTTCAAATTCAATATTGCATTTCCTTGCAGATTTTAATGACGTCTGTAACATTTGATATTTGATGTACGATATTTATCAGTGCACTTCCGAGAGGCCTGAATATTTGTTCTAGAAAATTCATTTTCGAAATGATAATGACCTGAACGTAGTTCTATGTTTTGATTCAACTCCTTTTTACTCTTGCTTAAACAAGAAGAGCAATTCTGTTTTTCCGTGTGAGGTTGTGTTACAATATCGGTTACAAGAACCTATTAAGAAAACTCGAGAAAAGTACTCGATACGATATAGTGATAGTGATATTACTAAGGCGACTTTCAAGTTTAACTTGTTTGTATCTCTCAACTATTTCTGAGTTTAATCAAAACCTTATTATATTTGAGTGTATGTGAATAATTACTACATAAAGTCATTCAGAATTTCATTAAAAGATCTTATCTTGGAGATAACAATTAAATCTCAAATATTACTTAACAACAGCATATCCTAAACGGCCATCAAAGCATACCGTTTTTATGAAGTCCGAGCTTTCTTATTATATCACATGTTATTTTTATTTATCAATGTATTAAGAGCAATAAACTTAAGAACTCCCTTATAATGGAAGATAGGCTTTACCAGATATGTGGAGTTTCAGCATGAATGCATATTTATTAAAATCCTCATTCATGTTTTGTGATGAGTAAAAAATATCTCCTCAGAAACCCAAAGAATTAAAAATATGAAGTGTTTTTTGTATATCTTAAAACCACAGAATGCAATTGACAAACTTTTAATATAACTTTTAGATATTCTTTGTTTTCTTGGCAGGGATAATCAAAAAATAAAAGTAGTCATTTATCTGTAGATATGTGTGGGTATTTATAAGAAATTGACCAACATATTCACAAAAAAAAATTTAGATTTCTGATTAAAATTTATAAAATTATATTAAGAAACAAATCAATCAAAAATTACTATCATTAGCTTCCTTTTTAAGGAGTTATTGTTAATTATTTCTCTGTTCAAATAAGAAAATTTGTGGTTCTCAACAGCTGATCCCAAACACATTTTGCAAATAGAAGGTTTCTGATGTATAATGGGTGAATTTAATTCAAAACATCCATGCTCTGTTTGGAGTTTATTACAAACATTTGAATGTTTACCTGTGATGAGAGCCAGACCACAAAACAGTGGGTCAATAACAAACTATTGAAAAAACTTAGGTGTTTGTCATATATGATTAAGCTGAATGCTGTTTAATTTTACCCCCCATAAATGAGAGAAGCCATGTGGATCAATTCATTGTGTTGCCTCACTATAATTATATTGCATGACTTTTTCAAAGAGAGCCCTTGAAACAAAAAACTCACTAGAATCTTCTTCATAGGCAGACAGCTGGCATCAGTTTTTTTGTTTGTTTTGTATGTTACAAAGTCACAAAGCTTAAATTTGAATGTGAAAGCTGAATATTTAGTGTGGGAAAAAGAAGCCATAAGATGTGGGCACACATGTAACCAGCTATAATAAATGTATTAGTCTTGCATGACCATTTTCAAATTGGAAATGAATGATGCTGGAGCCATTATGTGATTTGAGGGTAATATGCACATATGTAATGATTCAACCTTTGAGCTTCATGGCCATACAACAGCATTCTCAGGTGAAAAAATTGTTATTTTCAGCAATCAAGTCACTGAACTTGTCATGATCTTTAAGTCAAATTGTGTTGCTAATGATTAATCACATCTTCCTTAACTTTTTTAAAATTAATGACTATCAATTATTTTCTAGTTTTAATCTGTGACAGAAAACATTTCCTATATCATCTTGAGTGGAGGAATTATTCTTTGCAGGTTTCACTGAATGATGCAAGAGAGAGAAGATACAGATTTGATCGCATCTTTCCTGGCCAGACAACCAACAGAGAGGTGTGCTGGGCATATTAAATTGTTATTTTATACCATGAATCATATAACCCACATTCAAATGCCTTTGTGAAACACCTTAGATGGGGCAGCACGCTCCCCCCCCCAACTACCCTGTGATCAGGCACCCTTTGGTAGGGTTAGGAAGGGACTGGTGCAAGAGCAAAGTGGCAGGAGGGGGGAGGGGAGACTGGTGGGAATGGAAGTAGCTTATCATTCCTGCCTTCCTACTCACCCCTTTTTCCTTATCCCTTTTCTTCTCCCCCCTTTCCTCTAGGCCCCATCATCAACTGGAGTGCCTGCTAGCACACAATAAGTAGATTTGAAGTCAAGGTCTTATACAGAGTCACATATTCAAACCTTTCATTTTTGACCTAGCCTTACATGTACAGTGAATATTCTTCAATTAATAATTGCAACTTCTATGGGCATTTGCAGGTCTACAACACAGTCGGCAGACCACTGCTTGATGCTGTGTTTTCAGGCTTCAATGGAACTCTCATGGCATATGGCCAGACTGGAACAGGTCAGTGGAACATTTTCCAGTAATTACATGGGACCTAATTCTGGAATGTCCTGCCAACTTTATGAGCTCATGGAGCTATCTTTTAAAATCCATATCTAAGAGCTTACTTTAATTGTAGGGAAGACCCACACCCTGATGTCAAAAGATGGCATCTGTGCACTTGTGGCAGAAAAGTTATTTAAGAGGATCCATTCAGACAAGCATCATGACTACAAGGTAAGTGATAGCTGATAAATTTGTAATGCAGATAAGTAACAATTTGAGTACTCTTAGGTAGAGGAAAGGTGGGAGATATGGTGGCCCAATTTTTTGTTGCCCTAGACTGTTGTGTTCTTGGGAAAAACACTCAACAATGCCTCGCTCTACCCTGGAGATTAAATGGGTTCTGGAAAATTATTAGGGAAGCCTGATGAAATGCTGGATCTTAACCTTGGAATGGACTTGCATCCCATCCAGGGGGGAGTAGCATACTCTGAGTCACTTCATGCTGTGGAAACCTGGATAAGCTCCTGCTGCATGCATGGTCAACTTGGCTTCGAGTACAGACTTTAGTGAGAGTAAATGGAAGGGCTTAGGTCAGAATATTCCGAGTCTTTTATGTGGCATCCCAAGAAATTGCTTTATGCTTGAAATGACTTAGCTCACTTTACTTAAGATGTAGGAGTGAGAGATGATGTTTGGAAATGGAGAAATTTAATCTTACATTGCACACAGCAAACGTCAATAATTTAGGCAGTTATTCATGCGGCTCGGCCTCTTTATGCCGCTTTAAATTGCCCTTCAGTTATTTTCAGACTTCAGTAAGGTATCTTATTCCCCTCTTGAAGTCTCCGTCTACAAGTGGTTCGGGAAAACTTTTGCACTTTGTATGCAAACACTAGTGGGTGACATAACTTGGGAGGGGAGGGGGAAAACAGTGCTTTTAGCTTCTCTTACGTACAGTGTGGGTTTTAACCTGAAGCTTGTTTGACAGTTATTGTTGCGATTTTGAACTGTTCCTTTGTAGGTCTGCATGTCTTACCTTCAGATCTATCAAGAGAAGATTTACGATCTGTTGAACGCTAATTCCAAACTTGAGCTAGTGCTCAGAGAAGATCCGACAAGAGGTAAAGATTTATTTTAAACAGGAGCAAGTTACATGTAAAACGCGTACCTTCTTTTCACTCCGCTGAGGACGTTGGTTGACCTCGACGAAATTGGCCTCAGAAATGAGTTCTCATAGATAAGGTTAATTCTGATCAGCTCAATACCTCAGCTGAGTCTTTTTGAACTCCTCTACACGGTTCAGGCCGAACCTTCGGTGCTCAGGAGGCAGCCAGAAGCGATCGGGAAAGAGTGAGTGACTCTTTACGTCCTAGTCTCCCTGAATAGAGCATGTTGATCCATGTTTTGTTCAAAGTTGCCTGGCTGTTGTGAATGCTTGGCCGCTTTAGGCTTTTAGTCATATAATCATTTGTAAAGCCAGTGTTGTGTTTAAAATGTTTTTCAGGTGTGTATGTAGATAATCTGTCGGAGTATGTCGTTAGGGATACTGCTGAAGTTCTCTCCTTGCTGAAGCAGGGGAGAAAGAAGCTCATCTTTGCTGAAACGCGAATGAACCGCGTCTCAAGTAGGTTAGTTTTGCCAATAATTCAGTCCCAGACTAATCCGTGTCGCTGAAATCATGAGTGCGCTACGCAACGAAAAATTACGCCTTACGTGAGCACGGGCAATTTCCTGCTGCGAAAACTTACAGTACTCACACTGAATATGCTAAAATTACTCACTGCGTAAACATACATGCTACTTAGAATTACCCCCGGCCTTCAAGCCGCCAAAAGGGGAAAAAGGTCGTATATTATGCGTCGCGCAAAATTGTGCAGCTTGCAAATTGAGGGTACATTATGTTACGTTAGGAGTCACGTAAAATTGGTGGCTTGATGGAATTGAAGACGCTGAGTGCACCACTATTGCACGTGCACGTGATTGTTCATAGTGAATTGCAGTTCTAACTCTTCCTTACAAGGTTAACTTTATAAGAAGTCATCATTCATCCTATAATTTTGTTTTCGTTTCACTGTAGATCTCACTCAGTTTGTCAGATAACTGTGGAAAGAACGCGCGCTAAAGACGGCAACAAAGCAGGAGCAGAAGGTGAGTTAGCGGGAAATTTCTCAGGAAATAGGCTCGATTTTGTCTCCAAACCCGCTTCACCATAAAACATTAACCTTCACCTAGAAAATCCTTCCAATGTTGACGAAAAATCTGCTGCCCTCCTAGATATATGTTCAGTTGTGCGAACACTCTTGTTCGTGATGAGTAAGTTCATTGCACAGAAAAAAACTTTAAGCCACGGGAAACTTCCATCCTGAAAGTAATAAACCAATCGGGACTTGCCCAAGTTGGTGACACTTAGGCTATGATTAGGTATTTTTGGTGAGTACTGCTTGTACATATAAATTCCCTCTATGATTCTCCACACAGAATTCGAACTTACACTTCAAGAAAAATAATGGAGCAACCCTTAACTGACATTTATGTGTTCTCGTTACCAGGTTTTTCCAGCGAGAGTAGCCTCCTGTCTCCTTCCTCCGCCATGAGACCCCCGTCACGGAAGGGTGTACGATCCACCGGCAGCTTAGACCGACTTCGCGAAGAAACCAAACCTCGTGACTTCAGCGCACCTTTAAAGAAAACGTCTGCAAAGCAACAGAGCTTCATCCCGCACAGAACCTCTACTCCAGCCTCCAAACGTAGTCTGTCGCGCAATAACGATTACAGACACAGCTTTCATTTGTCGTCACTTCCAGAAATGACGGTCACGCCTGATCAGCCGAACCGCTGGTCTATAGGGGACATGACTAGTAGTTTGACGGGCTTAGGGGGGTCTTTGCCATTCTCGTCGAGTGCTTCCCAAGGGAGTGATCTGCAACGTTCTATGGAATCTGAACTGGAAAGCAGTACTGAAAGTGAAGGTTGGCCGGTAAGGCTGATTTCTATTCAACACGATTTTCTTGGAACACGAGAGAAATGACGCTTTTCCTTTTGATTAGTTTTACTGCTTGCTTATTTATTAGTTTGTGTGCCTTTCATAGTCTCTTCAGATATATATCGTTTTGCAAACTGTTTTCTTTTTTGTACGAGCGATACCACGAAGGGGTTCCACAATCTAGACCCCTCAGCCAAACTCCCATGGAACCGGTCATTATTATTATATCACCGGAAGGGGGTTACCTGATCTCAGCCCGTAAGACTCTGAGGTGTTCTAGTGTTACCCCCTCATTGGTAGTCAATTTCCTACAGTTGCCCCTTCATACTCTACCAGCGACGACTGATCCAACCTCCGTTCCCCCTGAAAACCATGTGATCCCTAAAAAAAAGTCTGACCCCGTGATAGATAATGAATGGTTTCTAAGCCTGACTCATATATTTGCTCCTTGTTTCCTCCTTCTTTAGTCGATAAAGACTAATCGATGTTTCTTCTTTCAGAGCACTCCTAGCAGTCCTGATATTCCAGAATATAGCTTAGGAGAGGTGAGTATTATCAGCTGTTCAGTCATTCTCACAAGCCAAGCCAAGTAACCCATCCCCACTGGAGCAAATCTTGTTCCTAATACATGAAGTAACGAGGAGTATTCGTAGTCGTATTAGATGAAAGTCCAACAAGATAGCCTTCCTCCCTCCCCCTTATCAATTTGTCAAGTATCACGGAAATTTCTCTCGTAGCCATGTATGCTCATGTGTAGAGAAAGTCACTGCGAGAGTCTGTGAAAGCGTCTTGATCAAGAACATGACAAAGTGAAAGCCTTCCAAAAAACCATGACTGTTATTTGAATTCAGGAAGATGACGACGACGATGAATCATTTTTGGAAGGAATCAGGATACGCGATGATGTGCTGATCGCAGGAAGAATTAACATGTAAGAACATGCTACCAGCATTTGAGGACCGCACAACTGTTTGTTTTTTACAGTTGGAAAATATAACCTTTGAGAGATTCGTGACTTTGCTGTAGGAACATTCTTGCTGAGAAAAGGCTCACCAACAGCAACAGCGAGCAACAGCTTTACTTGAGCTTTATATGATATGATACGATATGATATGATATACCAAGCTGATGTTGCACAAGATAATTTGGTTCTAGCAGCTGAGTTGATATGGTGAATTGGGCATCGTAATTTAAGAGTTTCTTGTAAGGTGACGTTTCTAGAATAAGCCCTTCGTCAGAGCGAATAGGTGAAGGGCTGTAACGTTCAAAACATCAGCATAAGAAACTCTTTACGGTGGCCAAGTTATGTTATCAACTCAGTTTATAAAATCAAATTGTCTTGAAACACCCCCCACCGACGCAGCACCACAATTTTTCTAGAAAATTATTCCCGTTATACATGAGAGTTCCTCTTAAGCAAAGTTGAGCCTGGATCTCAAAAACGTTTTAAATGGAATAGAAAACCGTTATGCCGGACCAAATGCAATGGCGGAAAACAACAACGTACTGCTTGCTTCAGCTAAAAGGAATCAGCGAAGTTGTTTTATATACACTACTTGACGCGGTTAAAATTGCTTTGATGTCTTTTAGATGCGACCTCGCAGGAAGTGAAAGAGTTAAAAAAGCTGGTGTGGAAGGAGAGAGACTCGCTGAGCTACAGCACGTGAACTTGTCCCTTTTAGAATTAGGGTGAGTTGCTTTAGCTTGTGCTCGCCAAGTGACCCATCTTGCTCGGAGCTTATCCCAGTTTTCATTTCCTGATCTTTTTTTTTAATCTAGCAACACAATTCACGCCCTGTCAGAAGGGAAAAGAACACATATACCCTATAGAAACTCCTCGCTGACTCGACTGTTACAAGACAGCCTTGGTGGGAATTGTAAAACAAGTTTTGTGGTAAGGTTCTTAAATAAAAATCCCAGAAATCATACCGACTATGAAAAAATTAATACCATAAGATATGTGGAAAGATTGAGAGAAAACGTCTGTTCATTATTTTGTTCCTAAATTTAATTAAACCCTTTGCTTTCTGTACATAACAGCCCATTGTTCAGAAAGCCTTTTGCCCTTTACATTTGCTTAAAGTGCGTCATACTAATTTCTAGTTAGCTGGGTGGCGACAATCTCACCGAAATTCCTGATTTTGTTGGTGCATTTTTGGGCGCACACCTACAGTGAAATGGATAATAGAGAATTTTACTTACTACAGACATTATTTGATTGAGGATTGCAAACAGAGCTCGCTACATGCCCGTCAAGCATGACTGACTGTTTGTCAATCCAATCAGCTCGAGAAGAGTATGGGCATGATCAAAGACTCGAGTTCTGTCATTATTCCCACCCTTGAGAAGAAACTTATTTTCCTTTGCAGCAGCTGTTTTCTTTTTAGCTTAGAGTAGTGAACCTGTCTGAGTTTAATCCTTTAAATCCCAGATCCAATTTTGTAATTCTCCTTACTGACAACCGTACAATTCCTATGTTTGTTCAGAGAATTTTGTATTGGATCAACTAATTATCCCTAAATTGATATTTTTCTTCATTCTCATCACATATGTAGTTGATATTGTATTGATATTGTAAGGAGAAATTCTCTCTTGGTCACTCATGGGAGTTAAAGGGTTAAATGTTTTCAAGCCGCTTATCTAAAGTCAATTAAAATTTAAATTTTCGAGATATCCAGTGCAAAACAATGATTCATTAGTCAAGAGAAGATCTTTTTGTTCTTGGGGTGGAGCTTAAGCTCTCTTAAAAGTCTCGCGGGAGTTTGGAAGAGGTTAATTTGGAACGCCAAGGTTCAAAGCTGGTTTGTATTTTTGGCTAAGTTGTTAGTCTCTTTGGCGAACCTTTGGTCGGCGGGTAAGTGAAACTAAAAATGAAACCTGGTTGATTATTGACTAGACACTGGATAGTAGTAGATGAAACGTCGTAAATTTTAAAAATCTGAGATTTTGCGATCTATAGTAAGCGCATTCTTGAGGCCTTTGTTTTAGGCTTTTCAGATTTCTGTTCAGGCGACCGGACACTCGAAGCGTTTGCTTTCCAGAATTGTTCACGATGATCCACAAACCATCTACTTTCCTCGATTTCTAGCCAATAATCAACTAAGTATTTGTTCCGCTTGTTACAGACATGTAAAAAGTTCTCTTTTCTTTGTTACAGATGTGTATCTCGCCGTCTCTAAGAGACGTCAACGAGACTCGATGCACACTTGACTTTGGTCAGCGGGCGCTCAAGATTACCACAACAGCATATGTAAACATTGAGGTGAGAGGAACCACATCATGTCTGTTGCCTGAAGAAATATAAAGAAAGGCAAGACGTCATAAGCGAAAACTGGACAATAATGAAGGAAAAATAAATACAGCAAATCATAAAATTTCCTTCGTCCTTAAGAGGGTATTTCTGTTTCTCTTTAGGGATGCAAAATAGTGTAACTCATTTTTTTTCCAATAGTTCACCATGTGCTTCTATTTTGCAAATAAGGCACCAGAACTCTCGGCACAATAGAATCACAGCATGAGATATTCCTTCCTTACAGCGAATTCTTTTTATCTAAAAACGTTGCCAAGCATGCCATTTTGCTGCAACCGTGAGTTTGGGATCGATTCCCCTTTCATGCTCGCACGCCATTTGCACGAGGCGACGTTTATTTACAAATTGTGGTGGCCATCTGTAAACGGTCTGTTTTTTCGTATTTTTAAATACAAAAATGCGAAAAAGTAAATCATTAATTGATGTCTTGTGTCTTTCGTGACGAATTTGTTAAAGAAGGGTTATTTGACTTGTTCAAAATGTGATATAAGAATTTCGCTTAGCTTCGTGTTTTAGCGAAATACTCTCTTCGGAATTTTAACCAAACTCAACCTCGCAGTCAATGTGCTAGTTCTATCTTTTCGCAAGGAAACGCGGTTCGTAACTTTTTGATTTGCAAGTATAATTTACGCCAAAAACTTGCCCTTCAGTTCTTGATTTAATTTCAATTTAAATACAGACTCGATCGGAAGTAAGTAGTCATTAATTTTAGGTATACCACAAACAGTCTGTCAAATTCTGTTGTTCTATAACTAACGTCTTTGCGGTTTTACGCTCATGCGAGGACATCTTCGTCACTAGCTCTCCTAAGACGAATTTTATATTAAGAACCCTTTGTGAAATTGTCGAACAGGATATGACAAAGCCATAAATTTTATGTTTCTTTGATAGATTGATTACAGAAAGCTTTCGGAAGATTTGAGAAAGAGAATCGAGTGTCAAGGTAAGATATATATTATTTGCTACCATGTCTGAAATCGTCTTTTGCGCTATCCTCTGTCTCGAATTCGTTAGTGTATTTGTTACCAACCAAGGTTGTTTTTCCATGACTGAAGATTTGCCGGTCACTGCTATGAAATAGTAGAATTTAAAACCCCGTCAGTGAAAAATTTGTGTAGACGATACCGAACCCTGTATGTAAATTTGAAAGTGGCTATCTACGTGGAAGTTTTGAAATGTCGGCCTCACCGAAGCAAATCGTGAACTCTCGATTACGAGCATTGACGAATATCACCAAAATCTTTTTCACTTTTTGGAACGTCTGTGTAATTTCCTTGTACTCGTTTTTACCAAATGAACTAAAACACAGTATTCTTTTTTCACCAGAAGTAGGTAAATTCTCATCAGTGTACCACAATGCGCCCACAAATGAAAGATGCACAATGTAAACGCATCGCGAAAATTAGTAATAGATTATATTGCTCGGCAGCGTGGCTCATAACTTTAAGAGGTCTGTAAATTGTGTTTCTGGTTTTGATATGATAATATAATTGTCAAATAGTTACTTGCGGCAGCTAAGTTCTCAATCAGAGAAAGCATGCTGCATGCATTTTCAACAAATATTTCTACGAAATTCGTTTTTTTGCTGTGAAAGATGCGACTTGATACGCTTAAAGTGATATATTGTTAACATTCATGAATTTACGGTAGGGCGCTTCATCTACTAATAGCAGGTTTATAAACATCTCATTGAGATATTAGGCCGCCTTTGGTGTAACAAAAAAAATATTGGAGAAGTTATTTCTTATCTTCGTTTTAATTTCCCGTCTAACCTTCTTTACACTCAATAAATATCCCGACAACTCTTGTTACTGTGAAATTAGATCTTTCCATATCAAAGAGTGCACTTCTTTCTCGGGATGGTTTGAAAATGGCGGAGGGTTGATATATAAAACAAAATTTATCAAAGCCAGTTAAACTTCACAGACACGAGGTTGAGACGACGGCAAATTAAAATGCAATAACATAATGCAACAAGAATCGCAATTGGCGCATTTATCTAGATATAAAGTGAGCGTCGCTCGAGGGGATTTTACTAGCCGATCTCGGTAATCAACGTAAATCGCCAGGTGTGTTCACCGTTGCGATAGCGATGTTCTTCGGTCACCGAGATTTAATTCTCCATGATTCGCTTGGTGTACCTGTTATCATGATTTTGCGCTCAGCGCCAAGCAGAGGGCTCGAATCAATGAAATTACTTTCCAAGTTGACATCAACGTGCACAATCCTTTGAAGAGTTCGAAAATGGAAGTTCAGTGTAGCTTTATACCTTGGTGAGCCTGAATGTATGTAGCTTCAACTGAAAAATTTTCTGGCGGTTTTTTCGATATTTGAATTCGCTGCGATTGCGGTGTTGTTGTCGGTCACCACTCCATGTAGATCAAAACATTACGAGATTTTATCATTTGTCGGTTTTTATCGCTCGTGTGGAAATATCAAAATCGGTTTCCTTGCGTTCGATATTAGATGATCAGAAGCTGTTTGTTTTCGTTTTTTCCGTAATTGAAGGTCTAAAAATGCTCGCTTCGTGTGTGCAAACAAAAGGGCACATTACCTAAATTCTATCCTTTTCCAATTCAAGCCAATTAAAACCACAGTTCAGGGGTTTCTCCAAATATAATTTGGATTCAAATTTTCTTTTAGAGTGGCGGCAAAAAGTGAAATACGTATCATTGCATTCCCTACATCGCCAGTTATTTGCAGCCGTCTTTGTCTTCCGCTCAGCATGTAAGTCACCTGGGTGGTATGACTTGAAATTTTGATTGGAGCGTATTTTTAACACCTTGCCGCCATTGGTGGCCATGTTGTTTACGTTTTCATGAAGCAGGTGGTCGCGTAAGTGGCTATCTTTTTGGTATAAACAATGAGGTCATTTCTGAGCAATATTCGTCTTTGCGGTTAAGTGAGGAAAATTGATATGAATTTCTACGAACCAATAAAAATAGAGTACGGAGTGTTGTCGCCAAAACGATGCAAATCGTCGTAGATCCTCGCCATGTTTGGAAAAATTTCGCTGTCAAATATTCTACACTACACCTGAAGCACGCCAACTCTGGTGTTTGAAAATATTTGCGAGCTGTACAATTTATGTGGTGACCTGTTCAGAGAGACGTGAATCGTATTTGTACGGGAATCAATTTGACATATTGTAGTATTTACGGTGGACTAGCTGTGAATTTACCGAAAGTAAAACCATCTTGAGATTTATCGGTGCTCGATCAGACGAGAAAGACAACTTTTGCGTGGTCTAAAATTAATCGCACCAAGTCAACAAACAGGAAGATGAATTTGATTGAAAAATTGTTCCGAAAATCTCCGCGAAATGGAGGTACGGATAAAAAATTCTATGGCGAGATCGCCTTGAATATTTAATGAAACCAACTACATTTGTTCATTTGTGACTTACAGTGGCGTCAGTATTTTGTCCAGTATCTCTTTGTGATCGTTAACATTTTTTATTCTTGTTGCAGAATTGGAGATTAAAGTGCAAAAGGATAACTTCGAGAAGCAAAGCAATGCTATCAAAAGTGATGCAGAGTTGAAATTGACCGAGGTACAAACTCTTTTGGAGACTGAGAGAGATCGCTTCAGGATCGAGGTAAGGTTTTTCGACAGTTTAAGAGTTGAAAGGAAAAAGTGAGTTACTTAAGTGGGAAATCGTTCAGCATCAATTCTGGAAAGTTTTTTTTTTTACAAGGAAACAAAAATTGTCTATTATTGATAAAATAAAAAAAAATTCAATTGAAGAAAACGTATTTCAAAAAAGGATTACGGAATTCGAAGCATTGATCGTGGAATGACGGTTGAGGGAGTAATTTTTATTCTCGCTGAAACATACCATTCTCGCTGAAATATACCACGCAAAGTAAACTGTGAGGGTTTCAAATTGTGTCGTTCGCGGAATGGCTTTGAAATTATACTTGTTTATCAGGTCTGCAGAAAATGATTGTCATTCAGCAAACTTTTTTGCGGCCGGCTGTGACAGCTTCAATGCCGCCACCTTTCAGTGGTACTAAACTCATCTTGAATTACATAGCATGGTGAAAAAAACAGAAAGCAATTTGATATTTTCACTATTTCAGCTGAGCGATTTCTTTGAGAAAAATAATTTTCTGTTTCACGGTATCAAATGAATCCCCTGCTGTTTCCTGTATTCCTTATTGATTTTTTTTTCACTTTTGCTTTGAGCTGAAATTAGTATTTATTTAGAATTTGTGAGTAGATAGGAATCATTGTGTCGGAAAATAAGTTTTTTTTGGCTTCTGAATGACTTGAAAATTTCCCGATGGTTCTTAGAAATATTCGGTCGGTACGTGCTGTGAAGAAAAACTTTCTGCATTGGCAGCAGATTTGTTGACATCATAACACGGACAAAGTTTATTGTTAAAGGGTCAAAAGATTGAAATGAAAATTAAAAAATAAACTTTATGGACATATTCTGCTTTTATTGTACACTATAAGTCGTTAAGTCTTTCAGTGCAGATCTCTACTAAGTTTCTACCAAGCCTGCAGTTTACGAGACAATTTAACAAAACGGGTTATAAAAATAATACATTTAGTAGCGATTTCTTAATCCCGCAAAATTATCGAAGACACATAAAAACCATGAATCGATTTTTTTCTTGTTTGCAGAATTTTTTTGTGCCAATCTACTTATAATCTTGTTTAAAAAACACACCAAAAAAAAATTAGTAGATTCTGTAAAATCTTTTCAGAAAACCTGATCTGAGACAATATCGTATTGTGAGAGTACCGTTTATGCTTTTTTCTAATTTAATTTATCACGTTTTATTTAAGACTGAATGCGAGAGAAAATCGCATTAAAATCATGTTTTTTCCCTATATTCTAAATTGTTTTTTACGCCATTTTTCAGCGAGTTTAAGTATTTCCATGTTTTGCATAAAGGTAAACTGAATTTAGGATTCAAAACAACTTAATTTCATCATTGTACATATGTGTGCAGATTTTTAAAAATATTTTATATCGATCTCAAATTTACATATATCCATGGCACTTAACTGTAAACTTCTTTATATTCAGTTGGAGTCATCTCTTCAAAATGTTAAGCGATTCTCTCGATATTGGCCATTTTCAAAAAATGTCACAGCGTAAAACAGTCTAGTTATTATTAAAGATTACGATTTGGTTGGTCTTTTGCAAGGTAGATTTACACGAAGGGAAAAAAATTACATATGCCGGATGAAAGTTAAAAAAAAAAAAAGATGGACACAGGGTGACAGCAGAAGGAACTTGAATTGTAAACTAGAAAAATCAGCTTGTAATTATGTTAGGTACTTCCTTTGTTATTTGAAAGGATGCGACCTACCCTCCTAATCCTTTACGACCGCCAAGTGTGACAGGCATCTTCTTTTTTCCTTACATTATCACTGTTGAATCGATCATTACGATCATGAGAAAAGGATGCCGAACAATAACCAGGGAAGCCGATCAAACATTAATAACTTATGGAATGGACTGGTTTTTATGGGATACTGTATTTAACTGCCAGTGGTTTTCTTTTTTTTTGTTATAGAAATAGGAATAGATGTAAGCGGTAGTGACGGGTTAAAGAACCAGTTGGGTCGTGCTCAGAATTAAAGCTTTTGCCAGGGTGGGAACTTTTTAACTTCTAATCTGACATTATTTCGCTATTTTTTGTAGATTGAAAATCTACGTAAAGAGAAGGAGAACCTTGCTAAGACGCTCTTCGATGAAAGAAGCCAGCGGCGCGTCCTCGAAGGAATGCACCATGCCTCACTAGAGGCGGCTGTGCTCATTGAGAGACAGAAAATCAAAAGCAACGAAGAGCGAGAAAAACAACGACTGCAAAGAGCTCTGGATGAGGAGCGAAGACGATCTTGGACAATAGAACAGCAAACAAAACAAGAATACGAAAGAGCGTTGGAGGACGAGAAAAAACGCACCAAATTGTTAAAAGAGCTCGAACGCGAGGGACTGGAAAAGTCTCTTCAGGAGGAGAAACAGCGAAGCAGAGAGCTTGAGGAGCGTTTGGTGAAATCTCCCAGTCACGAGAGATATACACAGACGATAGCCATGTTCGACGAGCCGGATTTTCCTCGCATGCCGCCGGGAACAAACCAAACGGAAACACTGTATAATGTGTTGCTCGCAGAGATTATGTCACTTCAGTTGCTGTACCAAATGCAAGATCTCTCCCACGCCTGCAACGCCGACGACCCGAAGTCACGCGATAGCGGTTGTGCGGAGTACGAGGAAGAGGTCATTCACTCCGTGAGCTCGAGCGTTTTGGAAAAAGGAGGACTTTTATTGAATAACTTGAGAGGCAGGCAGGGAGGCGCTAGTCGGTTTTCGTTGACGAGCACCGATTCCTTACGAGAGTTGTACCTGTTACAGTTTCCGCCTTCGCCGAAACTTTCCCGAGCATCACAAAAGACTGAGTCAGTTCCGATCATACCTTCAAAGGGCTCGTTGTCCGAACTTCATTCCGATTCGAACAAAAGCTTCATGTCGACAGATTGCGACGGGCCGAGAGGACAAGACGGAACATCGAGCTCCAGTATGGAGTCCTTTCTCGAAGAGCCGCTGAGCCCGCGTTGTCGGCGTCGACCTTGCGACAGTGGCTGCAGTAGTCAGCATAGCGACTCAGACCACTCCCCTGGGGCGGGTATACGGAGTCGGCCAATCGACATCGCAGGACGCACTCGAGCCCTCAGTAATCCTGTCAATCGGCTCAACGTGAGTGCATACGTACCGCTGGCTGAAGGGGAAGATGAAGATTTTGATCTGGCCGAGCCAGACGAGATCCAAACAGTCAAGAAAAGAGTCGACCATCTGGAGAACGACTTGTGCCGGCTGAAGACGGAGTTGGACGCGGAGACGGTGAACTTTTTCTCCGAAGTCTTCCGTGTGGAAGTGCCTTTCTTGCGAGAAGGAGGTAAATACCTAGAATTTTCACACAGACACTAGAGGACAGAACTCAGTTTTAATTTTGTTAATTAAGATTGTGAAAAGTCGGTGTTTTTATGATAACTGTCCCATGAAAGCATAATGTATTAAAACCAATGGCTCGGAGAGCACAGACTGTCATTCAACGCAAAAGAGAGGAACTGATATCCTTGAAAACCATTCATTTGTTATCGCCGGGAAAGGTGGGGGGGGGGAGGGGGTGGGGAAGGATTTTGGGGGATCACATGGTTTTCAGTCGAAAGGAATCAGTCGTAAGAATATAAAGAGGGGGGGGGGGGCTCAGAAAATTGACTGCATATAGGCTATTAATGAAGGGGGACAGAGCCTTATAATCAGACTGATGGGTTTTTGAATTATCAGGTAAGGGATGAACTACTAAATACGTACTTTGTTGATCTCAGAGCTGTCCCGTGTCATGAGACGTTTATTTGAAGGTGTCAAGGAAAAACTTCTCTATAGAATATGCGCCGGTAAGTTTTCATTTAATTTGTATTATATTTAAACTTTAGTGCAGTTTACCTTACCCTTCGACAATACTAAATTGAATCTATTTAATACAAGGGGGAAATTCACTAGCTGGCATTCACGTTACTGTACATCTGAGTTTATTAAAGGGCTACTGCAATTGCTCCTCCAAGCCCCACCTTCCTCTAAACAAAAACTCTATAGTTGTAGGTGTATTGTTATTCATGATGGTTTACAAGTGTTTCCGTACGAAATGGAAGCTGCAACGATTCAAATATCGCAGGGTTTCGACTAAAGAGATTCAGACACATTCGTTTTGTATGGGGAACAACTCAATGTGAAGAAAGATGACGAATTATTCTTTAGGCTCTCTACAAGTTTATAACAAGCATGACCCTTCCCCACTCCCTCCCCCTCGCGCTCCCATGGTATTGATCGTGTATGGTTCTGTTCAATACTGAAGGTCAACGCAGTCCTGTCGAGGAGGAAGAAGACGAACTTGACCTCTCACCACCCGTGCTAGAAGAAGCAGTGAACCTGTTACTTGTAAGCAAGACAGTCATGAGCTGCCTTCTTGTTTTACAAAACAGACGTAATACGGGAAAGAGCCACAACTCGACCACGACGGAGTTACCAACAGTTATTCACGTGCCGTCAAAGGTATGTTTCGGTGTGCTTATGGAACTTGGGGAGGGGAGAGGGGGTGGTCGGTTGTGTCCTAATACAATTACCTACTCTCTCCACGAGGCTCTGTAGTGTTCTAATGATCCCTCTCACTGGTAGTCAGTTTTCTTAAGTCTTTAATCTCTGTTAGTTGTGACTGATCCCCTCTGCCCCCCTTGAAAACTAAGTGATTCCTCAAATTCCTGGGGCAATCCCCCCCCCCCCGTGATGACTGATTTCCCCCTCTGCCTCCCCTCGAAAACCATGTGATCCCCCAAAGTTCAACGGCATCACTCTTCATCCCCCCTCGTGATGACTGATCCCTCTCTTCCTCCCTTGAAAACCATGTGACCCCCCCCCCCCCAGAGTCTTACGGTACCCCCCTCCCCTCCCAGAGCGATGAATAAGAACTGGTCCCTTATTTCCTCATTTGAAACAATTACGACTGTGGCTATACTTAAACCCTTTACACCCTAACATCAGTATGCACATTCTCCATACTTTCCTCTATATATTTACTGGGGTGATGACAAGGAGAATTTGTCAAACAATCAAGAGCTTCTTAAGTTGCTGATCATTTCCTTTAATCTCGTGACATGAATCCTTGAATCAGGGGTGATATGGTAAAGAGAAATTAGATGCTGGTCATTCTTACAAATTAAAGGGTTGAGAATTGTCTAATCTATTTTGTGCAAACTAAAGGACGTGTTGCAGGAATCCGTCTGTCGGCGCTTTGGAAACAATTACGCTTGCTTACGTTTTCTTTAAAGTCGTAAATCGTTAAGTCCAATTTTGTTTCTTTCTTTAGGCTAATAAAAAAACACAAACAAGCCCAGGACCCAATCGATCATTGAGACGGATACGAAAAGGTAAAAATGCTACTTGAGAACGTTCTTGCTTGTGGGTTATGCGGAGTTGTAATGGTTAGCGCGCTAAACTTTGGAGGTCTGGGTTCGATTCTTAGCTGGGTCACTATTTCACTCTTACAGTGGGTCTTTCCATCCGAGATTGTAAAATGTGATAGGCAAACTATCAGAGAAGCCTGAGTGGAGGTGGGGGAGGGGGAAGGTAAGGTAAGGTTTATGGACTAATATCCCATGTTGTTTACCCTACCGACCCCTGGAAAGCTTCGGCCTCTCAGCTAGTCAGTCTGAGGTAGGTAGGCAAAACCAAAAATGAGAAAAAAGGGAATATCACAAGTTGAATGAGAACTATGAACAAACTATGAGCAAACTTGAAGCGCGGGAAAATGCGTTGGCACGTAATTGGGCTCAGTATTGAACTGATTGTTTAAGTGGATGGTGAGAGTATTTTGGGCCAATCACAGAGCGACGTGAAACAAAATCAAAGCAATTTAGGATCACTTTAGACACTCAAGGAAAATTGCCTATAAGTCACTGCCTTGCTCCCTGTTAATCATTTTTTTTTCCACTGATTGTGGTAGATGTAAGCGTTGGAACAGATCTGCCCGCCAAGATACAACTCAGTAATAAAGAATGTCAAACAAGTCTCCAGGAACTCTCAAACCGGTGAGTTGATGGCGTGTGCCCTTAAAAAAAGTAAAAACATAAATTCGAAACCTTCACCTTTTCTTACAGAGAAAGCCGTATCAATGATCTTAGCGACTTTTCCTAACAAAGTTTTTCTTGAAAGTGTTAATGGAGAAATATTCCTTACCTCTCTTTGCCAATTGTAAAACTTGGGAAGTACCAGTCTTTGATAAAGGAGACTTGTCAAAGAAGGGAAAAACTTGGAGAGAAAACTGTTCACGATAGACGCTATACTTAAGGCAAACTTGTCAGCAATAACATGGCGGTTTAACTGACAAAGAAGTCTGAGGTCTAAGATACTTTTCTTCTTTCAGAGCGCTGGCGATAAATTCGCCGCCTAAAGACGAAGTTCTGCAAGTCAATCCTAATCTGGAGGCATGGAACGACTTTCCTGATTCAAACGCGCATCGGACTTTTCAAGATAGCATACCACCACAATCACGTGACCCAGACGGCGCCTCCAGTGAGGGCGAGCCTGCGATCATTGATGAGAACCGCGAAGAAGTGGCCTTGGAATCAAGATATGAGGGCGTTATGTCTTACAGCGAAGATGACGATTTGAGAGAAACAAAAGGAAAGAAAAAGAAAAAGACGAGACTTTTCTCGTGTTTAAGTCCCCCCAGATTATCCATCCGAAAGAAATCTGAAAAAGCGAATCGGTCCAAACCAGAGACAACCAAACTGGTGATGAAAGAGATATAATATTATTTAAATTTAGAGGTTTTGTTTGTGTTTGGTCGGCATAATGTTTACTTAGTTAATTTGACAAGGGGCTCAGATAAATTATTTGAGTGTCTGATTTATTGAGGAGCACTTTAAAGTTTGATCAAATATTGCCCGTTTAGTGAAAATGAAATGTTCTTTCGTTTAGTAACTTAAGTGAATCATTACGCGCTTTAACAAAGAAAGCAGTGTAATGATCTTGGAAGGTATTTATATTAAAAAAAAAATTAGTTAATGAAGAGTTCTTCTATTGTGAGAGGAAATTTCACAGGTTATCTATTCAGATGGCGTAGATCATGGTTTATTTGTTCTGTCAAAAACATTTTTTTCAGAATAATGTGGCAAATAGTATTTGTTTTGCTAATAAATGTTTAGAGCTTTGATAATTTTATTTAAGTTATAATAAGTATATTGCTTAGGGTTAGGTTTTCAGTTTTCGTAGGTCTTGATTTTTATAGTACGTCCAAGTTATGAGTTAATAATCAAAATTAATGTAGTAACGTGCATGTTCTATTATTTTGTTACGTTAACCAAATGTGAAGTCGTTATTTTTATAGCAGTTGATAAACTTGTTTAAAATCTTGTTTTAAATATTGTCAAAATCTAAACGTACATTAAAGGAATATTTAGAAACTGGACAAACACTAGCTTTGCTTAATTGTAGTTATAAAAAGCCAGGTCATGCATAATTTGTAATATTTGGGTACTCCAACGATTGTAGCGCATTAGTCTCAACTTAGACAATTTTCATATTGTTTTCACTTTCATAATCGTGTCTTTCAGTTTAAGACTGGTTGACTTTCATTTTCTTTCACTCTTTTCTTTTTTAGTAGTTTTGGATGTCGGTAGGTAAGGTCATGTCAAAGATTTGTCGTGAAATACTTTCCGTATTGATGTATTGAACACAAAATTTGTGTCGTGTAAGTAGTTGCATCTTTCTGTAGTACTGGTAAATTGTTGTTGTTTTTTAATTTCTGGAGAAAAAATAGGAGATTTATCTAAGAGAGGAATGAAGAGTAAGGTTCATTTAGTTTGTTTGGGCTACGAAATAAATAAAATGACGAACATAGATGTTTTTTAATGAAATTATAAATAAAACCCGTATCGCGCACGTGTTTCTTGCATTCTTGCCCAACGCAAAATAGAACCTAGAAAAGTACATAATGAAAGAAAAAGAAAGGAAATTAATCGCCAAATTTCGAATTTCGACAGATTGCTGCATTTTAAAGAAGCAATAATTACCCTCGCAACTTACCGGCGGTACTCAGTATATCAAATGATCGCCAAAGCAACAACACTCTCCCTCCCATCCCCCCCCATCCTCCCATTCCCCCCCCCCCCCTCCATCATTTAATTCCAAGTTAAATCAAACCTTCTGTAATCATTCCACGAAGGAGTGGATCATTTTTAAAGAGCAAGAAGAATACGTTTCTATAACCGACAGCTAAATTCGAGGCAATAAACCAAGTATTTGAGACATCGCTCCTTGTACAGAAACAACCTTTACTGAGATCGTGTTTGATGAGCGATTGAGATTTTGCTAATGGCAGAACAAAATTCTCCATGAAGACAGGTGTTTCCTAAATACTTCATTGTTTTCAATACTCACACGACTAGCTGATAACAGCGAAGGAGGTCAACCTCATTAGCAGCTGAAAATATTATCTTTTGATCAGCAAAATATAGAAACACCAGGAGGAAATTCTTAATAATTAACGCCCTTTCTCTTGCAGCGCTACGATTTAAATTCGATGGGATTAATTGATACCGTTATAAGCAACAAAACACCTTACGACGACTTCATTAACAGGTTTTGTTGATTTAAAGTGCTCGAGCAGCTTAAATTGGGCGATGGCGGAAAAGGTAATTTCCTGTTTCACCCTAAATATTTTATTTCTTTCCCTATCACAAATTCAGATATATTGAGAGGTTTGAAACTTATTTAATCTATTTTTATCTCGCACTACGCCTGGTTCCGCGACAGGCGTCGAGAGTAAATTGCAACAAATGCTCAGGATTGCTTCAAAAGAATAAACCGTTTACATGCCTGTCGCGTTAGGAATACGAAAGGACATGTTTATCAAATGAGATTGTTACCAAGGTTTGCTCTAATAACAAACGATACCTTATCTCCGTGAGCTGTGAATGCAATCTAAATGACATTGTCGAGAAAGATCTTGAAAGCAATTAAGAGAGGCCGAAACTAATTTTGAAAGCAACTCACACTTCATCAGAGCTGCAAGTTCTCGGCTTGTTATCATTTGAACGAAAAATCAAACATAACAAATTCGTTATTTAGCTAGTCGCTCGAAAATTGTTCCCGGCTTTTTAAACAGAAAATCGCCCAATCAGAAGTTGGCAGAGTGGTTTCATCCAAAAGGATTTTTCACGACTTTCAAGAGCGAATGATACACTGGATGGATCAAAACTACAGTCGAATACTTGATCTGTTTCGAAGGTTTGACTCAGACAACAGCGGCACAATTTCATACGACGAGTTTGCGGCTGGTATGAAAGATCTAGGTGAGCTTGTTATTACCACCTTTTTTGTTGCTTTCTTTTTTTTTTAAAGGTAATTACAAATCAGTAGTCTAATGTAAACAAATGCTCGGTGAATTTGCTTATTTGAAATGATTCTGAATTATGGTTTAAGCGTTCATTAATTTAAAGAAAAACTTATTCAAGTAAAATTAATACAGTCTTAAATGTAAAGTGTAAAGTAGATTTTTCCTCAAAATCGTACAAAAAAATTATCTTTGAGCGCGGTATGTCTTACTGATCTAGATTGCGATCGTCGATCAGTAGATGACGTAAAAATAAGATCAACATAAAATGCAAAAATGTCTTGTCAGAGCTTAGGCAATACGGTAGAGCACGAATTTCTACACGCCATTTTGAAGGACGAGTTTACTATTGTTGCTAGACGAAAAAAAAAATATAGGGACGGGGTGGGAGTGGAGGGGAGGTCCTTGTCCAGCCCCTAAGGTATGTCAGATCAATTTAAGTTTTTTTGGTTGACTTCTCGCTCGGTCACATGATCACTGAATACACATGCAATAATTGCGGGAAGGGAGGAGACTAAATTTGTCTATGAAAATGACTTCGAAAGAGAATGCAAAAATGCAATTTCTTAAATGAAAATTCCAGACAGCATATCGCCTTATGAGAAAACAAACTTCCGTTTCGCCCTACACGAAAAAGAACTTTCGAGGAATTTGGATATATTAGCCTCCCAGTAGCTTTCCATTGTTAGCGCTGCAAGACGCGCCTTTCTCCGACCTCGGAGAGGTTTGAGACGAGTCGGACACTGGTTTCTCGGGGTCTGACACTAATAATAAATCATTATCCGCGCTTAGGCCTGTCCAGATTCTGTTTGTAAAATACTGGAAAGTTCCTAACTGGGATGCCAAAAAGTTGCTAAAAAAATGCCATAAGTCCAAAAAGTTGCGACCTAAATTTCCAAAGTTGCTTCTCAAATTCTGGATAATTTTTATGAACGTTAATTAAAAGCTATATTTTTCGTTCTTCGTAGTAATAAACTTAGCTTTAAAGGGTTGCTCTCAAATAAGGGCGGTTTCTAACCATCCATTTCCGTTAGTGGAAAGTAAATTAACAAAGACAGCCATTTTGGTGCGTCGTTTTAACCGATTATCCGTTCTAATATTATAAAATAGGCCTGCGAAACATTCAAGTAATCGGCATAAATCAAAGTTTTTATAAAATCGTCAACTTCATCGTGCTTGAAGTGTGCTCTAAACCTAAAAGTTGCCAAAAATTGCTCAAAAAGGCAAAAAATTGCTCGAGGTTGCTTAAACCGCAAAAAGTTGCTCCAAACGCCAAAAGTTGCTCAAAAGTTGCTGAGCAAAATCAGGTCAAACCTAACAATGCTACACCCCTTGAAGACCTCTTACCTGCTAGCATTGCTTAACGCTTCATACTTTCCCGCCAGCGAAGAAACGCTCGTGCTGATGCACTAATAGTAAGGGCCTATGCATGCGCGCGGGCTAAGAATACATTAGCCCACGCCCAGATTAGTTTCCTTCTTCCACGCTGCAATTTTTATGAGTATTATTACTTTCCTTTTTTCTTTTTATCCTTTTCAGGTGCTCCTGCCACTCAAGTAGAAATCTATATTATGGCCACGTCCTTGGACTCAGACGGCGACAAAGAGATCGATTATCGCGAGTTCAAGAAGATGCGACGGCGGATTAAAGCGAGCGCGCCGATCGAGAAGGCCGCTGAACTAGAAGAATACGAAGAACCGACGGCTCAGTTACAGTCATGCCCCAAGTGCAACGTGGGATTATGGGAACCTGTGGTCGAGGACGTTACTGGGTAAGAGTTCGTGTTGGCGTTAATTATACGCGTGAAAGAGGCCTAGATTGAATTGCATGAGAGATTTTGTTCTATAGAGGCTTAAAGCCAAAAACAAACCCGATATGCTACGACACTTCGAGGATAAACTTCAAGGAATGGCGAGAGGGGACTAAATTGAGAAGACACACCCTGTCTTTTCCCAATCCTCTCTCTCCCAAAGTTGTCACTCAGTATCGAGAGAACTGGTCACGCTCTTATTCGAGAGCATCTGTGTCGAGGGAAAACTGTCAACTGCTGCCTGTGTGTGTTAGAGGAGACGACTTGCAATTAAATTGGTTTCGATTCGGAGACAACCAATAGAAAAGCGCTCCGGGGTAACGAAACAGTTTAGTATGGGTTTAGATAATGTTTTCTGTTTCCTTGTTTGTAGGTACGTTGCGCTGGATTTGCACAGTGTTTCCTTGCAAGATGTCACCTCAATTCCGGGATATATTAGTGCTCAGGTCCCTTCCAACATTTCTATTTATGGCATAACGCTGATCGTCAAGCGCGAACTGGGACCGTGCACTTTAAATATCAGAATATTTCAGTCAAACGAAAATGGAGAAAAACAGGAAATGGAGAGTAGCAAGAAACTTAAAGATTTCGGATTTCTAGGAACTTTGCCACCAGACGAACCACGCCAACTTACGCTGTACTACGATTATGACTATCCGTTCCTGGACTGCCCACTGCTTATGGCAAACTTTTCTATCTAACGCGATTGCAAAATGCCGAATTTATACGCGCATGTTTTTCTTTACACGTATTAAAATCTGGTTGGCCAGATTTGGAACAAGGAGACATTACAATGATAAACTTCCAGGAATGGCGAGGGAGGACTGAATCGAGTAGACACACCGTGTCTTGTCCCAATTCCTTCTCGCTCGGAGTGGATTGTATGGTGTACTGTTAAGTAACGTGTACCAGACGAAGAAGATAACGGCGACCGGCGTTCAACTTAAAGCGTTGTGTTTGAATCTCAACTCAATTTACCATTGGTTGTCGAAAGCCATCCGGGATTGTATTTGCAACGCTCTGTGATTAGACCAGAAAACTCACGCCATTTTCTCACCCAATCAATGCAAGAACTCGTCACTAGCGTATTCTCCTGTTGAATGATCCAGAAAACTCATGCCAATTTCTCGCCCGATGAGATGCAAGACCAGGTCACTGGGGTGTTCTCTTGCTGAAGGGCGATGGTTTTTTTTGTATTATTGTAATAGTAACTACAAAATAGAGTCAAAATCACCTTGAATTCTTGCGTTGAAAGAACTTAAAAATGTACATTTTAATTTCTTTCGATAATCAATTCATTCGTTTACTTTTAGTATTTTTTGGATAAAATTTAAAGTCCTCGTTATATGGGATAACTGTCCTTCGTAAGATCCACAATAGTCGATAGATAACCCATCGTAAAATTGACACCATGATTTTTCTCATCCTTTCTTCGATTGCATCTTCCCTTCCACCCATGCGATAGCACATTTTCTGTTGGGCTATCAAACTTCAATGTTTTGACAGAAAAACTTCAATGTTATTCCGCCCATTTGGGAGAAGGGTTTGCATTGCCTCCCACAAGAGAGGGTTTTCTCGCTTGTTGATGATGTTTGGTAGTGACGTTTGCGGTCTAAAATACAAGGCAGAACTTTCAAGTGTGGCGTTCCACTATCCACCAACTTATGAAATCAAGTGATAGATCTCACACAGCTTCATTCGTTTACAGAGGTTGGAAGAATGTTGCGCATTGATGCGAAGACGGTATCAAACATTGTTTAACAATATTGAGAGACGGGAAGTGGAGCTCTGTATGAAACCTTTAAACCACACAGGAACAGCCACTACATGTCCTTTTCTTAATGTTTTCTAAAGCCAGAGTGTGGCGTGACGGCTTGCATTTCAGTCTTATTTTAGGGTATTGCGTGACTATCACACACCTTGTCACGTAGCGACTGCTATGTTGAATATTCTCACACTATGATCCAAACTACAGCTCGCCAGCTGTAAAGTCGTACTATTATTATAATCGTTAGTTCGTCTCCATCGCAACCTTCGAACAGTCAGCACGTGACAAATCCTGTGTATTAAAGTTGCAAGATGTAAGGAAAAAAAATATAGGCAACGAATCAATTGCCACAAATCAACACGATATAATTATTTTCACTAATAGCAACGTTTAAATGACTAAAAACTTTGTATATGCGAGGATACGATTGGTCAAAAGTATGAAGAAGACTCCACTGGCCACTTGCACGGCTGGCTCCATTCAAACTCCAGGAATATAGAAATATACGGCCTGATTCAGAACCAACAGCAATAGTGTACCTAAACGGCCAAGAAAAATAAAATTCCTCATCATAGTCTTACCGTTAAATATCAATCATAGCGTGATGGTCACTGTAGGTCCTGTTTTATTTTGATTTTGTTTTCGTTTTAATATTTTAAAACAACAAATTAACCTGTGAGGTGGGGCCCGCAAAGCGTTTAAGCGTCAATGAAATTCGAAAGTTCTTAAGTAGCACTCTTAGTCTTGGTGCACGGTTTCCAGTCTCCATCAAGCGTGACAACAAAACTTTCTCACGGGGCGAAAGTAGTGTAAAGAGTCACAGTTTCCTATTTACAATTTCGAAGATATCTTACCTTCCATTATTGACCCATGGCGCAATATCTACGGCGGTGGCAGCTTCACCGATATCTACAGGACTGGAAGCCGCTTGCCAGTTGTCGCTAGCAATGTCCGTGTTACCCCATAATATGACCTGCCAGAAAAATAGATAGAAAGTGATGGTCGAACCACCACGAAATCAGGGCCGTTATCAGGATATTTCACACGGGGGCCAAAGTTATGAATTTCGCGCGCCTTGCGTTAAATGGCCAATACCGCTGCTCTTTCTCGTGCGTCAACGGGCTCGTATACATGCGAGGATAAGGAAAGGTAAATGAATTACCTTGCACAGCATGGACGGGTCAATTTCAGTGTCTAACCAACTGCACACCTACCACTCCCCTTATCTAACAACAGTGAACTAATAACAAGTTTGGGTTTGTGTTGGATTATGGGAGGGGCAGGTGCGCAGTTTCTCACATACTGACACTGATCGGAATGGATTTAGTTCACGTAGATTCTTCGTATCGCAAGTTTCCGCAAACACGAAATGTAAAACTTATATGCTATTGACTTAAAAAAGAATTTCTCACGAAGGGGAACGCTGACCTTTTTATCCCTTGAAGCTGTGGCAAAGTATTTGTCATCTTCACTCCAAGCACATGACCAAATAATCCTTGCGTGTTGATTCTTTTTGTCGCTTCGAGCAACAAGACTGAAGAGCTGACCTGTAACATCCACAAAAAAATGAAATAAGCAAATAACGGAACACTCATCACTTATTGTCCGGGGAGTGGGGGGATTCGGAGGATATCGGAGGGGGAGGAATCTATGGTTTTCAGGGAGAACGAAAGGGGGATCAGTTGAGTATTAATGGGGGGAGGGTGGGGCCCAGAGAAACTTGACTGGCAGTGAGGAAGGGGAACATCACAATTCTGCAGAGCCTAAGAGGAGGGGGGAGGGGGGGGAAGGGGCCGGTAAACCTTATCGTCACACAACCCGTCTCCCCCGGCGATAACCGGTCCCTAGGTAAAATATAAAAATAAACCTAAACGACTTGTCTGAGTTCAGCAGAATGTACGGGAAACTACCTTGTTCCTTCTTCCCGCGCTTAGTTACAGGCAAATCTTAAGCTCTCATTGGTTCCTTGTGCTGTTGAACTTTGTTATGATTGGCTGTTGTAATCTCTTAGATCTCAGTTAAGTCTCACCTTTCTCGTCGTTTGCTTTTCTCTTGAAAACAGACCAACAACGGTCACGTGACACAGATAGAAGCCGCTGGCCACTGTGATCAAAGGCTATTTGTGTTACAGTGAGTGCGTGAGAGGGTAACGAGCAGATCTGTCTCCACGTGCTGGTATCCCATAATATTAATGCAGCGTGTTCTGGTTTAGAAGCCTACAAAGACAACAAGAATGAGAACATGTTACAGAAAAACCACATCAACGTACAGAAAACTGCTAATTATAATCTTCTCCTGCTTAGGAAACACGATCCCCGATTCGCCTGTACGAGAATTAAGAGATATTCGTACGCATTTCGATGTGTTTTGTGGGTCCCAAACCAAAATTATCAAGTGACCGATCGGAACGAAGAAAATAAGGAGTCACAGACAACTCAAAGAACTGCCTAAAGCGCGGGAAGATGCGGGCAACCAAGTCGTGATTGGTTTTAGTTTTGGATCTGATTAGTTAGGAGAGTGGTGCGAGTTTTCGGGGAAAATCACAACTAAGGCAAAACTAATGCAATCCCGGATTACTTTAGACACCCTATTAAAGGTTGTTCTGTGTCAAAAACACTTACCTATAACACCTCCCCCCCCCACATCGACACACCCCACCCCACCCACATGGTCAAGTCACGCTATGACACATCACTAGTAAAGGAACAAGGTAAGAAAGTCATGTTAAAACCTTGCAAGCAGAAGCGAGTAATGTCCCGTCAGGACTTGAAGCCACACAGAAAACCTCGTATCCGTGACCATATCTGGGGGAGAGAAAAAGAGGAATACAAAGCTGATTAGATTAGAAGGATGAATGTAAAAAAAATATTTGGACAAAGAACCTATTGCCAAGCAGTCAATCGAAAGGTCCTTTTAAAGTTTCCCTCAAAGTCTACTTTACAATTGATCCGGGCGGAACATTTTCTTTTTTTATTGTTTTTGTTTACGAAACAAAGCAAACTGAACAAATAAAAACATCTTTATAGTCGTCTGCAAAATAGCAGCAAGTTTATTCTAATAAATGATCTGCGGCGTATTTAAAGGACGTGCATTGGATGAAAAGGAGAAAAGAAAAAACTTTGTACTCACAGTTTCTGTACTTCAGGCCATAGCGTGTTCTGGTGTAAGATATCTTCGGTGGGAGGTTCTGAAAATAACAAGAAAGTCAAGAAAACACAAAAGTTAAATCTTCAACCTTTCAGTCTATGCCAGGGCAACTGTAAAACACTTTGCAAATTAAGGGATTTGTAATTAGCTTTGTGTTAGCCTAGCAAGAGATAAGAAAAAAGCCATTGACGAGAACAGTTTGCTAAGAAATAAAAAAGGAAAGCATCACAGGGACGAACCTTTCAATAATATCGGGGTAAATGGAGCCGGCTCCTCACTGGCAAACGCTGACGACTTCATGGGCCTCGCTGGGTCTTCAAGGTCCCTTCTCAGGCTGTCCATGTCACCTGATCAATAAAGAATTCAGTGTTTAACCCTTTACATCCTAACATCAGTGTCCATATTCTCCATAATTTTCTCTATTCACTTCCTTTGTGACTGACAAGGAGAATTTGTTTGACAATCAGAGGATCTTAGATTAGCGATCATTTCCTTTATCCTCGTGATCTTAATAAATGATTCAGTAGTGTAACTGTAAGGGGAAATTGGATGTTGGCCACTTTAAGGTCTAAAGGATTAAGAAGATTCAACTCTATGAAAGACAAAAACAACTCTCCCTCATTTCAAATCTTAAATTCCAGCTTTAATTTCAAAAACAAAATATACCTTATTACAAGTGAAATAACAATAATAATAACAACAACTATAATAATAGTAATAGTAATAATAAAAACAAATCAACACGTTCATTCAACTGCTAGAGTTTTTGGCGCTGCTGTGCGACTGTGGGAAACAGTTAAATCAAGATAAAAATATGGCAAAGGAGGACCAAAGTGTTGGCTATTTATCAAGTGTAACAGAAGAGTTGAGATCAGGACTATTAAGAAAGAAATAAAGGGGTAAGTTTCTAAAGAAACTGTGGTGCTGCGTCGGTGGGAGAGTATAGCAGATAATTTAGTGTTAACAACTGGGTTGAAAACGTAAATTAGCCGCCGTAAAGGGTAAAAAAGCTGACGTTTCGAGCGTTAGCCCTTCGTCAGAGCGATTGACGAAGGGCTCGTCTGAGGCTGAGCCTGCTCGCTCTGACGAAGGGCTAACGCTTGAAACGTCAGCTTTTTTTACCCTTTACGGTGGCTAACTTACGTTTTCAACCCAGTTGTTAACACTAATTACCTGCTATTAAGAAAGAAAAATTGGATATCCACTGATGGATGGAGGATTTGAACTAGCCTCCATCCCTTCCGGATTTCAAATTCAGTGCTCTCGAACCTCCTCCTTCCTGGTCACTCCTAGGAGCGAAAGGGTCCAGAGAGCCGTTGCAGTTCAGTCACAAGTCATAGGCGTTTTCTTTGCACGTGTACTAATAAATAAGCCGTAGATTAAACTGAAAAAAAAAACAGTTCTAACATACAGTCTCTAACCTTCAAATACCGCCTTGTTTGAGAGTCCAAGAGCCGGAACACTAGCTCCGACGGGTAAACTATCATGCATCTAAAGGAAAATGAATCTTGTATTACCCATACGTGATTTCTCGCCATTTGTACGGCTTCAAAAGGCGTTGCGTTACATTCCAACTGACACTTGGATGCGAGGTCGCATGTAACGTTTGAAACTCTCATAACGCATGCGTGACAAAATAACTGTCATTGTTCCTCCCATCCACCCCACCCCTTCTACCATACAACCAATACCTTCTTCCACACAGAGTAGAACATAAATTAAATAATCGATTTGATATTGTCTATACCTAAAATTGAGGTAGCTTTTAAATTTCTTAAAAACTCTTACAGTCCTGGTTAAAGTGTCGTGTGTATGTCAACTCCAAAGTAAGGCGTAGGTTTCTTTTGATTTCAGCAGCGAGGCAATATGTATCGAAAACATGCAACGAAAATAGATCAAAGGCTGTGTTTTGAACTCCCAAATCTCAAACTGCACTTTTATACACTATCAACCTAAATATGAATACCTCTTCATTTTCCTCCAATTTACATAGTTTTTGAAACGTCTCCATAAATTGGCGGGGAGCGCTGAATATCCTTAACACCTGCAATGAGAGAAGATCAGGTTTTTTCCCAAAACGTTGAGCACCCTAAAAAACATACGTGACCTAATTTTTTCAAGTTCGACAGTTAAAACCATTTTTAATATTTCCATGCTAAGGCACTCTTTTTCCTTCCTGGTTTTTATTGCCCATTTTGTCTTCCTCTGTTTCTGCAAACTTTAACATGTTTTCGGACAGTCCCCTCAGATTCCAGACATTTGCACGTATGCTCATTGTGGAACGGTTGCGTCCATTATAGGACACTTACGTCTGTTTTCCGAACACCTCCGTCCATTGACAGACTCTCATGTCTGTTTCCGGTCACTTCTATGCATTTTCGAACGTGTCCGTCCAATTTTGAACACTTGGGTCCGTCTCACAACAATTCCGTCCGAATTTCAACACTCGCACCCGTCTGATTACCCTTTAGGAACACTTTCAGCTGTTTTCATGCGATTCCGTCCAAGTTCGGACAATTGAGTCCATTTTGGAAAAAAAATCAAAATGATGTTCTCTTGGGATGCTTCACCGTCAAAACGCAGAAAAGGAAGGGAAAAAAAGAGAATTGTACTTTAAACCCTCACCCATCTTACGACAGCCTCTCCATCGGAAAGAGAAAAGACCCTGGAGGGGAGGGAGGAAGTTTTGAACACCTTTACCTTTTCGTCAGCTCCAGACGCCATTTTGTATCTACTAAGCATGCTCAGACATTGCATGTCATATCCATGTACTTGTGGACGGGCTATTTCGCACCAAACAGGCCTCTGGAAAAAAAAAAAATATATATATATATATAAGGCATGGATAAAACGACCCCAAAAGCTCACACTCCCGGAGCCAGCCCAGATTTCTTCTGCATAAAGTGACTAGGAATGTTCCCGATGAAATTAGGAACAAACAATAGAATAGAAATCGAATTTATATATTTTCAATCTTTTTGTTTTACTTTGTGTGTTTTTTTTCCAACGCACTTTGCATATCTTAAAGTTTTGTAAACGGGGATAAACATCCCCAACATCGACTGGATTATATTCATAAGATCAGCAAAAGTTTCCAAAGTGTATTTACTTAACAAATAGATTCCGTGTTTCCGTGCATCTGTAGAGGAATAGCTGACAGAAGACGTCAAATACAAGTAAGTGGCTCACGAAGCACAGCCGAGTGTGTCACTGATGTTTTTATCAAATTTTGACGTCTTCTGTGACCTATAACTGTACAGACGCACGGAAATATGTAATCCACTTGTTTTATATAGCAGATAAAAAAACAATAAACAAGTTAATGGTGACATCTCCATGCATCTGTTCTCCAATCGATCATAATTAAGAATCGATCAAAATGCATTTATAATTCGGCTTACCATATAAAATCATCATAAACTTATTACACCACTGATCAATAAACACACCAACGACTCGAACTTACTTGAAATTCTTCTCCTCTCCAAGGAGCATGTAATCTTGTTGTCTGATCACTGCTGACGCTCACAAGAAACTGCCCATCGATTGGATCCCAATCAATGTCCTGTAATAGATAAGGAATGTTTCGAGTTAGTTAGCAACACGAAGGAAGGTTTCGTTGTTCCCAGCTCATAACAAATGAATCACAACTTTATTTACTCGACAACCGAGCTAAAAATAAAACATCTTTGTCACTCTCCACACAGGATGCTACAGACAAGGTTGATGCTGGCAGGAAGTAGGACACTTGTCACATATAAACCTAAAATAAAATATCGTCTACTTGTAGCTTGCTTGCAAGTTCTCTTATCACAGTTGGTCGAGCATCCAACATTGAAATTTGATCTCGCTATCGTTCAAATCCTCAGGGACGACTCAGATTTCTCTTCGTCTCACACTAGTTGAACAGATTTTAAACCTAGCTTGTTGCAAGCGTTTAATATGGAAAACAGAGTGCGATAATGGACGCCACAACAATAGCGGCTGGGTGAAAAATCGAGGGAGGCTTGAGCTGGGTTACGTGACCCGACCCAAACCCCCTCTTTTCTTCAACCCGATTCAAGCCTTAGTTTTTTCTTTTACGTTCTGCCGCTTCTATTGTGTCGTTCACTAAAGCACTCCGAAAACCGGGACTAAGCACCAAGTCCATCGATGATAACCTTTACAAACAGACATTGCAGAACTATAAGAACAAAATGAATTCCCTTGCAGTAAATTGCAAAAGCACTGTATAAATTTATCAAACATGGCTTTCCATATCTTTTTCCATCAGCGGTTGTCGATGGTTAAATCGTATTTAGGGCGGCGGTAGACCGCCAGGAACCGGCCTATACTGAAACTAGTGATGAAAGAATGGTTTTCCAAAGCTCATAGACTAAAGTAACAGATAATCAGGGCAATAAACAGAAGAGTAGTCTGATTGGCTCATGTTGTAGAGCTTCAAAAAAAAATCTAAACTCCTCAATGCTGTCTGACTAAAGTCACCCGCAAAGTGTTGTAAAGCGCCATGAGCTGAATGAAAAGGCGCTATAGAAATCCTTCATTATAATTATTAGTATTATTATTATTATTATATTAATAGTCTATGTACCACTAAGTTTTCAATTTTAGATATATCATGGAAGAGCTAGCGCTCAAAAGTGAAAGAAAAAAAACGTAGACGTCGCCAATACTAATATACTGACAAACAGTGGCCGAATTATGGTTTTTTCTTGTCACCTTCATTAGTGGCTCACCTGCACAGGACCAAAGTGTCCACCAACTGTTACACCAGGCTCCCACCTTTCCTCGCACTGTAAATTAATGAAAACAAAAGATAGTAAAGCAAATAATGATTCTCGCAGGTAGACTGAAGAAAAGGAGACTGGCGAAAAAAAGGCAGGCTTCGACGGGATCCGAACCCGTGCCTTCTAGATACTGATTGAACTGAGCTACAGAGCCAGATGAGGCTGGAAGACTTGCAGCGATTTTGGCCGGTAATCGGCCCTTGTGAAGCTGCTGCTGCTCTACTCCCCAACTTCACATGATATTTTCACTGAATACCAAAGCTGTACAATCATACACTTCTACCTCATAGGCAACATTGTTCCACAGATGAAATGCTCCGAGATATCCATGCCCAACGATAGATTGGCCATCTGGACTGAAAACAGCCCCATAGAAACCAAGAGTTGTTCCTCCAACTTCTCCAACACGAACCTAAACAACAGATTTTGAAACAAAGTTTTTGGTTAGTTAGCATGCATAGCACGCTTAATATTGGCCAACAAGTCTCGTCTTTTCTTGGTGAAAATTAATGATAGCTGCCATCTTCGATTTTTACAGCAGCAGAAGGCTGGAGAGAGGAAAAAATTTGTAGTGAGGGATGGTCAAAACGAGGGAGAAGGGAGAGGGTGGGGTATTATGACTGATAATTTCTGACAAACTTTACAGTCCAAGTCGTTATGATCAACTTACAGTTAACTAGTCTGTGTCATGGGTTAGGAACCAATCAAGTTGACAATCAACTAAGTGCTTCAACTGCCCGCAGACGCTCGAAGAAGCGAACAACTTTTTTTCATTTTTTGTTTTTCTTTCATTACTTCGTTCCATTCTGTTGTTATTGTTGTCGTTTTTTTCTTTCTTTTTTTATAATGAAGGTAGGCGCGGTGGACTGGACTCCGAGTGGGTTCGAGTTCTGGCCGGGTCTCTATGTTGTGTTCTTGGGCACAACAACTCACGCTCATAAACGCTCTCTCCACAAAAGTTTATAAATTGGTATCGGAGAATTTTCAGGGAAGCTTAATGAAATACTGACCGGGGGAAGGGGTATTAGCACTTGAGAAGGACTGACATCATCTGATTGGCGGAAGTGGAGGGAGGGGGGGGAAAAGTAATATTCCTAGTCGCTTCATGCGAAAGAAATTGGGATAAGCTCCGGCTGCATGGGACACTTAGCGCGAGTACGCACTTTACCTTCTCCAACCAAACACCAGATTCTTTGTCAGGTGCCCAAACAATTAATGTTTTATCCATAGAGGCTGATAGTAATGACATGGGCTGAGTGAACGATCCATCCCCTGTGAAATTAAAGATAAAGGTAAAGATGAAGGTTGGAGCATTTTCAGGTCTATTCTAAGTTATGTTTTTTTGCTGTTCTTACAAGTCACCCAACTTGAAGAGAATTAAATGTATGTTTGAAGTACAATGACGTCTGCCTGAAGGATAGATATACCCGTGAGACCGCTGCTCATGAAAACCCTGTGAGCGAGAAAACGCGCGAGAAAGCACAGAAACGCGCAAAAAGACCCCTCCTCTTCGTAGCGTGCGTGTATTCTGTATATTACTTGGATCAGCGTATTGAAAGCGTCCAACGTGGAGATAAAGTAAGAAACATGAAACATTATGAGTTTGATCCATAAATAAGGAAAGAATAGTAGTTTTCACCATTTAACCAGAACGAAAAAAGACTGTAGACTTGCGTCAACAAAATCAGGCACAGGGCATGCTTAAGCACTGTTTACCTCCAGAGGGGAAAAAAACTTGCTCACCTCTCCTAATTGCAGGGTGCCAATGAACCCCGTATATCCAACCTTCGTGTCCAGTCAGGACTGACTCCAGCACAACTGAAAAGTCTTTTGACGATCCTTAAAAAATAAAAACATAAAAAGTGTTCCTTTAAATACAAGGTTTGGTTTTAATATTGAATAGCAATGTCAAAATAGCGTTATGTACAATCAACGTTTTATGGCTGAATTGTTTTACTTCAGAGAACGACAGTTTTGCAGAGGAAATACAAATGTCTCACTACCTTCGTTAATTACACTAAAAACATTGGAAGTTAGTTTCAGTTCTTTAAATTCATCTTGCAAGATGTCAGAATCTGACTCTGGATATTTCAGTGAAAGTGAAATTCTCCAGATCCTGATGAAGCTATCCTGTGAACAACTGACAAGAAGAAGATCTCCACCATCTGTGAAGTAAAAACAAAAGGCTAGAAGGTTAAAGTTAGAATGCTTAATAACCATATTACTGACAAAACAAAACTAGTCAGAGTGTACCTGGGAAAGACTATTAACAGTATTAGTGACTAATGTTTGGACAACCTTGGCGGAAATTACTATCAGTTACTATAAGTTGATGGTGACTTTCCGATAAGGTTGTCTTTGCTAGCCATGTTGAACAATCAGACTACATGTACACCATCTGTCGTGTCTATTATATCATTTGCGCTTAGCTTTACTTTTGAAGGGTGCCACGTTGGTGCATGTGCTATTGAAGAATTTAGCTGCGCGTGAGTATTAGAAATATATCGTGTCTTCTGGAATACTAATGTTACGTGTCAATTATCCTTTTTAAGGCTGACGGTTGAACGCGAAGTGCTCGACGAAGATAAGGTTTTCTTGGACATACGTGTTTAGCAAAGATAGCTAAGGTTCTCAGAGAATTTTAAAGTGTAATTCGTATTATTGTATAATGTAGTCTACCTAGAAATCTAAAGATTGAATGGGAAGTATTTACACCATCAAATGCTTCTCCTGCATTCAAACCATTTACGGTAAAAATAAACTTACATGCAGGGAATTCCAAAAAGGAAATCAAGCAATAAAATTATCAGTAGAATGTGAGTATTGTAATCATAGGATTCTAAACATTTAGTAAAAAGGAAATAAATTAACAAACCTTCTAATGCAAAGTTTGTGCCTCTGATCCAATCCTCATGGCCCAATAAACCTTGTACTTTCATAAACTACAAGTATTAAATGAGAAAAAAAATGCAAGAAATATCTACAAATTATTCACTCTGCTACTAGCTATGGAATGTACATTTAATTGTTTTCAGCAAGATTATAGATTTACAGGGGGGAAAGTTATGTTTATTTTTGTTGTATAGCTAAAAATAAAAATAAATGGGCATACACGCAGGTAAGGCAATCTTAAAAAAACCATTTCAAAACATTTCAAATAACACTCACTTTAAACATGAGTGTCAAGATTTATAATTTTTGATAATCTTCCCAGACTGTGTCCAAAGAATAATTCTGGGGAAATTTGAGGCTTACATACCTTGTTGTCTTTCTCTGTAAACAAGTGCACTTTGCAATCTTCTCCACCACACGCGATTACAGGAACTAAAAAGGAGAAAAATTTATCATCTTCCATTCCACAAGTGAGTAACTCATAACCTCTATGATTTCAAATGTTCATCTTATAAACACGTTATGAGAACAGACAAGCTCATCAGCTTGAGGGTATTATTTTGGAATAAGATCAAATTCTCCCATCTAAGATACAAGGAAAAGTATGGCAGTAATTGGGGGGAATTTCTAATTGGATCTTGGGAGTTAAGGGGCTACTTTCAGTTTTCCTGATTGAAATTGCCGTGATTTCTGTAAAACTCACCAACTATAGTTAGCATCAAATGAATAAAGGGGGTAAGTTTCTAAAGAAACTGTGGTGCTGTGTCGGTGGGAGAGTATAACAGATAATTTAGTGTTGAAAACTGAGTTGAAAACGTTATTTAGCCACTGTAAAGAGTTTGCCCTTCATTTGTTAGCCCATTGCTCAGACGAAGGGATAATGCTCGAAACGTCAGCCTTAACCCTAACCCTAACGGTGGCTAATTTACATTTTCAACTCAGTTGTTAACACTTAATTACCTGTTAAAGTTAACATCTGCAGCTGTGATAAAATTTCTTACCATTTTTGCAACACATGAGTGGTACAATCATAAATGAATTGCACTGTATCAGTATGACATCCAAATGTTGAAAATGATTCATTCATACATGAATAAAGGGGGTAAGGTGTTGCATTGGTAGGAGAGTTTACCAAGGTAATTTAGTATTATCCACTGAGTTGATAACATAAATTGGCCACCGTCAAGAGTTTGAAAGCTGACATTTCAGGTGTTAGCCTTTCCTCTTTTGCTCTGATGAAGGGCTAACACTTGAAACATCAGCTTTGAAACCCTTGATGGTGGCCAATTTACAAAATCAACTCAGTTCCAGGAATACTTATCAACATTCATTGAATATGTAACCTAAAGAAATAACCTGATGTTCCAGGAAGCAAAGAAATTGCCACGGCTAAAATGAAACCATTCCCATATGATACAGTCTGTAGACATGTGAAGTTTCCTGAAAGGTTAGAATTTATGATACTTATCATGATGATCCTTTGTTAATCCTTGTACATTCCATTAATCATATCAGACATTGATCTTAACGTACTAACCCTCCCACTTTTTTGCCCTCCCCCTCTTCCTGTAGTGATTTATTTATTTACCTACAGTGCATTTGCAATATTTAGACAGGCTATCCCAGATCAGCTTTAGAGTGGTTTAAACCGGGGCCTGTCTAAACAATATCAATATCAGACCAAAACACCAGGAGCTACATTCCCTGCTACTTAAGCATGGGTGCGAGTGCATGGGTTCTCAAACGTTCCCCACTAACCAGTACAGAGAAGATGCAGGAGACAAGGCCTGCTTTTCATATCCTTATCAGGTCTGGGCCTCAGATCTTTGACCTAACCCCACAACAGTCTGGCACTCTACAACCTGTGCGTAGCAGGCAGCAGTGCATCCTTGCATATTACAATAATTGTATGGAACATTAACTACCCCATTCTATAGCTTACGCTAAGCTCCTGATTCTCTACATCTTTATCAAATCCTTGACATTTACAATGTATGCATATGGTCATGTACAATGTCAGATTGTACCCTCTGTTTGTTTACGCTCCCATATCCTCACTGATGAATCTGCAGAAGCAGAAACTATAATAGTTCTTGTAGCTCTTGAATTATCAGACACAGGAAGAATAACAGCAGCCACAGCATTCACAGCTCCCTGATGACCCTCAAGAACAGACGAAACTTTCCACTGCAAGCATAAAATGAGTCCCTTAGTGTTAGCACTAAATTAAAACCCTTCAACTCCAAAGAGTGACTGATCTCTAGTTTCTTCTTACAACATCACCCCTGAATCAAACATTAAGGTCATGAGAATGAAGGAAATGATCAGCAACTACAGAAGCTCTCAATTGTCAAATAAACTCTCCTTGTCAGCAACTTAGGAAATTTATAGAGAATAGTATGGAGACTATGCATAATGATGTTGGGGTGTAAAGAGCTAATCATGATAAATCATTTGTACCACAATATGAATATGTCCAGTATAAACTGTGTGAACAAAATCTCAGAAATGTCTATTCTGTGACTACTGAACTCCACCATTACAAGAAAAAAATAATAACACTTTGATCAAAAGCTTACTGTGTAATCTTGATCGGCATTCTTTTGCCAGACAATCACTGATTTATCAGTGGAGCCAGAAACTAATTCATCCTCCTCCTCTGTAATAAAATGAAAGTAAAATAGAAATAAGTACAGCAACAAAATTTTTCATTTCTAAGACCTCATCATCCACGCCAATTATTGCATTTGCTGTTGGCCATATATTTCTTGTAATTTCCAGCTCAGGTGATTTTTATTAAGTGAGAAATCATACAATACTCCATTTTTGATATTTTCTTTATCTCACTACCTTTCTACTTAATGATGTATTAATAATGTAAGAAGATTTTAGTTATTGGTCGCTCCTTAAATTAGTGGGATTGAGAAGAAATATTCTGGCGTTTTGTTAGTAAACTCACCGAACCCCGGCCTAGGTATCCACCGCACACAATTCACCCTGTCTTTATGTCCATTCAAAATATGTTCCACTCTCCCGAATGAACCAGATTTAGCTGTCTATATAATTCAAATAAAACAATTATTCACCGAAGTATAAATCACCAAACCCGTGGATGCACGTGGAAAATAAAAATTTCGATGTGTAATGAGTCTACAACTCTACCTTTGGGCGATACAAGGCTATAGAATAACAAGCACCATAAGCCAGCCAGCCATTCCTTCCCCAGTCCACACACAAGGGAGTCCTGTTACATGCAACACTGACGTATTCCAAAGAACATTTGCAACAAGAAATCATATTTCTGTTGTCTTCGTTACTTTCGTCCGCCATGACGGTTTTGTAATCTTAGATGCAAATCCGCTGATCCACTGCACTCATCTCCACTCAGGATACACTTCAGTCGTTGGAGCCTGGGGGCAAGGCATCTTGGTAATACTCGAGGCTGCTAGAACCGCAGAGTTGCTCCAAACGCCAAAAGTTGCTCAAAAGTTGTCGAGCACAATCAGGACAGGAGCAGAGCCGACAGCTCAGAATTTAAGTTTATATGGTTTAACGTAAAAATTTTAGAAATTCATGTTGATTATAAAAAAATCTTACGCAATTACTAAAATATCCAAACTTGCTTATTAACTGTTTTTGCTCGTTTGCTTGTTTTTCTACTCTGAAGTGCATCCTCCCTTTCCTTAGCCATGACTTTAGGCATGTGTTTAGGGCTGGAGCGATATCATTGGTCCATCATGAGTCCATATACACCAATGTCGCCCCGTCAAACAAACCACATCTGCTTTGATTCAAAAGGGACTGAAATTTAAATCAAGCACAATTATACTTTCAATACTACTGTTTTGGTTTTACATTGAAATTAACATATCAATGAGAAACCAAGAGAACCAGAGAAAACGGGTGACAGCATTATACTTTTTTTATCAAACTGCACTAAGCAGAGTACAAATGTCTCGCGAGTCGAGTACAATATAATATACGTATCATAATACTTCCTAAACATCTCAGCACAAGTATTATTGTATTAAAATAGCCTTTGTTGAACATTTCTTGATCGTTGTGTTTTTTTTTTCTGATGGTGTGCATTGGCAGACAGAAAGAGAAGATACGAAATGGCAAACGTTGTTAACGTTTTCATGGTGCCATGAATGAGCAGTGAATGAAGTGAGTAGTTATGAGGGGCATTGAGCATATGTGCACGGCAGAGATTGACACACGGTAACGAAACATAACGAAACAATTCTCACAACTGCAGCTGGTAGAATTTTAAGCCTGAGAAAAAAAAGCTAAGTGCTTCCACGCTATTTTTAAACAAGTGGGCGTTATGTTATCGGTAATGAAAGGCGTCGTAATGTCTCGCTAACAAATGGTACGAGAAGTATAAATAATTAAAATGGATAAAGAGATTCTTTTCGTTAATTTTTCCAAACAGTTTTCCCGGACTGGAAGAATTCTTAGGTGTTGTTAAATGACGCGCTATCAAGCGTTGATGCTGCATGTAGGGCCGAACTGTTCATATCGGTATCTTTAAATTTACGCCGGTTCAAAAATTTTGATCCAAAATGTTCTTTAGCGCGTATATTAAATTTACACCATAGGCATATACAAAACGTTTCTGCATGGTTTTGCTGCGTAACTCTTTGCTGTGCTCACATAAAGAACTGCTAGATTGTATTGAAAGATTGGTCTTCTTTTCAAAATTATAAGAGTTGGGTAAAAACTAGAACAAACAGCCATGCCCTAAATACCTCTGGCGGGAGCTTGCATGATGAAGAAAACTCAGCTAATTTAATCATAAATTGTCTACGAGCTAACTGTTTTTTTCTTGGCAATGTAGAACGTTGGACTTTTTGCTCGTTCCACACAGCTTAAATTCCATCCATAATCTACATGATCCAGGAGAGTGTCCTCTGCGATAAGTTAGGATTTTTGCTAAGAAGATGGATGTTTGATAGGAGAATAAGTAAAGTTGATCGAAAAGCTGATAGTTGCCCTAACAATGGGAAAACAGATTAAGATAAAAAAAAAAAGAAAAGCTTTGGCTATAACCGCAAGTCTTTCCCTTTTGAAGGCGAGGTTCCATTTAATTTTACCGCTGAACTGCGAAAAGTTTATCCCATTTCATAAAAATAAAATAAAAGTTATCTCACCTACATAATCCGGAATTAATCATTACAAAGAATATAAGCTCTCTCTTATAAACGGAAGACAAGATGTGTTGCCACAGGCGAGAAAAATATCAGAGTTGGAAGACTTGTCAATGAAAAATTTCCCTTATTTCGCCAACCAGCTGAGCAGAAACGAGATAAATTGTTACCAATATGAACAATTACTTCTAATTCTATTTTAACGTTAATTCGTCACGTTTTATTGTTGATATCATTTAAAAACGGATAGAACAAAACGTTTTATAACTTAAACATTGTAACAAACCGAATCGTACCCCCCTAAGTTTTTATGGTCAGGAATATAAAACAGCTTTTCAAATTTTGTGAGAAATGGTAACCTGTAATTTTGGATTTAGAGGCAGTCATATAGTATTCAGTTTCTTAAAGTACCCGACTTTGCGGTGTTTTCAATGTTAATGCTAAATTCGCGACAAATATCTTTACTGGGAATCAATGAAATATCTAATTATTCAAACACGTGCTTGCAAGCACCTTCTGTACCTTAAGTAGCTATTTAAACCATTAAACCAATGTTAAATAAAATTAAATTCGTTTTTATTGCGGCAGTTTAGTTTTTTGAGAAGTATAATTGAATAATGGAACAAAAAAGTTACTTGGAGCAAACTCCAAGCAGGGTAAATCCTACAAATTGTCGAATGGGGAAACCTTTCGTTGTTACAGCAACCAGTTCGCGAGAAAGGATCGCCACTCGTAAACAAAGAAAAAAAAACCTGATTTTCATCTTACCGAAAATCAATATTTCGCTGAAATTTTTTCTTTTAACTAGTCACGCAATTGAGAACGAGCACTCAAAAAGAAATCAACCGAGTGGTTAATCCATTACCGAAACATATCTGCGTTTTCGCAATTTGGTTTATGATACATGTTGTATGAGTAAAAGTTGATGCTTAAAAGCAGCTCATCGAGGATAATTTTACATGAAATTAATAGGTGTCGATTGCCTTTTGTTTGGGGAGTGAATAGCCCAGTTTTAAATTCAAAGCGTTTGCTTAGTTATAACAACTTAAAAAACATGCAAACAAAATAATCCTATTTTCGTCATGTTTGTATTCATCCCATTTCATGTAATTTTGTGTTCATTTCCCGTTAAACAATTTTTGTACTTTCGCTATCCTTTTTGCCTTTAAAATGTGAAATTCGTTATCATTTCAGATAAAAGTAAGAAAGCTTTGATTGAAAAACAATTTGCACAGCCGATAACCGCTTGATTGAGGTACTTTTACAAAGGTGGAATATTGATTAGACATCTGTCAATGAATTGCTATCAATAGAGATGATTGAAGTCACATTCAAAAGCATAGTTATGTTCTGCCCTTGAGCAGTAGCACCAACGTACGTGATAATCAACTCGGTACTGAGGTTCTTTACTAAAAGCAGTAAGAACTCAGTTGCAAAAATGCAGCCGGACTATACCACTTCAAACCACTGGCCACCTCTCTCACAGAATTGTTGGCTGTACCAGCCGACCGTCGCTGCTCCATCGTACTTTTCCATGGCAGAGTTTCATCCGGATACCGTGAGAGGTGCGGGTCGTTATTCCGACCAGATGGTTCTGAATCCACCAGGAGATAAGCCAGCGACTCGAACAAGCCATCTCAGTTCATACCGAAACTCATCCACAAACTACCAAACACCTACCAGTTATCTACCTTCCCATGGGAATACCTTCTACCCAGCTCGCGGTCCGATACGCCAAGATCTCCTATCTTCCCCAGCAGACCCTTACCGAATCCTCGAACGTGGAACAGCAAATTCGCAATACTCCTCCTTCAACTCGTTGCTGGAGCGGAACACCGACTTAGCAACTAACAAAGGTTAGCCACATATTATTGCTACCTATCCTCATTGAAGAAAACGGTCGTGTATAATATCTTTGATGCTTTTTCTAATGTTTTGTTTATAAACCCATTATCTGGTACAAGTTTGCCCATAAAATGCATTATACCAGGCGAGATTAGAAAATGGATTAATTTATATCACCACACGTTGGGAAAAATTGTGTTATGAGACCATCGCTACGGGAATAAACATAATTCTATCTATGCATGTTTGAGCTGAAATCCCAGGGAAACAGTTTGTCGGAAACTTCACCAGTACTTCAATAAAAAATGAATCTCTTTATGATCATCAGACATCTACTGAAAAAGCAAGTTGTTTACGTCTCATCAAAATCATAAATAACCATTCAAATTCATTCATTTCTTCTCTGGATAATAAAGTTCTAGGAACACAGGAATTGTCTTCAATTGTTAGTGACAACTCATTATGCCCTTATAATTGGAACGCATTTGAATCAGTAGGCGTCATCTCTGATCCGTGGTCCCGAACGTAGGAGAGCAAATGAAATCTTTACTCCTTTTCTGGGGGCTGTGGGAATTTTTTCCTTGAAACTATTTGGCATAAAATGTTTTCCAGAACATAAATTGTAATTTTTTTCTCTTCTTTCCCTTTTATTTTTTTTTAATCAAAACTGTTCATTCTAACATGGTGACGTGTACCATCAAGTTGAGCTATACGAACAGCCACATAAAAAATTTTAAACAGAGTGAAAAAGATCACAAACCCGTTTTGATAAACACGGGTTTTCCTATTTCTCATGACACGGTGCATATTCGAATGCGTTACAGGGGGAAAATTCTCTCTCACAGCACCCTGGTGCCACGTAACTTGAACAATTTTTTTTTTTATCGAGCTAAGTTGAATTTTTCTAAGAAATCACTTAGGGGTTTTTGTGCCAACAAGACAAAAGAATCAGTAATTTCAAAAAGGCTTCTAGTAATATAATGAATATGAATCCCATAAAAATGCCAAACCTGTCGCTCATTAAGTGGCATTGTGGAAATATGCCCTTGAAAAATTGAACCTATACAATAAGAATTGTGCAATACTTGTGAAAAATACTTCGTGGCTGGTATGACGTGGCCTTTCGTCTCGGCAAAAAGACTCCTGAACTTTCGGAATTTTCAAGAAAATCGTTAAGCATCGCGCTTTAAGTCCCCGGTTAACGAATTCAAGATGTTTGTAGTCCGCTAGCCCTCTATCCAAGAGGGATTTCCAACAACACATTCACGATTAACAATTTATACACAAAAAAAGAGTTGTCCAATCTATAGAATTGTCAAAAAAGATACTACGTGACTGGTAAAAAATTGAATAACTATACTTTTAATCACGAGGTAAACGTTTTAAATCTATATTTTTCAAAATCGTTGAAAGAAAATGTCGACAAATTTCCCCTTTCAGTTTGTTATACAAATTTTTCATCGTTCGCCCATTCTTTTTCAGCGACAAGAAGTCTTACAAATTGTGGGTTTATAACGAAACATTTGAATCGATGACTTCTACAATTCCCTTGGTTGTGTTTGAAATACCAAATTCAATTCAATACGTTCATTTCTAAGGCGTTTTTGGAAAGAAAAAAATTGATATCCGATAATTGTTTTTGTCAGTATCCCCTCCAAGTAAACTCTTTACATTTAGGTCTCGAAGATAGAACACTAAAAAAGAAGCTTCCCAGTCTTACTACAGGAGGGTTAAAATTGGAGAAAAAGGTTGGAAAAGTTTAGAAGATTTTTGATGTAATCAAATTTTAAAATATCAAATACAAGAAAGTTTCGACCTTCATCATAACCCTTTTAATCCAGTAGCTAATACCTACAATTATTTGACCACCCACAATTCAACTAATTGCTAACATCGCACCGTTTCATGCGCTGCAGAAATAGGAACACCGCTAACTTTCACCAACCCTCTAACTCAGAAATGATTAACGTGTAACTTTTCCCTATGATATTCAGGCATTATTCAACAAACAGGCCATGAGAAAACTCAAACGTATCAGGTAGAAGTTGTTACAATGGCCTAACACCAACTTCTCGTAACTAATCTGAAAGGAAATGTGTAGCATCTAAGAGGGAGATTTAAGGATAAGATGTTGGGAGTTTAATGGGTTATATACTCAAGGAACATACCTGAGTGTGAGACTTGTTGTCTACATTACATTTTTTTGTAATGATAAAACATGGAAAAAACGCAATAAGAACTCAAATTTAAATTTTTTTTTATAAATGGGCTTTGTGTCACCACTGATTAATTTTCCAGAGAAACGTTTGGTAAAAGTCTATTGTTCTGTTCCGAAACAACTGTCTTAAAACAAGAAAAAGAGATCAATTTATCTGTTCATGTTCTCTTGTTAAAAATCATGTCATCCAAGGATGCACGTGAACAACAATACTGAAAAAAAAAAAAAGAAAAAAAAAAAAAAAAAAAGAAAATCCAGTCGTGCATTTGATATTCATTTCTGTAATGAAATAGGTTTTAAATGATTTTTAAAACTTTTAGACTCCTTTCTTACGGGTTCCCCTCGCTTGGAAGAGAGCTCTTCCCTTGCTCTTGACGACAAGGTGACCAGGCCACAAAGAGGTCGTACCGTCTTTTCTGCTCATCAACTGCACGAGCTAGAGAAGGTTTTCATCACTGATCAGTACATCTCTGGGCAACAAAGACGACGTCTTTCTGCTCTACTCGGCCTGACCGAGACACAAGTGCGAGTTTGGTTCCAGAATCGGCGAATCAAATGGAGAAAGAACAGATTGGAACGAAAGATCAAAATGTAACGAGTCCTTGTGGATGGAAGTGTCTTAAAGAGTGAAGTTAAGGACTGGATAAAAGGAATAGATAGAAGAACAAATAGACTGTCACACATAGATATCAAAATCGTTTAGACTTAAGGTGTGGATTCAATGTGTCTAACAGAGGTTTGTCAAAAAAGGAAACTTCCTTTAAAAGTATAGATAACATTGTGGTTAAGATTGTCGCTTTGTTGTTATTGCTGTCCATAATCTTGCTTGCATCTTAACAAGTTGAGCGACTTTTGTCCACGATTACTGAGTAGACTCGAGGTTGGCCCAGTGACATAAATGCCGAATTTTGGGGGTAGATGTATAGAATCTCTAGGAAATCACTGCGAAATTTTGAAAGCTCGTTGATATTAGGGGCTCTTCCCGCTCTTCATTCTTATAACTTAAACGAGGACATGAGCAAGAGTGTGAATCTCGTTGTCTAGAACCTGAACATTTTCACTGTCTCTATTTCGACAGAGACACTTTTAAACACAGGATGTCTCTAACATAGTTACCCCTAGGAAAATGAAAGTAAATTCTTAGTGTTTCGAATAGTTAGTTTTCAGGTGTAAATATATATAAAAAGAAGTTTAAGAAGTATTTCGAAACTGCTGGAGAGATAAGTGTGTTTTATTTCAGCTTACTTTTTGACTTGATTGGTTTATGAATTGTTATATACTCAAAGGAAATGACTGGTTGACTGCTGATTGACAGAATTAATGGTTGAGTGACATATTGAAAGATTGAAAGATCAATCGGTAGTTATATTGATTTATTGACTGCTTGGAGTTTAAGCTAAAATAAAATAAAATAAAATTGCATAATTGAAGAAGAAACCTAGCTTGAAACCAGCACTTTAAATAGGTTTTCATCATCTTAGATCGATAAATTAAACTTATTACAGTAGTTTACAGATTCAGACTACCAAAGTGTGTTTTCCTATCAGTTTGTCAAAGCATTTCTTGAATATTTTGACCAGGGCAAAATGTCTCGGTTGAAACAAATCTGAGGGGAATCCAATTAGCTACCCTTGTAAATGACAACTGTGAATGGCAAACATTACACTCGGTCTTGTAGGTTACGGAGGATAACTTGCAGGAGCTGTCTCCACCCTCTTTAACTGACTCGTCCTCAGTCTTCTCTTTTTTTTCACGCATGGTCACAGGGTCGTGGAAGACTGGCCCTATTTAGTCGAAGGACCTTTTATTCCTTCCTATTCTCCTCCTCGCGCACTTTCCGCGTGCTCTCAAAATGATGTTTTAAAGGAAGTTGAACGACTGAGGGTGGGTTATTATTTCTAGTATCATATGGGGACGACTTTCTCATGGTGATAATGATTATGCTCCTTATCTGTGCGTATCGAAGAGGATGAGGATCAGCACATCAGTGTCAAAACTCCGACTTCGAACAGATAATTCTAACAGCGTCATATTGCCTTGACGGTTGGCGGCTCAAAGGATGATTCGGTCCCAGACCTCAAGGTAAAGTTCCCTAGATCTCAGGCCTTTTTATGCTTATGTTCCCTTTGAGCCGTTTCGCGTGATACCAGTAACCGTGAGAAGACCATATCAGCGGACGACTCATCTTTTTCTCAAATCACGCGAGGAAATGTTATTCTGATTACTACTCCTGTATATACAAAATTTTCACTGGGTCAGCGAACAGGGACGACCTTTGCGTTTAATTCTCGTTACCGTGCCGTCGTGTTCGTAATTATGAATTGTTGACAACTTGATTTGGTCTAAAAAATTTGTATTTAATGTAAACCAATCGAACTAAAGTCAAACTTGACGATCCACATAGGTAAAGTTACAAAATAACAGGCATTTTCTGTAGTTCTCCATCGGTATATTTAGGACAAAGAAAAGAAATTTATTGTTCCGTTCAGACGGTTCTGATTGATTATGGAACTTTCCAGTGAAATTAATCAATTTGGTCGGCCAGTTGTGTGGATCATTCTGAATGACAGCGTCTCGTGGCAGAACTTGCACAATGAAACCACCTGTTTTCCTTCTGTTCGATTAGAAAACCTTAATCTATCGTCTGTGAAGTATCCAAACATCACGTCCCTTTATATTTTTGTGTCTTTTTTTGGTAAACAGATGTTCTGCTCTAATAAGCAATTTCATTTAAGTTAAAACCATTTTTTTATGTATGATTCATGACTTATAAATTTATTGATGTAGAGTTATCGTAGAACATAAGTAAACTTTTCAAAACAATCACTCAATTTTTTCTTCGATAACTCCACCGTCGACCTTGTAAAAATGGTCCTTCTAGCAGACATTCTCTACATCGAGTTATTCTAATCATCACGTGATCCGTAAACAAAGTAAACAGTAGTACAAAAGTTCCCTGACATTTAACACAATGCAATGGAGCGCATTAGTTTTTGTCACGAGATCTATATATAGCGTGCGTTTCCAAGTTACGGGGTCTACTACATAGACATTCGTACCACACTGAAAAGAGTAAAGAGCACTCGAGTTTTCTTTTCTTAAATTAGTTGAATGATCATTTCGCTGGATTTCTATAAATATATCCGACATCTGTATAATTAGCTGGTAACTACTTGTAGAAACAAAAACGTTTTTCATATTATAAAAATGAATCTAGGAAAGCTCAGCGTCCGCTCGAGAAAATAAAATCAAACATATTCTATTTTTTTAGAATATTCATCCAAGAGAATTTTGGATATACTACATATTTCAACCATTGACATATAATTTTTTAAGATGCAATTATTTTAATGCCAATTATTCCCGTTTCTCTGCATCGCAAATACGCAAAGTGGTCTGATTAATTAACATTCGTCCTTGGAACAGGTTTAACTATCACGATCTTCCATTGTCTCCTTTCGGCTTTTCTTCTCTCCTTCTTTCTTTCTTCCTTTTTTTTTTTTTTTTAAACACTCGTTTGGTTTTTGTCGATCAATTAAACTTTCTAGACACGTGCTTATTTGCGCAGAGTAGTCTTTGGTCTAACTTTTCCCTTTTTCCCTTCCTTTCCCTTGTGCTAGTGCTTGGGCTCTTCGACGTTCGTTTTTATTCGGAAAATAAACCTTATTCCTGCGTTTGTGCTTACGCTTGTGATTGCGCCGCTAATGAAAACTGGGCTTTACCGCCGTCTGTTTCGCCTTACAGTGCAGCTGAACCTTTTACACGATCGACAGCCGCCTATGGTTAAAGATATTGAACCTCTACTAAAGATGTTCCAGTTTTGTCCCTAGTCATACATACATCTATTTGGCTTCCAAATCTTACCAATGACACGCACACTTAACTAATGTAGGATGTGGCTAAATCATTTTCTTTATATTGTCGAAGGCAAATGATTATTCGGTTTTTTTTCATATCAGACACTAAAAGAGAGAGAGAGAGAGATTCTGCTGAACGGGTAGAATATCATTCCTTTGAAAGAGTCACTGTTATTTACCCCTAAAGTCACAGAGCTAAACAACGGCCATTAGCAATCATTAGAAAATATGGCAACAAAGGAGAGCGTTACAATAAATTAAAATTTTACTCAGTAGCATTATCAATTAGAAGTCAAACTGGAAAAATAACAGGTCTTTTATATGTTTACGACGGAAAACCATTTCACCCGCAAGCCTCGGTTTCACATGTTAATCAGGAAAGTTTTCCCGAAAAAAAAAATACGTTAAAGGAAACCACAGATTCATTAAAATGCTGGTAAAAACACGCTTGGGGGTTTATTTTCAGTAAACAACGTCATCATGCCAAAGAGCAATTTTCGCGAAACGTGAAAGTATTAAACAAAGCTAAATGAGTCTCTACGCTTTGTTTTTTTTTTTTTTTCAGCTGTTGATCGAAAGGACTGTTGGTGTGTTAACTTAAGCCAACAAAAAGTTAGTTTCATATGATGTTCACTTATTCAAGACCTGCTGTTGTACATGGAGTCTTACAGTGATATTTATGAGGCCATTTATTTCATAAAACGAACCCTAAATAAAACCAAGGGTAGAAAGATTTTATGAATATTCAGAACAAGCGCTTTGTTTTATCACCTCGTCGAATTATCGATTTTAACCATTAAGAAGACAACGAAAGCAAAATGACCACCAGTGGAGAGAGATCAGTTGCAGTTTTCACGCTCGATTCAACACTTCCTTTTCGTCTTTTGTGGTCGGTAAAAGAGATTGTTGAACACAGAAATGGTCGCAAACTTCCTCATTTTCATAAACGTGTTTGTTTAAAGACACTTTTATTTCATTATTAAAGCAATTAGCAGGTAAACATGATGTCCCGATGAGCCAATACAAAGCTCATTTACACATTTCAAAAACCAACTATTACGTTTTCGTGCACTCTTGGTTCAAATTGACAGACGGCTTAATGAGTGCGACAGGACAAAGCTACCATTGTACGAAAAATAAAACTTATTGGAAAATAGAATGAACACATTGACTAAACCTAGCATTAAATTGGAAAATAGGCATTGGAGATCTAAAAACAGAGAATAGAAATATCACCACCAGCCTCCTTAGTAAATGTGGTCTTTCGTTGCTAGACAATTGGAAGGTTGCGCGTAAATATGCCGTATAGAATTAAAGGATAAGAAGTCATAATGTGCGTTTTATCTCAGTTATTATTAAAAAGTTCTGCCAGATCACGAAGACAGAACCAACTGCAATAGAGCACGCCACTCGCATTACCACACGATCGAAAAGCATGCAAACCGACGAGCGATCATCTCCGTTGAAGGCGGACAGCGACAACATCTTCCCTTGCCCATGCAGTGTCTGTGTGCCAACATATGGAAAAGATTTCAGCAGTGAGACAGCTCTAATGGCACCTCCTAGAGAGACAATGTCGAGGCATCATCGACTATTAGGCTTTACTGGCCCCCCGATTCCCATGTTACCATATACTCAGATTCCGGGTTCTCCTACTCGCCTCTTGATGCCGTACCCTCTTCATAGAGCGCCATATCAAAGAGCAGTGTTTGCCCCCGACGCCTGTTACAGATCGGGAAGTGTGCAAGAAACTCCCAAACAAGAAATCTTACGAGAAAGCCATCTCATTCAGACTGAATCCTTAACACCAAATCCCGATGCTTCTGGGAGATATTGGGACCGATCTGGTAGTAAGTATAGTAATGCTTTAAAATCTTTCATCCTCATCGATGTTTTTCAGTTCGTGTCCAACAATAGGATACAAATCAATGAGCGTTTTTTATGGAGAAAGAGGTTGAAGTCACGTACTTTATTCACTAGCATGTTTTTGGCTTTGCTGCATGCTCTCACCTTTTAAGTTTTTTTTTTCTCATCCACAAAGCTTCCCAAATTTTCATCGAGAAAATGGACTTATAATAAGTTAAAATAGAAGCTATTAAGGCTGAGCGTGTTTGAGTGTGTAAACAATGAATAATGCTGCCAATTAGAAGTGAAAAGATTCCCAGTTAAGGATATAATTATTGAATTAAATTAAAGTATTTTGATGTCACGACATTTAAAGAAAAATTAACTTTTAAGTTGAACATTTTTCGGGAGACACCGACTCGACATCTAATTGATTGAATCACGTTTCTTATCGTGTATTTGCTTTCATGTTTCAATCCCAATTGTCTTAAACAAAGATGTTTACTTTCACATTGACTAATTCTGCGCCATAGTTATGAATATTAGCAACAGCTTAATTGCGTATTAAGTAATTAGAAATTTATGCTTAGTAAGTGTGGTGGATAAAAAGATAGCATTGACTTAGTTGGGAGTCGTTTGAATGGTTTCGCAGAGAAACAGTTGTCGAGCTGAGTACTGAAGTCACGCAAGAAGTGGAGTTTCTTTTCAAAGGATACAAAAAAAATAGCCGCAGAAAAGGAAAAACCTCTCTTTCTTTCTTACTACAGGACGTGGGCATAGAATATTAAGTTTCTTAAAAAAACCAGCAGCTTTATTATTCGATTCTCATCTGTATATTTCAGCTTCGAGTGTTAAACTCGATAGCTGACGAGTGAGCGCAGCGAACGATTGAGATGTCGAGTTGAACACGGGACATGTCCCAGCGTTGAAATATTTCGACCTATTATTCCTTTGTGTCAATATACAAGTTTGTCTCCTTGTACTGCTTTTCCGTTTTCAAAACATGCAACCACGGAAGATCTACAAACGCTTCACATATTTCGAAGTGGAAATGTCCCAGCGTTAAATTACGCCGGCTTATTATTCCTTTGTGTTAAATACAATATCTACCGAAAGTTTATCTCATTGTGATGCTTTTCCGTTTTCAAAACGTGCAATCACGGAGGATCTTCAAACGCTTCATCTGTTTCAAAGTGAAGTCGAATTTTCGTGCGAAATTTATTTCTAAGCCGCTAAATTCACAAGTTATTGGTTATTCCCAAATTCAAAACCTGAAAAATTTTAAAATATCTTATTTGAGAATTTATTTACGTTAATCAATATTAATTATGTTTTACCATTTTCCAGATAAAGGTCCACACGAGAAATCACGCCGAATGCGCACAGTCTTCTCTCCTCAACAGCTCGACAGACTGGAACGATATTTTAAGAATCAGCAGTATGTGGGAAGTGCCCAGCGGATTTTCATCGCTTCACAGCTCGGTCTCTCAGAAACCCAAGTCAAAGTTTGGTTTCAAAATCGGCGAATAAGGTGGAGGAAGACAGCGCTTAATGGTCAAAAAAAAACTCTCACAGAAGACCAAGAGTCCTAATGAAACTTGTGGACTCTAACGAAGTCAATATTGCTTACGTGTACGCCGGGGGCTTTTGAGAGAGAAAGTCCTAACTCTTCAAACCATACCAACATAAACACACTGGAGGTGAGGGGAGGGGCGCGTACTGGAAAGAGGGCGCTTCATCGAAGGGGCGCTTATTATTCTAATGTACTGATTCCGCTTTAGTGGAAGCTTAAGAAGTCGTAAATAAAGTAACATTAATAAGTAGGTGTCATTGGGGTTAACCGTTGGCAAGAAAACGGACAAAAAAAATTAGAAGTTAGGCGTAAAAAATAACAAATTTTATTCGTAACCCGTTAAAAAACTGTAAATTTTTTTCTGTAGATTTGGATGGAAGAAAGTAACCATTAGCCGTAAAATAGCCAAAATCTTAACCGGTAGCCGTAAAAGTCATCACCCGGTTGAGACCCTTTAGAAACAGGTTCTCCATACATCCCTATTATTTAAAAAATTGAGGGAGGAGGGGGAGGGGGAGTTTATTCGAAAGGAGCGCTTGTTTGACAACATCACCTTGGCGATGGGCCCCTATTCGGGGGAGGGCTCTAATAAGAGTGTGGGCGCTTATTCGAGGAATTACGGTAATTGCCTTTTCAAAGGGGGTTTAATTTTGAATCTTTTTAAGGTAGTAGGGTTTCAAGATCCATAGTAAGTACGCAGCAGTTTTAGATTTATTGATTGCAAATAAAAATAAAAAAAGACATTTAAAAAGCTTGTCCACTTAAGTAACAGATGTACAAAAATTCGAACACTAAAAAAAGAGTTTGCAGTCTTTATGATTCCTTAAGAAACAAGACGTACGTAATCGAAGCTCTTGATTGTTAAACAAACTCTCCTTGTAAGCACCTAAGGAAACGTATAAAGAACGGTTTGAAGAGTATGCACACCGATGATAGGGTGTAAAGGGTGAAAACCAAACCAAACAACATATATAATTGCTTTGTTGTTACGTTTTCAGAGCGATCAACGGTTAGGGTTTGAAAGCTACACCTGATCAGTTTCGCATTTCACCCAGCCTTCTCGCCCAATCATCATAATCATTCATCATCATCAGGTCGAACTTGCTCGGTATTCCATGACACGGATGTAGGTCTTTTTTGGGCGTCCTTTCGGCTGAAGTCTATGTGTTGGCTTCCAGAGTAATACATCCCCTGCTAGTTCTTCTTTACTGCACCAACAATGTCCTGCGAATCTCATCCTTTGTTGCTGTAGCGATTCACAGATTGGCGGGATGTGGCCGTAGAGCTCTACGTTTGTGGGGTGGTCCTTCCACGATCTTTTTAAGGCAGTGCGTAGTATTCTAGTGTATGCTCCGTCGATTTTCTTTTCCAGATGTGTTGTTAAGGTCCAGGCAATGCTCATTTAGAGCATCCCACGCCTTTCCTAGTCTGATGTTTACATCATGTTCAGTAGAGGTGATGAAGCTTCCCAGGTATTTAAAATCTTCCACTTGCTTTATCTTCTCAACATTGAGACTCTTCATCCCTCGCCCAATACTAGCTCTTTATTATCCTCAGTATCTATCAGTTGCTGATTAACGTCTCCCTCTTTTATGTGTATACATACAGTTAATACAAGTCTTGCTTAGCTCACGATGTTTATAATAATAACGAGTGGCTCATTATTTTTGGTGCGTTTTGAGGCGCTTACAAACTATAGCCAAAGTCATCAAAACAGCCAATCAATCACAAGAGAGACAACTGACGCCAAGCGAATGAAATATTTAGAGCTGCCTTGAATGAAATTCCCTCAGCTTCACATGTAATACTCAGTGGTGTCGCATTTGCAGGTATGTCGAGATGATCAAATTTAGTAACGATGTCAAAATCACGCGGGGCACGAGTAGAACATTTTTTACCTGAAAGGACATTAAAAGTTGATTAAGTTTCAGGTTTGCTTTGTTCCTAGTTTAATAGCCTATTCATTGTTCAATCCATATAACTGAGACAGGAAATAAACGTTTTATTCTTAAAGCAAAATATTATCAAACAAACAATGAATTAAAGCAAAAACCAAGGTAAATTTTAGTTGACGAATTTACGAGTGAAGAAAGGAATTGGCCATTGCGATATCAAAACAACACTTTTAAAAGCTTCCTATTCAAATAGATTGTCTGTGTTGCAGAATAAATAAACAATTTCTCAGCGTGGGAAAAAATACACTTTTTATACTATCTTTTTCAATTACGAAGGCACCGGAAAAACCAGGTTTTTTTTTCTTTGAAATACGTGCGGGAGCTGAACAACTCCCTTCTGAAAATAATTTTTAAAATTGCGTTGTCATACATGCAATTTTCATGCAAAGAATATTCGTTATTCTTATAATCAATTCTATTTTTCCCATTTTACCATCGATCTACCAACGGATTACAATATAAATTTGCTTCTGGTATAATACAGTAATGTAGCGATTATTTTTTCCTTGCAGGGGATCTGTTACGAGGGCATTAATTTTCTGCCATAACCTCCTCAAAATTTCACTAATTATCTTTCATAATCTTTGAGATCTATCTTTCTTGTGTTATCAATATACTTTCACTTCAGACAAGACAAGATGTTTGTTTTAAATGGACGGCGGTTTTACGCACGACTTTACATAACAACCTACTAATAGATCCTTTGTGTCCATGAATAACTAACTAGCTTCCTGCATATTAATCCATAAAAAGGTTCGGTTGCTTCGTGTCTTTGCCAGTCTAACAATCCTGAAGAGGAGACATTTTCAAACGTTAATTAAATGTCTTTCCTTTCAAAGACCACACACCGTTGCTACTTTTCTCTAGCTGACCCCGAGCGAAAGTCACGCTGAGTTCAAGTCTGTGAAGTTCAAGGTAATGAATTCATATCGTGTTTGGCCCTCATATTTTTTTTTTCTGTTAAGGGAGATGTTACTGTTTCATTTTCTCCGAGACATGATATCTATGATATCCATGTATAAACTTTTACTTTAATTTTACCCGTAAAAAATGCAAAAAAGAACAAAAATAAAATCAAAAGAGCGTTTTACTCCTTAAATTTGAAGGAATCTATCGCGAAATAACAGTTTGAATAAGATTGCGATGTGTTCCATTTTTATATTTTGATTTAGTTAATTTTTTGACTCTGCACCGCAATCCATTGAAAATGAATTTTCAGTAAAAAAGCACTTTACGTTTACTTAGCTCAGATTACAGTTTTATCTAGTGTGTGTGATAATTCTAAAGACAATAAAAGATACAAGCACTTGCAAATTTTGGGTTCACCTTGGGCACATTATCTCAAGTACTCTTTAGCCTTTTAAAATAAAGCCGAAAATTTTAAAATCTTTCGAAGAGATTGATGAATATTCTTAGAAGTTTTTTGGAATAAATTCCTGAAAAAAAAGCTCTTGTTATATTGCGAACCAGAAACAAAGTGCAAAGTGATGTAAAAAAACAAATTATGGTTTGTAAGGAGAACAAAAAGACGATTATTGAAAGACAAAAACATTTACCCTTAACACCAAAGAAAAATCCGTATTTATTATAAATGCGGATTTCAATGAAACGTCCAGTTATAAACTGGAATTATGTTCTATGTTAAATTAATAAAGTTTTTCGAAAGGTCTTATTTTTGTGCTCTTGAACATTACTTGTTTTTGTTCATATATATTTTTTCCAAATAATAAATGTCATCAGATGGATACAAGTGAATTATCTTCTGCTTGGTTTAGCTAAAATATTGCAACGTAAGTCTTTATGAAATGGAAAGATGTTAGATTTATTTGCGTAGTAAATGTAATAAGTTTCAGAACTAAGTTACTTTCCTAGAGTCCTCAGCATTAGGCGAGGTAAAGCACAGGCACCTCAAAAAGAACATTGTGTGGCATCAAACTGCCAGTCAAAATGTGAGAATTTCAGGTGATAAGGTAGTATGTTTCTTTAACATGAAGAGATTTTAAAAGTAAGCTCATTGCACAAAATATCTATTTATTTAAGGAAAAGTGGACGAGAAAAATTAAAATTAGGTGTCATACGACGCATTTAGGAAGGAGGAAAGTTTAGAGGCAATTTGAGAGCCTTTTTGTGAAGAGCATTCAGTGATGACATATCCGTAAGATCAATCATGCATCCGCATTAAGATTTTCCTGTGTCCCATTTCAAAGTATCGATCATGTGCTGTCACTTTCAACAGACACACATAATTACCAGCAGACACTACGTGACCGGCCGTTTCTCGGAAATAAATAATTGGAAACAAGACAGTAGATAGCTGTCATCGGGGACGAATGAACTCAACGCTAACTGACACTGTTCTATTGACATGGCTTTGTGACTTTTGAATTCTACATAGACTTTCTGTTTAGCTAAAGAAGTTTCGATTCAATTTTGACCTACCGTTGGCCAGCAGCGACATTAGACTCCAAGATTCGTCCATGAACATGAATGGTATGGTTGCCAAGGAAAAAAAAAGGCGTTTGTTGTAGTTTATGTCAGAGATAGTATCAAAGAAATGATAATAAATTGATTCAAGTAGGACCCAGAGATAAACGAAGAAAAAGTGGATATGAGAAATTGGAATTATTTTACTAATAATGAGCGGTATAATGCGCACAAACCGCGATAAAAACATCGCTAGATATATATCAATTTTTGGGCCATTTCAATTCCAAGCGGTACCTTGGAAATTAAAATCCTGAAAAAAATAACCATTATATTCACGCAGAATCGAGTGAATCTGATAGTCAAAGGTTTGATTTTGATCTCAATTTTAGAAAAAGTATTTGTTTTTATCCTGAAAATGTCAAGGTTTCGAAAGGAAATGAATGTCATTACTTTTTAATCTACGTGCGCGTATTAAAACATTTTTAAATTCTAGTTCCGTTGTTTGCTTATTCTTTGTCTGCTTTCAGATCTTACATAAACTGCCAAGACAGCGAAACCGCGACGGCTATGATGAACGTTCTTCATAATGGTAAGTTTGATGTTTTGGAAGATGAGCTAAGAAAAATGCTGGGGTGTTAGTAACCATGGTAGTATCTGACGATTCAGTCTCGTTTTAAGTTCGGGAAGTGCAAAACTATTTAACTAGATTAGCGAAGAAACGAAGACAATCCCACCTTTAAAAAAAATGAAGCAATACAGTCAGTTTCCCAGGTGAAATTTGAAAACAGTAAAAAGGAAGTAGGGACGGAAAATAGTGTCTTGGAATCCAAGAAGAAAAGACGCCGATTAAAAAAAAAAAAAAGGAAAATTGTAAATCTTTGTAGAAGCGGAGACGAAACGAATTACTGCTGCACCAGTGAGTGAAGTTTGGAATTCAATGAAGTCCTTTCTACTGAATACAGCATCTTTCAAATCCTAGAGAAAATTATTTTATCATAAACTTTTTCTTCTTAACCAGATTCTGATGGGAGCGTCGGTAATGACAGCGACCTGTCACAGTCTTCAATTTCCCTGAAACTTCAAATTGGTATGACGTTTGCTTACGTCATCATCTTTATCATCTCTCTGGTAGGAAACGCTCTAATGATTTACGTCATACACAAGACGCCTCGACTCAGAACTACGACCAACCTATTGGTGGCTAATATGGCTGTAGCTGACGTAATTATCACATTTTTCGCTGTGCCTTCAACTGTGATGTACTTATATCTACAGCATATTTGGTTATCTGGCGTGATTGGTGATATCACTTGCAAGGTCGTGCAATATGGCTTGACATTGTCAATAGCTGCCTCTGTTCTCACACACATACTGATTGCGATCGACCGTTTCATCTGCGTTGTGTTTCCTTTCAAACGCGTCACATTCTTTAAGAAAGTTAGACCGAGCTACGTATTAACCTGGTGTGCTTCGTTGCTTCTAATGAGTCCGCATCTGGTTGTTTACGACAGCGCAAAGCTACCAAACGGTAAGAGCTACTGCACAGTAAGCCGGCTTGAATATCTGTACTTTCTTGAGATTTATTATGTCTTGGTGTTTGTAACGCTCTATTTGATTCCATTGCTGTTCATTGCAACACTATACGCGTTTATCTGCCGAAAGCTATGGAGGCATAAAGTACCAGGAGTACGCTCCCCTGACCTTATTCTTAAGAGAGAATTCCAAAACAAGAACACCGTCAAAATGCTTATCATTCTGGTAATAGCATTCACATTGTGTTGGCTACCAGTTCACGTCGTACATCTACTGGAGTATTTTCGGCCTGAATTACATTTGCCTCATGTGGCATTACTTTTGTCCTTCTGGGCCTGTCACTCCCACAGCGCAATCAATCCATTACTGGTTGTATTTCTTAATGGATTGTACAGAAAAGAATGTCAAGAGAAAATTAACAAGAAATTGGCCAGCTTATCAATCAAGAGAAGTACAGGAACAAATATAGTTTTAGCTCCACAAATGAGAACTGCAATATCCCGAGCGCCATCACCACAGGCCTTAGGATAACTATGACCGGAGGTACACACGGACGTTTGGGTAGTTGGGTGGGGGAAACTTTTGATAGATAGGGTACGTAAGGAGTATGGCACCTCCGATGGCATTGGCCCATAGACGATAGCCTCCCAGATAGCTGCCAAAACGGCCACCAAGATGGCTGCCATGATTACTTCCAAAATGGCTACGAAGACGGATGCTAAGAATTCCTCCATCATACGTACTTAAGCACCGATGTTAGCTTGATAATAGTAAATGAACCGTTATGATGAATCTAAAACTGACACTTCTCAAACCTCAGCCGGTTAACAATTCGCCTAAGCGATATTTCCATAGCTGTTCTTAATACGTTAATGCTTGGGTTTGTTTATCTATAAAGGAATATTAAATAGGGATTATCTTATAGCCTAAGGAAAAAAAATGAATGCGCTTATTATGTAATTTTTCTATTTCATACAATGATCATTGAGTTTCTCTGTGAGAAGCTCATGTGAAATGACACTGAAACAAGCTAAATGGAGGTACTTAATTTTACTCAAGAAATGAACGACAGATTGTATAGCCGCTTAAGAAAGTGGAATCATGGTTTAAGGGCTAGGTATTTCTATGTAGCACTTAACTTTTTCCTGCCGCGCCGGTTTTTGGGATATAACAAAGCTTCCCACACAATTAAGGAAGCTTCTTTCGAGAAGTTTTGTGTGATATACCAAAGAAAGACACTAATTAAAATATAGACGCATGGACTCTAAATGGTTTGACCATAACCTTTACTAAGATACTCTTCAAAATGCCTGAGTGCATCAAGCTCTAATGACCAATTTAAAGCTCTTCCTTCGTACAAGGTTTTTGGATTGTCATACTACACCTCTACAACTTGACCATAATTCAGCGAGAGACGTTGTGTGACCATCCAAAGTAACTGCGGCGAAAGAAGAGCACTTCAGGATGTATAGGTCACAATCAGTAATATTTAATGTAAACATCAACACAAACACGCCCTTGGTTGTCGCCATCATTTTTGTTTTTGAGATCTTCGCCACACCAAATGCGGAGCTCACGGTGTTTTTCCAGGTAAAATGGGACGCCAAAATTTGTGAAGACAAGCTCCTTGGAGTACGACTCATCCACCCCAGGCATCGCATACCACAGAGTCGACAGGTCTTTGAGGTACTCCGTCCTTGGGTAGATGATATTGTTTCTCTGGTCAGTGACAATGACGTTTAGGGTCGTTTTGCTACCTGAATGACAGCCCCAGCGACTGTTGTAGGCCTTGTTTGGCGTGCATCTGGAATCACAGAACAGCGAGCTATGTTGCAATCGTTGAAGTCATTTTTTTTTCTTCGGCGTTCAAAATCTTATTGATTTTAAAACTATTAGCCTGTTTAAGGCATTCAGTGAGTAAATGTAGCGCGACAGAAAACGGCGCGATAACAGAGATGAAGCGAAAAAGAGAGAGAGAGATCTAGGTCAGGTCGGTTTAAGGCGCGAAAGCAAATCTCTATCCCCTGGTTTTTTTGCTCCGCCACTACAATCTTACCGTTTTCTACTGCGCTCTATTTTACCAATTGAACGCTTAAAATGGACAATGAAGATTCCGTAGTGCTAGTTCACTAAGACTGGACAAGAAAACAGAAACAAAGGAGATGATAAACCAAGAACAAGTAAAGGTATCTGAGAATGGAGAAGGTTTAGAAGACGGACGGACGAACTTTAAAAGATGAGTCTGACGTGTTCACTCCTTTAGTTAACAGTAACACGCCACCCCTCTCGGAAAATTGCTTCACTGTGATTGGTTTAAAATTTTTCTTGTTTGATGACTGTGCTAGAAGTAAAATGGTGGTTATGCACTGAGGTAACTATAGCTACTAAAGCTCTTTAATTCATTAATTCAATCAGTAGGGACGGGAGAAATTTCTAGATGGTTAAAGTGTTGAGAAACAGTAAAGTGCTGATATAGTTACACAACGTCAATCCCAATTTCAGATTGCAGTGTCATCACTTGTGAGGAAATTTATAAATTTGCTATGTTTCGATTTTCGAAATTATCCATCTCGCTTCTACTCTAAGATTCCCATATCTTTTTCTAACTCACCGGATTTCACCACCTCTGTACACCAATTTCATGGCAGCCACCAAGCGAGGCTCGGAAAGGAAGTTGTATATTGTTCCATGACGGTCCCCGCTGCACTCAAAGCACACCTGTCGCAGGTTCAGCTGTGCCCACTCGAATGACTTGTTTCCTAAGCAACAAATATCATGTTATAAAGCTACTGTGAAAAAAGGAACTTGTCAGAATTATAACTACAGGTTGTAAATGAAAAATCTTTGGAAAGTTTCACATCAGTAAGAGAGGTGAAACAAAACTTTATTTTGCAGCACTATCGAGTGCCTCTTTCATTATGAGAATTTTCCTTGAAAGAGGCAGTTATTGTTTATAGAGAAAAATATGTATAAAAGGATCGTCTTGGTTCTCCTTCTCAAATTTCCAAAACAAAAAAATAAGAAGACGGCATACGCTTGTAAACAAAAGAATATAAAATTTTCTTGCTCTTTCTTTTAAATGAATATGATGAGTTCAAAATTGTATTGTTTCCTTAGTTATTTTCTTCTAACGATGTTTAGGTTGTCTGAAGAAACTTTTTGTTTTCCACTTGTAATAAAAACATTAACTTTTATTATCCCTCTTTCTAGAGAGTTTTGCGAGTCAAGTTCGTAAGCAATGAGTAGCTTTACCTCTTATATATATATATATATATATATATATATATAAATGATATATATATATATATATATATATCTTTCTGATGATCGCGAAAGTACAGTACACATTATGATCAGAAATATCTCTATGGATATTTTAACATTTCATATCACAAAAAACTTGGCCTTTAGAGTACCCGGATTACTTATAAACTATAGAAAACCGGAAACTATAGATTGGAACATATTATCAGAAATCTCTTCGCAAGGAATTATGTTTTTCTGGGTCATTTCGATTTATACTCTTATACTCAAACTTGATATAAATGTAGGCATTTAATAAAAATAGTCTTAAACATAAGTGGTACTCACCCGGCTGTTGTGTAAAACTTGGAACTGTAAAGCAAAGCAGAACCAAAATCAAAAGCATTGTTGTAGTTTCGTTCTTCGCGGTGAGACCAGTTCGTTTCTGCAAAGCACTTCTTTGTCGAATGATTTTGTAGAGTAAAGAAGACGAAGTTTTTATTGAAAGAATGTTTACTTTCCTATTCAATTAATTGACAGTTCTAATGAAAGAAAATGAATTCTTTTTTATTGCAATCAAGACGAGAAGACATTAATCAGAGACCATACTTTCATCATTTTAATAACTTAAGATGTAAAAAAGCTTCGGTTTTCAACCAAGAATTTGTTTACGTGTCTTATGGCTTTTTTTTTTTAAGGAAAGCGATTGCTTTCCCTGGCGACGTTGGGGAAACTGCTAACCGGTTAGAGATTATATGATTTCTAATAATTAAGTAATCAACCCTGCCCGAGATAAATATTGACATCAATATACAAGAAAAAGAGCGCAGATTGGCTTGAAACAAATCATTTTTATTTCTACATGTGATCATGATAGCGATTTTAAGATTTTTATTCCACAGATCTACAGTCGAATGCATTGAGAATTGAAGATGACTCTTCTTTAATCAAATGCTCCCAATCTACGTTGTGTTATTTTATAATTAGAAATTGTCGTTCTATTTGCCTTTTCTGGTTAATAAAACCAAAAAACCAACAGTCTCCGTTGTGAATTAACCAATATATATTAAAGACGAGTTTAATAAGCAAATATTTTTAATTAGCTCAACAAAGGAATTTTAAATGAAATAAGGTCGCATTGTTTCTGGTAAAATCACGAGGAAAAAATTCTTAAATCTGCATTTATTTGGTTGTTTGCGTTTCGAGAATTGACTTCAACAGATTGTGACAAACAGCTTTTCATGTATCCAGAGAATGGGAGGAGCTTTGTCAGTCCACTAGTAAATATAAGCCATTTTTCTGTATTTGATCCGTGTTTGAGATGGCTTCAGTAAAACAGAACTACACGAGCCCTAGAAGAGTAATAATACAAGCTTCAATATCTAAGCCTGTACGGGTGTCTCTTAGGGGGATTGGGACAAGAAGGCGGCAGAAATTTCAGCCTAACTGTCTTTTTACTATTCAGAGGGAATTACGAAATTTACGATTTTTTGCAATAAGTGCATGCCTCGATCCCAACATGCCAAGGGTAAGGTCCGAATGATCGGCTCTCGTCATGCTTTTGAAAGTCAGTCGTTAAACATCGGTGAATCTATTCCTTGTGCTATCTGATTGGCTACAGTGCTCGCTATCTATTCTGTGATAGACATTGAGTAGAATAAGTGGCCCAAAAGTGTACAGCCGTTGGCAGAATGAATAGAAATGCGAATCTGTGTTGTAGCTAAGTTTTAAAAAAAAATTTTTAATTAAAATTAAACTTCGCTATCGATTTCTACATTTTAGTTCACTGGGGCTTCGTCGTCATGAGCTTTCACGCGACGTAAACCTAAGTCGAGTTCATCATCATTGTAAAATGTTTACTCCATTTTCTTAAAGTACCGTGGAAAATATCAACTGAAAATACAATTCGTTTGAAAATAAGAATACGTGCGTGTTCATGAAGATATGCGTGATGGAAAAGATTAACTAACTTCGACTTTGATTGTTTTTCTTTTGTTTTTCTTTGATTTTGTGGGAATTGCCTTGGAAATGGTTCATCGTCGTACAAAAATGTGACAATTGTAAACAGTTTTACAATATCGCCATAGTAAAAGACACACACGCTTTGCAACTGTTCTCCCATCAAATAAAACTTTGTTTTTCATGTTTAACTCTTTTCCAAGAAGACATTCTTTTTTATTTAATCAAGGTACATTGTTTGCGCTTAGGTGAGAGTCAGTTTACTTTTCCAATAAAACTTCCATGTCAAATTTACTAGCTTCACTTGCACAGAGTACATCACAACATCAGCATCATATACCTGCATCACTTCCGAATCCGAGAAAAATTGGAAGATTATCCGAGAAGTTGTCACAGAAGCACTTGGTATCGTGTTGCAAGAATGATCTTTAAATTTCTTTTCATCGTTACCATTAGCAGTGTAATTGCAAACGGTAGGCCTATCATTGATTTTCTAAGTTAAACCTAAATGGTAGGACAACTTCTTGGTAATACAACGACCAGTTGCAAAAAAAATTGAGACACATTGAGCAAAAACTTTGTTTACCTCCTACTACAGATAGCTAACAAGTAATTGTGTGCTAAAAAACCAAAAGCTTCCCCCCTTCCCCGATTTAATGTTGACCATCAAAGTTTTTTCATAGTACTGCTTAGTTCACAACATTGCTAAGGGGGAAGAGGTGGAAAACATTATTTTGGATCACATGGTGAACAATTATTGCTTGTCGTGGTAACCTGTCTCAACTACTTTTGCGACTGGTTAAAACTCGGTCTCTTCGAAAGCAGGGGGGTAGCTTTGTAAAGAAACTGTGTTAAATCGCTCTGACGAAGGGCTAACGCTCGAAAAGTCAGCTTTGCTACTCTTTACGGTGACCAATTTACGTTATCAACTCAGTTGATAATACTAAATTGGCTTCTTTGAAAGCGCTCGCGTTTAGTAAATTAAAATACGTATTGAAAGATTGGTCAACGTTTTGGACGCCAACTTGGAATAAAATCTAGATAAAATCTATTCACATGATGAAAACGCGATCGAAACGCGCCTTGACTATATGCAATCAAATTGCTTGGTAAAAGTTAATGATTTGATGCCGATTTTTATCGAATAAACGTCCGCGCTAATTAATCTCTGAGTTCATTAACTAACCAAAGTTTAGGAAAATCATCGCTGCTTCTATTATCAACCATTTGAACTGCCAAGCAACGATCTGCATCCTGAAAATATGCTACTGCAATTTAAATTTAAACGGCAACAGATGTTTGATTCGTTTCTCAAAAAAGATACATCTCAAATATCAAATATGGCTCAGTGTTACCTAAAGGCGTCCATACACCCATAACACAAAGTTGTCTGTCAAAGGGTAATGAGTTCAACTGCGCAAACTGATTCATATTTTAGAGGTCAAAATTATCTTGGATCGAACGTGCATTCTGTACTTTATGACGTCATGTATCGTTACAGTAAGGATTCTCACTCAGCTTTACCTACAAGTAATTCAATGGTTGGCAAATTTCTAGCGTTTCAACTTTCTTTACAGCTCAGCAAGAGGACGATTGGAAACAGCTCAGTTTGTTTCCAGTGTGTGTCAGGCCAAGAGATAAAGGTTATGGCCATTTGCAGTACCACGGCAAGAGTAAACTGGTAGCAGCATTGAAACTGAAGCATCAGACTGGGAAGATCAGGTGAGAAAAATGCTGTGCGTCGTGCGTCTGGTTTCAGGCTCGGAGCCTGTCTAGGACCACGGTTGTGTTTTCAGGCAGGATCATTCCCATCCGCAATGCCTGTCGATTTCCAGCCAAGACTGGCGAAAGTACCAGTGAATTGTCAAAACCTCCAGATGACGAAAGTGTTCGGAGCAAGTTAACACCGGTAATAAACTTGCCTACCATCTAGTGTAATACCTTTCTATCTATATGTTTATAAGACAAGGAAAGCGATGCCTCAACAATGCCTGCATCTGATACACTGTTCTCTATGCGAGGAATCCTTCGAACTCCTTACTATGTTTCCACGAGGCTCGACAACTCTTTCCTTATTTTTTCTTGCAAAAGTGGCTACATACATCAAAAGGGTATGGAAGCCATGATAAGTCTATTGGGAATATAGTGGGGGCGCAAAGGCCGGTGGTTGATTACGCTTTTTTTCTTTAAGCGAATCAAAAAAAGCTTTTTATCAGATCTGGAAATGTCTTACTCGGCATTGGCCAAACATAATAGCCCTGAAGAAATCAGAAAGCATGATGTAGCGTCCATATTCAACTATATAATTGCGAGACTTTCTAATTGCTTCCTAAAGGTGTACCAATAATGAGGCTTTCGACAGCAATTGGGGCTGTGCCAAAGAGAATGGATTCAACATCATTGTTACCGACGAATCTAACCATGTGATCTATCCGCGCGAAGAGCTTATCAAAGATTCTTCTGGAATGTGGTATTACCTACCACTGGCTGACGCAATGTAAGAAGGAAATCTTCAATATCTAGATCTATGATTGCTAATCAAGTTAAATCATAAAAGTTGCCAGCCATCCAATTTTTAATTAACACAGTTAATCAGTCAGTCAGTCAGTTGTTTAGAAAGTCTGACAAACCGACTTTTAGACATAATTTGGTTTTATCACTTGAGTTGATAATGTAAATCAGCCACCGTAAAGAGTTTCTGAGCTGACGTTACGAGCATTATCCCTTCGTCATTCGCACTGAAGGGATAATGCTCGTAACGTCAGCTCAGAAACTCTTTACGGTGGCCAATTCACATTATCAACTAAGTTGATAATACTAAATTACCTTGTTATACTTCCCCACCGACGCAGCACCACGGTTTCTTAAGAAACTGACCTCCTTTATTCAGGCAGTCAGTCGGTTAGTCAAACAATGTAAGGCAGTCCGACAGACAGGCAGTTAGTCGGAGTCAGACTGACGATCAGAAAGCCAGTCAGTCAGAGGATCAGTCGGTGAGTAAGTCGATCAAACAGTTCCTCGATGAGTCAGTCTGTAGGGGACTCAGTAAATCAGTCAATCAGTTATTCCGCGATTCAACCAGTCTGTGGGTCGGTCTGTTAATTAAAACTTTGAGTGCACCTCTGGCTCCGTTTAAGTCGCCCAAATCCCTTTTCAAACAGTAAGTAGCTCAGCCTGTCGGGATGTCAATTTGTAAATCACTCAGTATTTTAGTAAGTCAGACAATGAGTCAGCCATTGCCCCAGTCTCTTAAGTCCGTTAGTTACAATTGGTCGACCTCACACTCGGCCATCCAGTCGACATTTAAGAAAGTCAGCCAGTTAGTCAATCAGTGATTCAATCAATCTGACAGTTAGTCAGTCTATCAATCGGTCAGTAAATCAATCAATAGGCCAGTCAGTCAATCAGTCGGTCAATCAGTCAGCCAATTGGTCAGTCATTCAGTCAGTTAGGCAGGCAGTCAGTCAATCAGCAGTCGGTTAGTCCCTTGGTTAATCAATAAATCAATCAGCCAATAAGTCAATCAATCTATGGACCGATTCGTTTATAAATCGATTCAACCTTTCAGTTAGAATCTCTCGCTTCCTTTCTTGTCCCTCAGCTAGTACTAAAGAACAATCTATCTTTTATTAGAGACTCGACTGAGATTGTCTTCGAGGACTTTTGCCATCCGTTTTACTTGCAGCAGTATGGAAAACTAAGGTTTTGGTACGGGGAAGACTTGAAGAAGCACAGTGACACTGACAACCAGGGGCAAGTCTGTTTCGACGTTCTGGCGCTGTTCATATAATCTCTTGGAAAAGAACAGCTTTATGAGAAATTTGGCGGGTTTATCTAACATTCATGTAATTTAAGCATGTTTAAAGTAAATGGGATTTAATAAAGGAATTTATGGAATTACAGGTTGTTCTATTATGTTACAAATGGCCGAAAAAAAGACTCCTTCAAGCACGGGTTGGTTCTTACTCACGAAAAAGAAAAAGGAGCTCTTTTTGGTCTAAGAGTTATAATAATATGCTCGTATCAGTTATGTTTCTCTCTCAAGAGTGCAATTTGAACCAATGCAAATCCGAAAGCTCCATTGAAGTCCTCTTATCTTTCTTGCAGGCTCCTCATTTCAAAAACAAAAGCAGTCCTACTTAGGGGCTTCGCCTGAGGCTGACCAATGATTCATATCAACAACGTCATACAAGACTCTTTACGAACCACAATGCACTTGTTAAACTAGTTTTCCTTTACTTTCATTAGGCTTACTTGTCTAACACACAACGAAGTGTCCCGATCTCTTTCGATTCTGGACAAGTCGTATTTTTCTCTTCTCCCCAAATCTCCGACGCTCACGTATTCCATGGACATACCTTCGGCCAGATACGCACTCGAGGTGGTGTTGCTTCCCCAGGAACGCACTAAGCTCCCTGCGGGCTTGAAACAGCTCTGAAGAACATCCTTATTAGCGCGTCGGAAATTTTTGTTCAGGACCATGTAGAGATAGGGATTTATGGCGGAATTAAGGTGTGATATGCCAAACGCTATCAATATTATTATAGGTGATATCGCATCGTAAATTCGTAAATTGAACTTTGCCAATAAGTGAATCACTTGCGCAGGAAGCCAGAAGAGGGCAAAAACAATAACGATAATAACGAGCATTTTGATAGTTCTTTTCTTGCTCGCTTCTGCATGCCTGATGTTTGTAGCTGATGGATTCCCAGGGATTCTTCGCGCCCATAGCTTCAATGAAACGATGCTGTAAAAGATAGCGATGAGGAACAGTGGAACCAAGTAAAGAGAAACGAAAATGAAAATAAAAAAGGTTCGGAACGCCTTACTGTGATCAGTAATGGGCGGTTCCCATCGCTGAACGCAATGATAATTATTGTCCCCCCCTAATAGCACTTTGTGAGCATACAAATACGGTGATGCAAACAAGATCGACAAGGCCCAGACGATCGAGCTCATCACAGAAATCTTGCGGATTACCTTAGGACGATTAAACGGGTAAACTACAGCGAAAAAACGGTCCAACGCAATTACCACCAAAGAGAATATAGAAGCTGCGATGGACAATGGAACTGAAAACATCAACAATTTGCATGTGACCGTTCCCAAGACACCTCCGAACCACCGAGCCTGTATGAAGGTGTAGGCGACCACATAAGGCATGGCGCTAAATGTCATAATAAGATCTGCTGTGGCCATGTTCGCAATCAGGCAGTTGGTAACTGATCGCAGGTAAGGTTTACTCCACACAATGTAAATCGTCATGGAGTTTCCGGTTAAAGAAAACAAGAACATCGTACTGTAGACGACGGTAATTATAACTTTGTGCGCATATGTTGGGAGTTGTGGATTATTATTCCGCCAAGCCTGGGTGTCATTAAACGAGTCTGGAAAGTAACATTATAACGTAAGGTTAATAACACAGTCACTTTAAGAATTCGTCTAATCATATAATCATTGTTTTTAGTCCTTTTCGGTCAACCTAACTCAGTCAATAAGCATTTTATCCTATCACCACTGACTTTTGAAAATTTCTAAAATTTTTGTTTCAACTTAAATGGAATGCTATAGACGGGCACACACGGGAAAAACACAAAAATTATACAATTAAAGCTTTCCCTTGTCTTTTAGAGTCAGAAAAAAAAACATTCACGATTTTATGAAAAACGCGCCTTTTTTTTACTCTTTTCTTTTTTTATTTAAGTTCTTGTAACAAAGCCGTGTGAGTGCGGGGCCGGACGGCCTTTTCCTTATTCGATCTTTTAAAAATGCGAAGACAAATTGCAGAGAAAAAGCGACATCGTTCGAAAAGATATGAAGGACATTTCAAAAATTTTAATAATCATGATTTACTTTTAATTAAAAGCTTTCTAAATTAGGAAATGACTGAAAAAGTCGCAAGAAACTTACTGCCCTAAATTTGCAGCATTCTATGTCCACGCTGACAAGTGCCCGAGAGAGAAGGAACAATTAATCTCTAGAAGATGTTAACGTAAATATTCCCCGAACTGCTCATTTTCTATCGGACGTCAAAGTTTTTTCCTTTTGCACGTTGTTTTTATTTAATAACCCATGCGCTTGTGCATCCTATCACCATTCCAGTTCGGCGTCTAACTTGCAGCTCGGTTATGCCCCAGTTACTGAAACCCTGAGGCGAGGCGTTACGTCGACCATTTTCATTCAAGGATAGCATATTTCATCTTTTTTCACCATCATTAAAGCTAATTTCCTCAACAGAGAGAAGTAATGTATTTCGTATAGGATAACTGCTGATCAGCGGTTTTTTAACCATTACCAAAATGAAACGCTTGGGTCTTTCAGTTAAACTGCTCTTTGCCATTCCAACATTTATTTTAGCAGGACGATAAGATTCGGAGGTGTATCACTTAATCAGAAGCCGTATAGATACGAAAGAAATCTCTGTCCCATGTAATCAATGATTTCCCCGGGGGTGTTATTTCTTTCCTTCATCAATCATTTGTTTTCTTTCAATGAAAGTTTAGTTTCTTTTTTTTTTTTTTTTTTTTTTTTTTTTTTTTCAATTTTTCTTAACATATGTAATACGGGCAGGTTCATTTAAGGAATAGTTATCAGCATTTGATCTCTCACTAGCCGACTCTGAAAGGCGCAGTTTTCATTTCCTTTGCCTTCATAAAAACTACGTGGGGGTTTAATCTCTCGATGGATTCTACGGGGGTTAGATTTTGAAACTGACTTCCAATGTCATGTCTTCTAAGGCAGTTGAGTGTTGATAAGTCAACCGAATTGAATGAAAATGTAGGCGAATTGATAAATCTAACGAGTTGGGGGCGACTCAATGCCTTTTTGCCTCAAATATTGTTTTACAGGAGCGATCAAATGTACATTGAAAAAAATCTTTTATGGATCGGAAGTTTGCGATCACGCACAAGACCTTAAATATACAGAGTACTCAAGCACTTACTATGAAGTCTTTATAGTTGAAAATTTATATCTTTAACGGAATTGCTATAGAGAGTTTTAATATACCTAGAAATGTTTGGGGAAAGCTGAGACCTGGTGTACCCTTCCTCGACTTTAGGAAGTCCTCGACTCGAATATTTGCCCAGGATTGTAAACAAAGATTGCGAATATTCATTTTCCGCGTAGTGCTGAGAAAGAAATCGCGCAGGAAGCCTTTGGAAACTGTTCTTTGAAAGGTTCCCCCTACGCTAAAAAGATCGTAATTTTTAATTTTATTTTACTACCTTTCTTCACAATTTCTCTCATGGAAGGAAATATGATAAACCAGTTGTTGTTTCAAAATGAATAGAAGTCACAGTATAACTACCTATTATGGCGATAATTTACTAAACACAACCCACGCCTGCCTGCATGTATGATACTGCCTCAGCTCGGAATTTGCTTAAAATTTCGTCCTCGTTATCACCCTTTTTTGTTTTAATCGTTTATTAAGTAACACTTGTTGTTTACCAGTTCAGTTCAGGCACTCACTCGTAGAATATTCTGTCCGGCAAAGTCTGAAGAAAATGCACCACAGTCAAACCGCCAAGACTTAACATATTTGCCCAGCTTCATGGTGGATATTTTGAATAAGACATGCAATATCTCTAAGACCGTCGTAAAAACTTACCATTTGAAACAGAAACATTCATTCTGATGCTTCAAGTTTCCTTTCAGCAATCCGTCTGCTTTTTGACTTGAAATGCCTTCAAAAAAAGGGTTGACTGACGTTATTATATGGTTTTTAACTCCAGAATGTGTTGCAGAAAATGACAAACATGGTGAATGTTCAGCTGCCTTTTAAAACCTTTCATTGGCCGATTTCCGCGCGAGATGATATGCCAGCGTTTGAAAATTAAACCGATAAGAAATCTTCCTTTATTTATTTTAGTTCATGAAATAATTGCTATTGTTAAAATTCGTGAGAGAAAGATGATTTTATCCCATTTGTGTTTGATGGTCTGACAGTGCCATTTTTAAAAAATAAAAAAGCTATTATCCGGTTTTGACTCATCAGAGAACATCAAACACTACGCAAAGTAAATAGTTGGAAATGTAGAAAAAGGATTTAAAAACAAACCAAAACATTTAAACCAGAATGATACACAGAAAGGGAAAAGGTGTAAAAAGACGAGACAAAACTAAATAAACAAACAACTAATGCATTTTGCCCATGAATCCATTACTTGCTTTTTCAATCAACAGCACGATCTAACCTCCCCGTTTAGAATCCAGTACGTGCACAGTATAAATTAAAGGTTCTAGAGTAAAACGTGCCATGCATCGAAGAGAAAATTACTTCTTAATCTTCCGAAATGATATTTGCCCTTCCAGTACCGATAAATAAATGTAATGAAAGGGAAACATGAGAAGTTTGCAATTTGGTCGGCGACATTGTAATTAACAATTTCACCACTTTCACCCACACTGAGGTAAATAATCATTTTAGTATATACCACACAGAAACCAAAATAAAAATGTTAATTTTTGTCAATATACCGGAAAATTGGCGGAAATCAAGATCGCAATTTTTTTTCTCTTCGCCTGCACAGAGTTGAATAGTACTTGTTTATCTTCTTCGAACTAGCCAATCAGCGCGCGTGAGATGGACTATTCACGTGTTGTAGATACTTATTGTTACCATCAATATGGTCCAATAATTGGCAGAGTGATACAAGGTCACGGAACCACGGAGACATTCAAAGACCCCTCATTAAAATAAACGTGCCCAGATTGATTTGCTCGACGTTTTATCAAACGACAAATAAAGTATACTAAAAGAGCGTGACCAATGCATTTTGCTGATGTCATTAGACAGTGTGTGTGCGTAGTATTACGTACTGAAGAAGGCAGCGCTGACAAAATTTGTCGAGAAAATGGTTTAATGGTTGTAAATTTAGTTTTTTTGCCCACTTACCCTGCTCTACGAGGAAGGAAGTTGCTCGAAAAGAGCCATTAGCAACCGTAATTGATTTACGCTGATCATAAAACTTTGTTTTATTGTAGCTAATAATGTGTAAAATTGTGTGTAACTCCAAAAATTAAAGACCATTTTGGAAACATTAAGTTCTTTCTCTAGTTGTTAAGGTTTGCAAAAGAAATACTAATTTTCAAAATGGCCATAATTTACCCATTTTCAGTTCTTTTTGTGAATTTCCGGTCAAAGTCGACTTTAATTAATCGAACAGAATTACACGACATTTAGGCTTTCTAAAATATAGGTACATAATTTTATTTTGGCGATGGTCAAGGGCAGAGAGGGAAATGAGGAAAAACCAAACGTGTAATGAGCATTTAGCTCCTCTATTAAAAAAAAGCGGAAATTTTTTAGTATTGAAACTTTGATTAATTAAGGCCCTCCAAGATTTCTACGCAACATTCGATTGGCAATGTCTTTTTTCTTGTAAAACGAATTTCCAGGTTTTTCTCTGTTCATGTCTCACGATGGTTATCGCATGAACGTGACTGAAAAGGTGATAACTCATGCGTGATTGGAATTTTTAAACATGGATAGGTGAACCTTAAGCTTTGAGAATTCGTGCATTCACGAATCAGTGTCTTTTCAATAAAAGACTATTTTTTTGGAAAATGAAAGACGAAAAAAATATCCTATGTATGCGCCATGTACTCATATATAAGCCAAAAACTATCTTGAAAGGAATATTGCGAAACACATTTACACTACTTAATAGTGCATGGAACCTGCCTGATTCTGTTTGCGATAATCTGATAATCTAAAATTCAATTTTTCTCGTCGTCAATAACAAGCCATACTCCAAAACAACTGTCAATTAAGCTGGGTCGCTATGGAGACCACATTATGTCAATTATTTAAACGCGTGTCCCGATTATGACGTAAGAAGGTTAGAAAAGCGATAGTTAATTTTGCAGTTGTCATGGTTACAATTTCCTCAAATCAAGGTAATCCTTGTCAGTTTGTTACGCAATAGGCATCACTGGAATACAGCCCAAAGCAAGGCCTTATTTCTCCTTTTTTTTTTCTTTTTTTCTTCCCAAAAGGGAGGGAGGCACTTAACTCAGCGCGAGGCGTGCTAAAATAAAATTTATAAGGAAAGCTGTATCTGTTTTAAATCTCTAAACTGCCCAGCTTGGAAACACGAAGCAAGTCCCTAATTTTCCTTTTCTTTTTCTTTTTATTAATGGGGAAAGAGGCACTTAACTCAGCGCGAGGCGCGCTAATATAAAATTTACAAGGAAAGCTGAATCTGTTTAATTCTTTAACTGCCTAGCTTGGAAACATGAAGCAATTTATCACCGAATTCTGTGTCTTCGGTGCTGTTAGCACGCGTAGCACATGGATCAAATCATTTATCATGACTACGACTTCTACACATATACTCAATTTGGTTTGAACCTTCACGCGTTGATTTCTTCAACCTTACTAAACACTTTACAAGGAAGAATTTTTCGGATAGCTTTCGCCGAATTGCCTGCCGATGTTAACATACTTTGGGCTGTACAGTTTAAGAAAGCAGATGTCGCAGTTCATAATAACCCAATCATATATACCCTAAAATCGACTCGCATTTTTTTTTTTTTTTTTTTTTTTTGTGACAAGAACTGCTTTACAAATTACACAAACTGTCTAAAATACCTTTTCTGAAGCTTTAGATGGGACGATTCCTCGTTTCCTTTTTCTCACAAATAAATGATATGCCAGCAAAAGTGGAAGACATCTATATGAGGAGAAAACTACGCCAATCAAAACACTATAAATCACTTCTCATCTTGCGCTCGTAATTCTATTTACTATTTTGCAGTCAACTTCTTGTTTATATCCCGAATTAATTTCCGGTTTAAGAGTGTTTGATTTCGTTCGCTTGCAATATTTGTTTTTTTTTTTGTTCTTTTTTTTAGCTCATTTTCTTTTATTTATCATTTATAAAATAAATGTGTTTTGTCACGTTGGTAAGATGAACAACAAAACTGTAGACCAGTTACAAAGGGGGTGCTTTTGGTAATTTCGTGATTCAAAAATACTCAGATCAGAATAATAATGACGAACTAAATGAATCGACATTAGTTTCTGGCTGAAGTCGTTTGAGAACTTGATTTATTTTATTTCACCTGCACTGCTTTTAGTTATGGCGGTCGATATATTTTGCTTTCACTGCAGGAGGCCAGCTCAGGATTTTGTTTGGATTGAAACGCCTGTTTATTTCTAGAAAGTAAATTAATAGTGTGTTTGAAGTTCTGAACGGAAGCTGTCATGTCAATATTGATCTCACCCGCACAATTTTAAAAGCATAAGCCGATTTTGGGGCGGTCGGCAGAGTTAAAGCAAGCCCGCTGGAGCAATTTCGAACACGAAAAGTATGAATGACGATTATATCAGCTTTTAGAACCTTTATCAGCAGTAAACGTAATTTCCTTTTTTTCAAATAGAAAAAAATGTAAAATTACAAAATGTAATTTAATAAGACTTTCAGTTTCATTCAAATGCGCCCATCTTCCGTTTCTTTGACGTCATCATCACAAAGTTTCCTTTGTCTGTTTTGAGACCAAATGAAATTTCACTGAGAGACCGACCACTTCTATGTTATTTAATTTTTTTGTTTATTAGAATAAAATCGTTAAAAAGTGGCAGAAATAAGAGGAAGGGGAAGGCCAGGGGGAATGAAAATTATTCGACGGGCGCATGAAAGTCAGTCGCAGTCTGGTAACAATTACAATTTCGCTTTCTAAAGTACATCTCGTAAGAAGGAGGAACCTGTTGCATAACCAAGAATTTTTTTTCTTGTAGTAAAAAATGGAAAAGTGTTACAGAATATTTTCCTTTACGATATGTTCAATTACAATTTCGCTTTCTAAAGTACATCTCGTAAGAAGGAGGAACCTTTTGCGTCACCAATAAATTTTTTCTTACAGTAAAAATGGAAAAGTATCACAGAATATTTTCCTTTACGATATGTTCAATGCCTCTTTGTTAAATGGAATAAGAAAGAAAGCAAAACGGTTTTTGAAAATGTAAGAATTACCTATCATTACGGAAGATGCGACACTTTATTTTACCAAAAAACTGTAATTCATTAATAAATGCCTCGAGATTTTAGGATTGTTCATATTCAGAACCAAGAGACAAAAGTTTTATTTTAGAAATCGTACTTCGTAGATGAGAAAAGATTTGACACGATCAAGGGCGTAGCTGGGGAGAAAAGAGGGGGGGGTTCTTTGTATGAGCCTTTATTTTTAGTAGATGACGACATGGAGGTCGACATGACAATTTGTTGAGTGCCCTCTATCGGACAAAGTGTGACATTCCCCCCCATCCTCCTTCCCCTTTGAAAACTCCAGGCTACGCCCCTGAGGATGTAATTTTCTTTTTTTGTTTTTCATTCGTGAAAGGGCGTGATTCATTAAACTTGCTTCCAGTTTTGGTAGTGTTTATTTAGAAAAGTAAACGGGCATCCAACATATACGCGAAGAAGGCGGGTATGGGTTAGATGTAAAATGCTGGGTGCATAATAATCAGTAGCCGTCTGGTCAAAAATACACTTTCGTTTCTTTCAATACACCTCTAGAGGGAAGACTCTAATGCATAACTAAGCAATGTTTCCTTTTCGAAAAATGGACACAGTTACTGCAAATCTCGTTCTTTTTTTTTTTTACTTACTATGCGAAGATCAAGTCTTTATTTGCCCATAGCTTCCCTCGTGAATGTGCAGAAAATGATAAAAAAAAAAGAAATGGATTTTGGAAAGGTAAATACATCTATTTTTCCGGAAGATGCGAAGCCTTCTCTAACCAAAAAACTAGCATTAATTTGAACGAATGCGTCGTGTTTTATAGGATTATTCAAAACAAAACGCAAAAGGAAGCGAAAAAAGATGTTTTTTGTTTCGTCAATAATACTCTTAAAAAGTTTTTTTTTTCCTTTTTTTTCAGAAGAGTCTGATTCTAAAATTTCCTTCCAGTTTTGGACCCGTTTCGTTAAAAAAGTAAAAGGAGCTTCTGATATATTTGAAAATGTGGTTGAACTTTGATATCTCAGAAGCGCCGAGTCGTTTGCGTAAAAAAATTGCGAGTGCCTATCGTAGGTGAAGAAAACAACTGATTGTGATTTTTCTTGAAATTTGCAACGCCAAGAGCATAGTGAAGACTGCTCCAGCGAATAATGTATGTAAGTGGAAATGTTCCTGCTCGATATCTTATCTCCAAATAAGAAAAAGTTAACCAGCGACCGGTAATATAAGCTTACCTGGTGTTAGCACTTTGTGATACCCCACGTAAGACTCAGATCATAAACAGAAAGAGAGCCAGCGTGTTGGAAAATTCTAGAGCTCGCAAGACGTTGATCTACATTGGAAAGCGTTCGGAATGAAAACTTCCTAACTCTTAAGAGCTTCTCTCATTAAAACAAATTCTGAATCTGAAGTTGACAGACTAGAATACAGTAATTAAAAAGTACGTGTAATTTACGTCAAAATGTATAATCAGCTGGTGTTTTCACACTTAAAAGAACGAAATTTCTGACACTTTAAGTAGCTTTTTTTCCAATGAAATCCATTAAGAATTGTTCATTTTGGGGTTCCATGGTGTTATTGTTTGTATATGTCATTAAAGTTTGAACAAGCTGCAAAATGATCTTCAGCGGATCACAACTTATTTTTACAGGTAAAGTTTATTTATTTGCGCGCTGGTGTCGCAAGCGCGTACTCGACCTTTAGCATAAGTTGAAAAACGGACAAAGGCTTAATTAGTCCTCCAGGATGTTAGATTTGAAATGAGAAATTTTTCTATCTCGCTGAAGGTGGCTTCCTTAAATTAGATGCGGCTTTCATAGTCTTTCAAAACGGAGCTAAAAATCCAATCTTTTAACAAAGATTGCTCATATATGCCCTTTTAACATAAACAGCGACCAAAACATTTTGTATCTAAATGAGGATATTCCTTTTTGTAAAGAACAATTTACGTCTTCTTAAATATCGATGTATTATTCGTAATGTGATCAAAATTCGTCGATTTAATTTCAAAGATGAATACATTACACATCAGTAATACGGCTCCTTCATACGTTTCTAGTGAAAGTTGTATATAAATGCTAGAATAACCTCCCTCTACAGAACCACGAAGTACAGTGAGAGCACCACCGTATCCACTGCAAGGATGGGATGGTACAATCTTACGCTTAAATGTATTGGAAAATTGCTTTAACCTTTGAAACCGTAAGAGGCCCAGCATCTAATTCTCCTGGCAGTAACAGAGTGGAATCATTCTTTAAGATCATAAGAATAAAAAAAAAATGATCACCAACATAAAAAGTTTTGATTGTTAGAAAAATTATCCATGTCAGTGCCGAAGAAAGGTACAATTGAAGAAGAGATGTTGACGCTGATGTTAGGGTGGAAAGGCAGCTTGAAGTGGCACTTGGGGAATCATTCGTTTCTTGTGTTTCGCCTTCCCTCGTTCTTCATTTCTGACAATTTTAGCACACACACACACACACAATAACTTATTGCTTTGCGCACAAAGAGCGCAATGTTAGAACAGTGAAGAACGTAGTACTCGTCCCTAAGATTATATCAAATCCTTTAAGCTAACAGCTCGTATCGCCCACTCAAATATCTCGCTGTTTTGAGATAAATCTTAACCAAATAAATAGATTATTTCTGAAGCAAAATTTCTATCTTAAATATTAAAGGAAATAACAATCGGTTTAACGGATCTTTAGAATGTCTTTCTTTACGCTTCACCCAGAACAGATCAGATTAAACATTTCGTTTTGAAATTGCAACAAATCATTATTATAAATCCAACACTTAAAAATATTTGAAGAGTTATTTGCACTGTTGGCTGGAAATCGTGATCACTTCAGCTGGACTGACCAACAAGGCCTTACAACCAGAGTAAATTGAGTGCACAGAATAACTTTTAACTGTGAGTTAATCACTATACGACTCTCAGTTCTCCGAGTTTTTCTGAATACCTAACATTTACAGCAAAACTATAGACCAGTTTAGACAAGTACGCTTTTCACATCGAGAAAATTTAAGAACAGCTGCCGTTTGATAACTGGTCTTAGTTTCATTACAATAAGTTTAGTTATGACGGTCATTAATTTCAATTTCACTACGGGAGGCAAATTTCTAATATTGATGATAATAAAATCGTATTACCAAAGCCATGGCAATGACACTTCATTCAGTACCTTTCATTCCATTTGTAACGAGGTCTGTAGTTTGGCAAAACGAGTTGTCTAAGGGTTCCACTAAGAGGCTTCGCCGAACCATTAACAAGCTGCGAGTCATTTGAAAATATAGAAACACGATACGAAGGCAGGTGTGTAATGGTCTTTCAGCCGGTTATTTTTCATTTTTCTGGCAGACCTGACAATGTGTCATGAGTTTTCTTGAAACTGATATGGTAAAATTTTAATTCTTTTTAATTCTTCATGACAGAACGGAACTTCGAAATTCTGAGCCTCGCTGGTTTAAAAGGTAAATATTAAAAAAACGAAGTTGAGAATATTAAAAAATGGCAATGATATAAATATTAAACTTAACCTTATTGATAACGACAAACCAGAGAGTTTGGATGGGCAAACACGTGTTGACGCCGAAACTCAAACGCACAGAACAGGAGAATATCCCTACAAAGACGGAAAAAAAGAGAAAAGATTCGGAAGGAACCATTGACACCAGCCGGCTATTTATAAAAACGTGGCAGACATTGTAAAATTCTAATATAAAATAAAAAAGGCCAAAATGTCTGTAGCTTCATAATGTAACATTCAGGGTAATGGTAGATTATCTGAATACTTTCAATGGCGGAGACAAGACTTGTTAGGTCCCTAGCAAGTAAATTCTGGAATGGAATTGCGGAAAACACTTCAGAATCTCAGTGGAATGGACCACGTGTAGTTCGAACAAAGTAACAGTTGTTGTGAACACAAAAAACTAGCATGATTAGTCTCAATACGGTTGAGATCGATCCATAAGTTTTGTAGCGAACGCACCGGCAAATTTCAAAACGGTTACACGAACCATACAATTTATTCGTAACCAGTGGTTTCGGAAACAAGATTAACTTAAATTGCACTACAGCCAACTACCGACAACAGTAATGACGATCACAAAGCGAAACATCAAACGGTAAAAGACAACGCAAAACGTACCTGACGGTTTGGATAGAAGGAGTACACGAGATGCAGCAAAGAAACGATCACAGCACGACAAACTGCATAACATTACTGTTCTTTTTGCGCGAAAATTTCAATATATGTATACGGACGCGAGGAGACTGAAGCCTAATTGCAGATAAACCGCTGACCCTTAAATTTGTTGTAACAAGTTTGTTATTACAAGTTTCGACTTAACACAAGTAAACGCTGCAAACAAGTAGATAAAAAACAACAGCACAAAAGATGAAATACAAGCTACTAGTATTGTTTGAAACCTTGACCTTCCAAGATCAAAATGCAGATTCTCCTAATACATGAGCATACATCTTTGTTGATTGGCTATGAGAATTAATTATAAGTGTTCTATCTATATCCACATAATATGCACAGCAACATGGACTCTACTATTCTTACATAGTGAAGAACAAAATCTTGTTTATGATGGCACCCACCTACAAAAGATCATGAGTGAGGACCAATCAAAAAGCCTGTTTGATTCAGCTTATCATATCATAAATATTAAAAGTCAAAGCAAACTGAGTGAACAGAGTTTATTGCAGTTTTGTTTGATATCACATTAAGCTGTGACGATCTTCCACATCCAGCTTCTCTTCAAGGAAGGGTTTTCATCTGGACATTTCATCAAATTCAAACAAAAATCCAATGAGCCATGCACTCATTGAAATCCTCAACAAAAATTCTCAATGCAGCTTCAGTAACTACACTGTAGGCATTAAAGTTATAGTATTAGCTGAGAAAAACCTATAGTTGCATGAACAAAATGCTTTATATGTAATCCAAATACACACATTACTTGTGTCTACTTGATCTAGTCACCAGTCCACTTGCACCAATGAAAATCGTCCATTTTACAGCTGTGTGCTTGGTTGCCGAGCCTTTGAACAGGTGTGAGGCTAAGGGTTATTTTACAAATGTTACTCCTTTTTAAATGTAAATCACTTTGTTATCATGGTAACTAGACACTATCACAACAATATTTATCAATCTATCTCTATCACAACACATTCCAAATCAGAGGCTTGGCAACTAAGTGCACAACTGTAAAATGTCCTACAATCTTTGTGCAATTTGATTTCAGTTACAGACATTGCATGAAGGTTTGCTGTTACATCAGATCACAATAATTAATGCTGACAGCCACTAACTAGTAATTACAGTTATCTATGCCTACAGGTTCATTCTCCAAAAAATTTAAATCTTTATCTTGAATGTAATTTTTACAGATTCTACAACACTTTTCCTTCAAAACAAAGCAGAACCACCAAAAACATGTATTATTTTAAGCAGTTGTACATTTAAATAACAAATAAACTTGATTATTATCATTATTATAACAGCCCAATTTATCACCTTAGATTTTTTTTACAACCTGTTTGTAGGACTTATTAATGCAATGTAGCTTTGTTATTTAGTTTTTTCCATTTACATGACTAGATGCTGTCCCACTGACTTGTTCCTCCTGTTTGGGGACAAACTGCAGTGAGTCAGAGAAGATTCAGAACCTTGAGGAGATTCCATCAGGGCCATCTTTTATGAATTCATGTCCTAGACCATTGCCACATTTACCACAGCTAACCTTCACAAGAGAAAATAAAATAAAACATGAATTTCACTTCCTTCAACATGGTTCAGATTTTATTGGTTGCAATTGCAAATAAGCCAGCTGATGTTACTTGAAAACAAAAAGCAGAGAAACACCAGGGAAAAAATCAAAGAAAAATAAAAACAATAAAAAAAAGAACCTCTTTGGATCTTACAATAACCCCTTTGTTCCCTACCTGAGACCCATGTTATTAACCCTTTCACTCCCACAAGTGACCAAGACAGAATTTCTCCTTACAATATCAATACAATATCAAGCAGGCAGGTGATGAGAATAGAGAAGAATATCAATCATGGGATTATTAGTTGATCCAATACCAAATTCTCTGAACTAACATCATAAGAATTGTGTGGCAGATAGTAAGGAGAATTACTAATCAGATCTTGGGAGTGGAAGGGTTAATGCAACCCCTCCCCACTCCCCTCTCACCCTCTGCCTGATTTACCCTTTAACTCCCAGAAGTGATTAACATATCCATTCAGCAAACAGGTAATGAGAATATTCCAACTTATCAAGAAGAAGCTGCTATCTTGATTTAGCACTAACTTCTCGTAACTACAAGGAAATGAGTCGCAGCTAGAGGAGAGAATTAACAATAAAACCAGAGACAAGGTTTTATTAACCTTTTGATCTCTAGGAATGACTAGCATCTAATTTCTCCTTAACCCTTTAACTCCCATAAGTGACCAAGACAGAATTTCTCCTTACAATATCAATACAATATCAACCAGATAAGTGATGAGAATAAAGAAAAATATCAATGTGAGGATAATTAGTTGATCCAATACTAAATTCTCTGAACTAACATTATGATAATTATATGGTTGACAGTAAGGAGAAATACAAATTTGATCTGGGAGTTGAAGGGTTAATAATTAATATCAGCCCTGAATCACATATTAAGATCACAAGAAAAAAGGGCCATGATCATCAACTAAAGAAGCTCTTGATTGTTAAACAAATTCTCCTTGTCAGCACCTCAAGAAAAGTATAGAGAACAATAAGGAGATTATGAATACTGATGTTAGGGTGTAGAGGGTGAAGAAATGTAGTGGAACATTCTCCGCATCTAAAGTTTAAATAGGTCAGTCCATTGTAATTTAGCCAGAGAATTCTATGTCATGGTAAAAAAATTATCCACCCTTAGATAATTATGTGTGCTGAATGAATGCACACAACTTGATTGCCACAGTGACCTTCTTGCTGGTGAGAATAATGCCTCCCTCCTTTGTTGCTGTCTTAAGGGCATCTACCCTCCAATTATTGAATAAGTTTTTTTAAAAACAGGTAAAACTGTTCAGATGAGAGACTGCAGTATACTAACTAGAGAAAAAGTGTCAGAATGCATCTCACTGCACAACTACCTTTAGCGCTTTAGCCTTACTGCTTGTCTGAGGTTCAGTTTCATCAGCTTTTGACACACTGTCTGCTCTGATTGTCTCTGTAAATGCTGGCCAAGGTGTATTATGCTTGTATTTTGCCTTGGCACTGAAGAGCTTGTGACCGCATTTGGGACAAATATAAATTCCTGCAAAGAGCAACAAAATGCAATCATCAAAATACCACACAAATAAAAATGCAATCACACTATCTAACCAAAACCCTGACAAAAAGAAACCAATCTCAACATTCAACCATTTCACTAAAAGTGACCTACAAGGAAGTTCTCCCTCCAATATCAAAACAGCATTAACAGGAAAGGTGATGCGAAAGATATTAATAGATCAACAAGGGGATATCATTTCATAAGCAAAAAGTTCTCAGTTCTAAAATTGAAAGAAATGTATTGAAGACAGCAAGGAGAATTGATTTAGAGATATTTGGAATGGAAGCAGTGCAACATACTGAGGTTGCTGTTTAACCCCCTTTTCCCTCCCCCCCCCCCACCTCCCCTGTGGGCAGAACCCTCCGCAAGGATGGAAGGAAACTCAGCTGATTCACACAAGAGAAGACTTTTCCATTGCTGTCCTGAAAACTTCCTCTTAGCACCAGTTAACTCAAGAAATAGATAGATTTTATCATCACAGACTCACAATTTATAAAACATCACAGCATTTGACAATGTTCCCAATGAAAAGTTCATGTAACAGAAGACGCATTTTACAGACTTAAGTTGCTATAGAAAGTCATAGTCCAGATTTCACCTATTATAATTTTTAAAAAATCCAAGACAATTTTTATTTTTTAAATAAGGAACACTCCTAAACCACCCCACCCCAACCCCCCTTCTCAGTACTCCCCCCTTCTCTTATGATGACTCGCGTTGTCAAGGCCTACATGTATAAATGACTCAGCATTGTGGCTGCGATATCAGCCGAAGCACGTCATCTTTTTAAACCACAACCTTTGGCTAGATGCATCAACAAATACTTTTTAAACCGCTCTAAAATTGCCAGCATGGCTTGGGCCTGATTTCGTCGCGTCTCTGATTAAGAAGAACAAGCGCATTCGTTCATTTGTACAAATTCCTCAAAACAAGTAGCTAATTTGCTACTTTTTGTATGTACCACAAAATGCAGAAATTTGAACTCTCCTGTTGAGATCGCTCATTTCTAGTCGTAATTTAAATTCTAATACTCTTGGATTTGTCGAAAAATCCTTTGTACCGACAAATTAAACCTACATAGTACATGCACGTAATTTAAATTTCGTTTGAACACTTGTTTACATAATCAAAGCGAATAACATACTCGCGATCTCCATTGATCATGGCATTGCTGGAGAGAGAAAGAAAATATTATGGCTTACGAAAGAAGAATAATATAAAATTAATACCAGCTTCAAAGTGGTTTCTGTATTTCTCGCCTCCGTCCCACGAGCAAAACGACATGATCGACTTCAAAACGGAAGTGGGATGGTGCCTGTGATACTTCTTCTACAGCGGTAACAAGCTCAGTCTGTTTCCGTTATGTAAGTTAGTATAACTGTCCCTGTCGCACTAGGGAAGTTTACGTTGGAAATTGCGGTTTTAAATTCTCATTCTGAGCACCTGAGTAAATGAAAATGGTTGTACCTTTGTAGTTTTTATTTTTTCTTTATCAGCCCAGGCCAGGAGCCCATTAATGGCTCCTTGCCAGGTTAACGTTGGCAGTAGGTAGCACATATTGGTATCTAAATAAAGGTTTTTCAAGGAGCCACTACGGTAATGCTCCTGGTTTTGTAAACGAAACATTCAGAAGATAAACGAAACATATCTTGCATCTCCAGAATTATTCTGAAATCTGATGACCAGGTAGAGTGAGGATAAAGATTTTTTACTTTTTTTTTTTTTCTGTTTTTGTTTTTGTTTTTCAAGTGTTTTTTTTTTACTGTCTTGTCCTTGGTAAAGTCAGTACAATATTATACAACGAACAAAAATTATTTTCCCAGGGGGAGGAGACTCGATGCAATTGCAGCAAAATTCTTCCCCTAAGGAGAGAGAACTGGACACAAATGCCAGCAAAATTCTTTCTCAGAACAAGAAGACTTGATACAAATGACAACACAATTATCTCCCCAGGAAGAGAGGACTCGACACAAATGGTAGCGAAATTTTTCACCAGAATTTGAGTAAGCGATTCAAATGGTAGCAAAATTCATTCCTGGATGAGGACTGGATACAAAATTCTGTCCTCAAGAGGAGATGTCGCGATTCAAAAGACATCAAAATTCTTTCCCCATGGGAGAAAGGCTATAAAGAGTCGCAAAATTCTCCCCGCAGGAGGGGAGGACTCGATACATTGGCAGAAATAGAACTGTTTCCTCGGGAAGAAAGGTTTGATTGCAAATATTGTCGACAAATTTTGTTAAGAAGCTAACTGGGCGTATTCAGTGGACCTTCATGGAACTCTGCTAGCAAAAGTACATGACTAAATGAGAAGATCAATCAGTAAGGGTCGAATTCTGTTTAACCGACCTTAATGAAAGAGATATTTGTAATACCATTTAGTTCCGTTAGGGCATTTAAGAATACACATGTTAAATAACTTTGTCTGAAATGGCTACAACGAGTCTTTCATGGAATATAACCTTTTTTTCTATCTTTTTGGCAACAAACCTTTTCGTCCCCCACGGGTTTGCTTAATCCTTTAATTTAACCTTTTGTCTTTGTTTAAATAGATAACAGCTTAAAATTGGCGTTGTTCGGATAAACATTAACTAGGATCCTTAATCTGCTTTGAGGAGCAAACGGGGAGAGACATTGGTCTAAATATTCCTTATCCTTTAAACAATCAAAACATTTTGTTTTACTAACGCACCTCAAGCGCAATTGTACTGAATTACCTTCTTTCAGACACTTTACTCACCAGACTTGAAATGTATGCCGTATTTCCTGAATTGTGCAATCAATTGTATGTGGGTTACTGAAAATGTCCTGGCCTCAATGATTCATCACTTCTCGCTAATTCATGGCTTCTCTTGACTCCTTTGTCTTACTTTCCGTATTGAATTTGACAAATCTTCTCCATCTTTCAACCGCAACTAATCCTTTTGCAGATCATACCAGAAATCCGATGGAAAAAAAACCAGATTTGAGTCACTTTCAATTATTTTTGTAATCGTTTTTTGATTTACCACAACAAATTCCAATGGAAACCACAAGGCTATGAAAAAAAAATCCAACGTACTCCAAAATGAAACAAAAAACGCGTTCTATTCTGTTCTAATAACATAAATAAAAGCCAGTCTTTTCAGTTTAGTCAAGTGCTGTTGACGGAGCTCTCTTCTCTACACGATAGCACTGTTGAAATTTTTTCAACCTGTGTAGAGGGTCAAATTTGTTGGCGTCTTTCATATTGACACTTGTGATCTCGCTCAAAAACGTGCTAACACGACGCTATTCTCAGCACCGTAAGCGATTAACTGAGCATTAACAAAACTGTCTATATTCTATTCACGATCAGTGCCAGGTGTTCACAGCAAGAAACCAAGATGTTGTTGTTATAGATACCCACCTTGTCACGCGAATCGTGACCAAGGAGTAGTATTGACCGGAAGGGAGACAAAAGACGTAAAAGATAACTATCTCATTCTGTAATAACCAGCGCGTGAACAAGTGAGAGGGCTATTTATTCAAGAACATTCAAGTTGCGTAAGGACATCACGAAAATACTAACATAACAACTCCGCTACACATACAATGGTAGGAACAGCGATTGAAACTTTGTTACGCGGCCAAAGATGTTACAAACTTTGTTCAGTTATTATTCGTTAACCTAGTTCTCTTAGCGATTTTGTCTGTCTTTGTTGTTACAGGAGAAGTGTTCCTATCATCCGGCCGCAGCTTATGAGCGACCACCGCTCAAAAGTCCGATGGTGAAGAGAAGAAAGAACGGAACAACTTCTAGTGTTAAAAATGTTCAAATTGCAGTTCTGGGAAAGGACGGTGTAGGAAAATCAGGTAAATTTACTCCTTACTCGGTCATTAAACCTCCGCTGAACTGTTAAGGGTTGTTAGCTATGTACTGAACAGTAGATCAGTTCTTACGCTCTACATAGAATCTTTCCGCAACAATGTTTACTAATAACTAGAAACTAACATTGAAGTAGAAACGAGTTTCACTTTCATTAAGATAGAAACCACGATGATTTCAGACAATGAACTAAAATAAACATAGCGGAAGCTTGGTAGAATCTCGGAAAGCTGGTTTAACCGCAACTAGTGAAATCACAAAACTGGCGAGATCATATCACATTGTTTGTGACCAAACAAAAAGCTTTAATATGTATCATTTTTGACAAGGCGTTGAATACGTCTCACTTTGTTTTGTAAAAGAAACCCAACATAGAAATGTTCATTAAAAATCTCCCTCCGAGGGTAAAGAAAGGGCGAGCTGAGGAAGAATTTTCAAACAATTGTCCGGCTTTAAATTGGCGAAACCGCGGGCGCCCCACCTGCGGAGAAGCGAGCATTAATAGTCTTAGCCCAAGGAAGCCTTGGCGAGACGGCATCCGAATTACAAATAAGAACCTTTCAAAGGAACAATAAGTATAGGCAGATTTTTTCATTGTCAAAGAGAGAGTTTATTTTCATAATTACATTCACACTACATAAACAAGTATTAAAGTGCCCGAGTCTCCGCTCATTTGCCCGACCTCTGCTTTTTTTCGCTGAGGGCTCTTTCAAATGGAAGAACAATCGTCAGAGCGAGCAGATTACTCGGTTATTTGCGCGAAATTGTCAAAGAAAACTTCTTGACCTGGTAACGTGGTACGTGTTAACTCTACTGAAATGTCTAACTACGATGCATCAAAAACCACCGTCGCTGAGGTCGCGTTTGACATTAACATACTTATATATATATATATATATATATAGAAAGGTTCCTAGTCATTGACTGTTGTAACATATGTTACAGCTTGCTTGATAGTTTACAGTATCAGATACCCTAAGGAAGATGAATTGACACGAACTCTCTGGAAGATAGGAATTATCTTTTATTAGCGTATGAACTATAATCTGCTTTTGCGATTGCTCTTTAAGACACTAAGCAAGATCAGCTTGTGAAAAGTAAAATATTTAAGTACAGCATTCTCTTCAGTAAATCTATTGCATTTAGTTCACGTGTCTTATCATTTTTTGGGCCGTTGTTCAGCACGATTACAATCAGTCTTTGTATCACATAATGGTTTGACGGGTATATATAAATATAGAGATACAAATATAACTTTAGGCTCGGCTCGGCTCGTTAATAACTGTCGTGTCTATTAAAACGGAAAATCTCGGCTGTTATTGACGTGCAATGAGCCGCATAAGAAGGGCCGCCCGTCCTTTGCAATTTCTAGTATTTCAAGCACCTGCTAGTATCGACAATTAACAGAGTCACGACTAAGGATTTAAGAATAAAAAACACTGGAGTTATCAGAGAATTTTATCGTAGGAGTTCATCTGTATTTAGGCTATGATTTAAGAAGCTTCATGTCACGAATTACAAAACCTTTTTTGCGCTATGAAAACATGGCTACATCGAGTTTGAAAGTGACCGTGCAATATTAGTTTGCAAGAAACAAAGATACTGAAAAGACAACCGTTAACAAAGTAAGGGACAAGAGAAGTCATGGATGGAGAGGCGCAGATTTCAGTCGGCGAACTTGGCTCAAAAACTTGGCTAAATCATGGTCTTCAAACCGTTGATGCAGTTTCATGCGCAAGCTGCAAAACCTGAAGTCAGAATTCGTTTTCTGGTTGATTGCGATAATTTAACATGAAGTAAACAGTCTTAAACTGCTTTTTTAATTCACTCTGAGAGTAGAATTGTAAAAGAGGGAAAAATATTACCTTGTTTTCCTCAAATACGTTTTTAATCCCTAATTTAATTACCTTACCCACAGCCGACTATCTTGTACGTTCTACATGTTCTGTATACATAGGCAAATGGGATTTTTACTAACAGGGTTTATCATTTTTCCACCCGATCCGCCAGCATTTACAGTTAGAGCTCTCACCAGACGTTTCATTGGGGAATACGACAAAACATTAGGTAAGCTTACGTTCTTATAACCGACATAGCAGTCACTACGTTGCCGGCAAGTTTACAGTAATTCTGCTACACTTAGATAAGCTCTTGTTATCGTTGAATTGTTCCTTGGATAAATGGTTAATTACCAAAACCATCTTAGTGTGGCCATCTTGTCACTTTTCAACTAAATGCGCTATTGATTTAACTGTGAAATCTTAGCAAGGGATCTCTACCCACTCATTAGCCTAAATTTAGGCCATGTATTGCAAGACGAAAATAGCACTGGAAAGGTCGGGAATCTATCAAAGGAAAAAGTCGAAGAACATCACGAAACGAAACTCTATGGTTTAATTTGTAACTTATAAAGAAATTTGGAGATAGTTTTTAGCGAAAAATTGTCTGGTTTTAGTATCATCAAAAGGGCGCACGACTTTGTGTAATTCTATATTTACTAGTGTTAACGCGGTTACAAGCTCATCAAAATTCGCCCAACTTTTCCCTTCATATACGACATGCAATTCACTAATAAAAACTTACTGAAAAATGAAAAAATAACTGAAAAAAAAAACAGAAAAAAATGAAAGTAAATTTATGAACCGTTTATAAATCTCTCACCCTCTACTCGAAAGTCTTTGTAAGTCGAGAATTGTTGTTATCGCCGCCGAGATAGAGGTAGATGACTGAAGTAAACCACATGAGGTTTATGAATCTTATCTCGACGGTTGATGTGTCATCTAGGTCAACATTAACACGACCTCTTCCTTTTAATGCAATGCCATGTCATTCTAACAGAAGCCTCCCTTGGAACAATTGCTGTTATTTATGGTATCTCTTATCATGTTTCCTTTATTTCTTGACGTATCTTTGGGCTTTCTATCCTCCCACGGAATAGGTGGAAGTTCAGTGTTTTATCGCAGCGGAAACATCGTATTGAAACTTTACCTGACATTAGCCGAATCACGCAGTCGCCCGTGATTTTATAGAAAATGATTTGACTGATTAAGATAGAAGGATAGTGCTTTAATCTTTCAGCAAAAAGTTGTTTGCATGGCGTTCAGTTTTTCACAATAGGAGAATGAGTATGAAATCAGTTTGAAACCATAGGAGAAAAAGTGAACCTTCATGTATTTTCTCGAACATTCAATGATAGGCGCAAAGAGAACTTAAATGCATACTTCATGCGAGGAATTCTAATGTGCTTTTTTAATTTGCTACAGAATCTACATATCGTCATCATGTAGAGCTCGACGGTCAGTTTCTGTCTCTAGACGTCTTGGACACAGCAGGAAAGGTAAAGCAGGCCGTTTTCACGCTGAACATAACTGTGAACTAAATCTTGACAGGCCTTGGACTTCTCTGGATAAATATGAGTAGTATTTGCCATCTCGGTTCCGTCTGACCCCCTCTCTCCCTCAATCCACTCGCGAATTTCTTCACACGTGAAGAACGTGCGGATCAATGTCAGTATCTGAACAACTACGCACCCATCCCCTCCCCCCCACCCATCATTAATCCTAACTTGTTATCAGTTGACTGTTGATGGGTTAAGGGGGGGTGGGGGGGGGGTAGATACGCAGTTGCTCAGATACTGATCATTGCCGCATTCAAGGAAGGTTTTTTTAAACGAGGTTAGAGTTTGCACCATTAACCCTCCCCTCCACTGCAGGTGATGATGGAGCCTGTCAGGGAGAAGGCTGAGCTGCAACTAAAATGGTAATATTCGTCTGTGCTTTTTCAGAACTCTTTAGAAAAGATCGATAAGTGCGTCCACACAGGATCAGACTTATTTTTCGTCCTCTACTCCACAATCGACCGATCCTCGTTCGAGGAAGCCTCCTTGCTCTGTCAGTACCTCCTGAAAACCAAAAACGTGAATCCGGCTTGCTTAATTCTTGTCGGCAACAAAAGCGACCTGAAGCATTTCCGAGAAGTAGATGAATATGAAGGACGTCTATTGGCTCAAGCCCTGGAGTGTGGTTTCTACCAGCTGTCGGTATCGGAAGGATTCGATGACTCTCAAAATGTTCTTTACAGTACCCTCAGGCAGTACGTGAATACACAGAAACACGGATCGCCTTCCATCAGATTGTTTATTGACAATGTATTGAGTCGGAAAAAGTCAGTAACTTAGTCTGTGTTTATTCGCACGCGAATGTATTGTATCAGTATTTTTTTTAGGTAGGGGAAGGTTTTGTGTTTTCATCGGGGTGGGAGGGAGAGTCAGAAAATTACCAGGATCATAAGGAAGGCTGTTAGAAAAGTGAGGAGTTACAAGAATAAGAGTTTAGGGTTCTACTTCCAACTAACGGAATACCGCATCACACAAGAATTCTTTATTTATGTGTCTACCCCAAATACTTTAGCTGAAAACAGCGTTCGCTCACGGAAAGCAAGAACACATTAAACCCCAAAGGCGAATTGGTGAAAATAATTCAAATCATTAAATAATGAATTTCGTGACTGATAACCAAAGTTCTAGCCGCTCACGGTGCCATGGCAGCATGATTCCATAAAATCAATATGCTTATTTACCTCCATGCGAAGCCCAGAAGCCTCATCTTGTTCCATTATGATTCCTTGGCCGAAAAACGTTCCTCCCTTGAACAAAAAGAGCTTTTAGAGATAGAAGAGTACATAACCCTCGGACCTAGCTAAGTTTCTGTACCTGTACATATTTACAGTAGCATAAATAATTAATTGTATTTATTAATTCTGAAAAGATAGTGTAAATTCTAGGCTAGGAAATATTTTGTATAATAGTGATAGTAGGCTCAAAAAGCACAACAGAGAATGCAAAATAAATGACACTTTCCCACAATCAAGTTCCTAATGCAATCTTTGGCGCTGTCTAACGAATTAGGTAGATTTCAGTTAGGAAGGAAAGCCAAGCGCTGAGCAAAAGAGAAATCAGACTGAAGATGGTTCCACCCTGGGTATTCAGATGGGGTAAATAACTATTACCAAATACAACATTTCCATTACTAAGTCAAAACGGACAAATCTCGTCCTTAAACCCTTCAATTTACACCCGTCAACGTTGTTCCCGGACGGATCATGGTACGTGTATAGATGGAGTTGCGTGAAGGTAATTCGAAACTCGCGTTGGAAATATTTGCATAACTTGTGAGGATGAATTTTTCGGCGCTTGTTGGGTTAGTTTTGCTTTATCATCTAGACATCCAAACATCCAATTACTCTTTCACGAGAAGGACTAACGATCGAAATTTCAGCTTTAAAAACTCGTTACGGTGGCCAATTTACATTACCAACTCAGTTGATAGATCCATCGACGCAGCACCACAGTTTCTTTAGAAACTTACCCCTTTATTCAGAAGCAGAAAGACGTTTTGCTAGCGACCCGTCTTTTGGCAAACGTAGCTCTAGAATCAACTGATCTGAGCACGACAATCTTACTCGTTATAAAATCAGTCTACAGTTTGTTTACTTGTAGTATTTGGTGGCCATGGTTTTCATTTACTTTAATCTCATTTGAAAAGGGATTTTTCGGGGGATGTACACCTTCTGAATTGTTTTCTGACTGCGTAGGTGTTGTTTATTTATAGTCTTACGTCTCCCAGCCAAAATACATTCCTGTCTTACTTTTCAAGTTTAAAACAAAACTTGTTTTAATTATGCTATTTTTTTGGCTATGTATCAGCGAAGTTGCAAGCCTGGACAAAACATTTTTTTATCATACACAACAAAGCTGAAATAGGAAAATAAAGCATTTATAAGTATTCCATTGCGACATGACTTCGAATCTGACGAATGGCGCAACACTGCTTCCATTTTTATTCCAGGTTTATTTTTGTGTCAAGAAGGCTAAGATGAACCCTCTCGTAATTTCCACTTCGTCATGAAATACGTCAAACAAGGGAGATAACCGAACGGAATCCAATTATAGAGGACGGAATTACTGTTGATAACCACTTCTGCAAACGAATACAAACAAGAACAGAACTCAAGTGTTTTTTTTTTGTCGCATTTTCAAAGAACCCAGCATTTTAAGAGGGTTTAAATTCCTGTTCATGCTCGATAGCTTACGTTTGTGCTTATCCAGCAGGAGATAACACCGGAATTCAACCACAACTTCCCGATGACTGTCTTAGTTGCTAAGGTCACTAGCTAGCACTTGCAACAATATTTAACGCCAAACAGTAGGACATCGGACGCGAGATCGAATGAGATACGTGCATAGCAGGTTGCCGGGCAAGTTGCCGAATTGGAAGAGGCGTTTTTAGAGACTAGACCTTCTAGAGCTGTTTCTTGATTTAGCTCCTAATGCCCGAATTCAAGATGTCAACCTGGATGTTTAAAAGTGGAAGGCAAAGGAACTCTAGTCCGGTAATGTGTTTTTAATACATCTTGTGAGTCATCGTATGGTTTCTGTGAAAGCTTCTGACTATTGGAGACTCTGGGGAGATTGGAAACTGAAAGTGAGCAATTCAGACCAGTTTCTTTCACCTTTGACATACAGAGTATAAGTATTGACTTATCATTTCTCAATTTATTCTTACGAGAGAAATTTTCTTCAAGTGATAGAAAAATTAAGAGATTTCAACGGGATAACGGACGATGAAAGGAAACTCGGTTGAGAAACGGAAAAAGATGCTAACCAAAACTAAATACGTTACCAAAATTTCATTTGTATGTAAAAATTCTGTTCCTTTTAATCTATATGAGACATGAGAAAATTAAGTGTGGTTATTTTGTGCTCCCAGTCAAAACAGGTGCGGTTCTTGGATGTGTAACATGCGCTTGTCTTCCTAACGATAAATCTCATGTAATCCATTTTATTTAGCCTCGAACACATTCAAAGCAATTTTAAACTGGAGAGTTAAGAGTAGATTTAAAAGGCCTTCAGAATTCTTTTTGCCCATGTGATTGTTTGTTAACACCTACAGAACTCACAGGCCGACGTTTCTACACGGCAGAAAATATCGAAAAAAGCATACGCCATCCTTAGGGATTTTTATTCCTAACATAGTTAAGACGATAGCATCAATTTTGACAGGTGGGAAAGGAAAAGAAAAAAGAAAAAATGAAATGGCTTGCGAGGCAGTCTCGATCCTAACAACATTAGTGCTAGCCCACACATTGCAGAGGAGGAAAATTTAAAGTTTCATTTAATACCTTTAAAATCTATTAAGGAAATACGCAAGTCTGACTTACGTTTAGGGAAGAGGCGTTCATTTTTTGATAAGATCGCATGGGAGGAAAAAAAACAAACAAACAAATTGGCATTAGTGCACCCACTTGGTTAAAAGACGTGTCCAGAATATCTGATAAAGATGAATCGATTTCAAGTTGCGGATCTATGCGAACCGACAAGGAAACCACAACGCCCTTTGATTATCACCTCTATTCCAAAGATTCTTTGTTGTGTGTTACCGAAATCAGACTAAGCAATAAGATTAACATGACCCTCTACAGTGATAATAGTTTAATGCTTGGCTAAATGCATTAACACATTAACAGGAACACAGCATGCCTTTGAATTGAAGAGATGTATTCATGATCGTATAGTTTCCAGTACAGTCGGATCTCAAAAATTCTATTCCTCAGTAAAAAAGCGCGGCCTATTTTGAGGGTTCACATTTGTGAGAATGTCAAAGGTTATTTACTGATTCCTGTTGATCGATGGGAAGAGAGACAAAAAATTTTCTTTTTCTTGATTAAAAGAGTCTGCGTTGGTCTCCAATTCAGTTACCGCTTCATGCACCACTGAAAACAGGGCCAACATCGTTAATGTCCTTGCCGAGAGCTTTTGTGTTTGTGGCTTTTACTGTGTAATTGCCAAGCTTATAGTGAGCAAATATACTTGATTAGTTTATTAATGAATAGACCCCACTTGAAGTTTGGCGTATACACAAGTATTGAATCGAGTATAGAGTTTACCAACAAACAAACAGCAGTGCATTATGCGAGGGCCGTCCTGAAGTTTCACATATTACACATGTGTATAATATTCTTGTTTGTGATGACTAACGAATTTTAAAGGACCCATGAAGAGTGCTCTGATTCTCAAAAAAACAATTCTTCTCATAAACATAATTCAAATTGACAAATATCATAGAGCGAAGAGGGACGAGGTTAAGGTTTACGTCTTTTGAAAATTGCAATGGCCAAAATATTATTTGGAATTTTTTCTAATATTATCACTTGCATCTATCCTTGCCTCTTCATGTTTGTTTAGAATGCTTCTGTTCCCTCTTTCTATCTCAGCCACCTAATATTTCGTGGAGGTAGTTTTGCTTTGTGAAAAAAAAATTAAAAGAATGCTGAACTCAAAACGCCAGGTTACTACTTGAAAACAGGCCGGCAACACGTGGCGAACAGACGCCATCCTACTGTGTGTCGTGAGGATATGGAAAAATCTGGCTCAAAGCGGCAAAATAACACGGCTAAATGTTTTCAGTAATTGGATCACTTCCTGTCGTTCGTTAATTTTGGCATTCCACAATATTTTAACTCAGAAATGTATGATTCATCACGGAAACTGAATAAGGGCAGTTGTAAACATTAAAGCACGCGAGATATTTCACAAGTCACGAAAAGTATGTTGTGTGAAACGATGATATAAACGATGGCGTAAGAGAAGAAAAATGAAGGAAATAAAAATTGAGATGGCTGCTGTCAATCGAATTTCGCTCAGTCATTACCGTTGGCGGTCAGAGAGGAAAAGTTAAAATCTTTTAACTCGGGAAAATAATTATCATCACACAATAATTAAAATTATTTTGTGATGAGAGTAAACAAGCTCATCATTAATGCCTTTGTTTATTTAAAGAGCGCGAGCGTTATCTTGCTAAAGCACTAAATTATCGTTTTCAATTGATTCCAGAAAAAAGGAAATGACAGCTGAAAGGGAAGATTTCAAAAGGAGAAAAGCATCAGTAAATAACATTATCTTGATTAAAACCAAAGTATAGTCTAGAAACTGCTGTGTGGCAGCTAATAGGGAGGATTGCCAAATAGGAAAAAATAATCCGTTTAAGAACTTCGTGTGTTTGTTTACACATAAAATTCTCGTCAACAGTATGTTCGAGAAGGAGACGTGCGGCAGCTAAAGGGAAAGATTGCAGAAAATGAAAAAAAAAAAAAAGATTCAGTTTAAAACGTCATCTTAATGAAACACCAAGGTCTAGTTACCAAGTAATTCTAGAAGGAGATGGGTGGCTGCTGAAAGGGAAGATTGCAAAAAAAAAAGAAATCAACTAAAGAGCTTCGTCTTAAACAACATCAGAGTCACAGTCTGATCAATTCTCTAAGAAGATATCTGGTGGCAAGAAGGCAAATTTGCAAACATCAACAAAAAAAGGCCAAATCGATAAGACTACTTTTTAATCGGATAGCCTAAAAAGTTTCCGCATTGCTGCTTTGTGATTGGACGTTTGCTATTCCTTCTCGTTCTGAGCCCGTAGATTAAGATTTTTTACAGCGGAAGTCGAGCGATTTTTCCCAAGTCATATCTAAGCGCACTGACTGATACCTTGGACTGATGTTCTTACTATAATCATAACTTACAGCATGTGTTTACCACAGTGCAATCTACGTTACTCACAAACTGACCAACGACTGACAAAATACAAATAGATTGGCGATTACAACATTTTTAATGAGAGAGCAGAAAAACAGCCACATCACCAATTAAGATACTAAAAATAAAACTACCAGATATCCATTTAATTTACATAGCAGTCTTTTGAAATCTATGAATTTTGCCTTAGCCTGAGTAAAATGTCATTGACGCAAATCTTGTCGCAGTAATTCGTCGAAAATTATGTGGTTGACAATTCTCTTACCGGGGGCTGCTTAGCTAGTCTATTGAATGTATTGTTCGGACGTTATGAGTTTTCATTCAAACGTGAACAATTATTACCGACAAAACATAATTGAAAACTTGTTAATTACCTTATTGTACCTGCAGTCGTCTTTAATTACGCAATTTTAATATGAAATTCTCGCTGAACTTTACCTAAAAGATATGAGATCCCACTAAAGACCATTAAAAGAATTTTTTAAAAGTGGATTCAAGTTATACAATGAGATTTAGGAGTCGTAGACACGTTGAGATGTAAACTGTTCGCTTGACAAACCTTGGAAGTAGCGCGCATTTCGTCTGCAACTGGTGGACGTAATTAATGTACCATGTCTCAAGGGTACCAACACATTAATTGTTTTCGTACCAACTGCCATGTTTCTTTTATTTGAGAGCCCTGTACGTGATGGAGTAAGAAAGATAAGCATGTCACAAATGTTTTTGGTTTTAAAAAAATCTTAGTCGATGATAAAGATTCATCTAACTTAAAGGCAACTTAATTGGTAAGTTTTGTAGCCAACACGCTTCTTAGCCTCTCACAGAAATCGGCAGAACTCGACTAATCCGAAATATTTGAGTATTTACGTTTATGGCTTCGTTTATTGATGAAAATTGTAATAACTGGGTTAGTTACACTAAATCAGTGATTACGCCATAAGCGCCTAAGCGAAGTTCGACTAAATCTCATTGAAAAGGCGTATTAGCGCGCGTACTTCCGGCAGCCCGCGGAGGGCAATAATTACAAAGGTATCACCACAGGAATGACGTCAACAACAACGTAAAACAATAGTTCAAAATAATTGAACAATAACTTCATTTGAGATTTAATATCGAAGCGTTACGGACCTCCAACATTTTCTGAGCAATACACAACTGCTTTTGAGAGGAGTTGCACACACTGAAGACACAGAACTCAAATATGGTATGAAAAACAGTGCGTGTGTAATGAGTGGTCTTTGTAGCTTTTTAGACATAGAAGTCTTGAAGTATGACTTTTAAAATCATTTTGAAGTGCAGTTGATTAGCAGTTTAACTTGTAATTATCACCTCTAGCTCTTCTTTTATTTCTTTTCATCGGAATGTACGCCTGCTCTGAAAATTCTGACCACATACCTCGAAACATAAGGGCATCAAAATGGCTGTGGTAAACAAATGGAATATTCCACATATTAGTCTATTATCATGGAGGCGATTTTGAAACGATTGATGACAGGAGGTCTCAACGGACATTGCATAAAAATAAGGTTCTCTAGAGGTTGACTTGATATTTGGTTATCGGTACAGCCAAGATGGCAAGTAAGAGGTCGAGCTGTTTATTTGGAAACGCAAGTCCTTGAGTGAGATTCTTCAAATTAGAAGTGAATGATTTGAAGTACATGCGTGAGGTACTGTTTGTTTTTCAGCTTTAAGTTCTCATTTCCGTCTTCTTCCTCCAGGATAGAACCATGGATAGCTTGACAATTCCATCGAACTTCCAAAGTACAACAAAGCCTAAAGCAACCACTGGGAACAACAATGGAAACTTAAAAAGTATTCGCTCCGTCGTACTGGGAAAGGATGGAGTAGGAAAATCAGGTATTTGAAAGCCAAACATGTCAAATCGTTGCATGTTTTCTTTTGTTTTAAGCTGAAAGCTTGAAATCAAACAAAGCTTGAAATCAAACAAAGCTTTATCTCACCGCGGGTCGCCGTATAAGGAATGTTTAAACAATTTTCTTTACATTGAAACGTTCTTCTAAGTCACGAGTTGTTGCTGTGCACATTTCTCGTGATGCCTTTTTATGCGACGTGTGGTTTTGAGATAACAGAGAATGAAGAAAAACATCACAGTAAAATTAATTGACACCAATGTCGAATGTCGACAAAGTCATCGCTTCAACGCTTTAGCGTGAAAAACATTCTTTCATATGTTTGCAACTATGTTTATACACTAGCGACAGGTGAAAGGTCATTGTAGTTGTTGATATTACAGTCACGTTCCATAGCACAGCTAGTTTCCCCGCTAGAAACATTTGTTTTTAGAATCCATTCAAGGCTATCTTTATGAATTATTTCGAAACTGTTGGACGTGTGTTGAAGTTGGTACGTGCGCAAAACAGCGCTTATTCCGGAATTTTTTGGGTCTTAACACTTAAAACGTAAAGTTGCATGACCTGCTTCCGTGAAAGAAATTCGCTTTTCCGCCCGGGCGAAAATAAATTTTCCAGAATATAAGGACTTTTCAATCTTTTCGTAACCATATCAAATATTTTCATTTCTAACTTCTACTAAACGGAGATTTCAGCTCGGAGAAACATATAAATAAAACTTGAACTCAAGGGACAAGGAGGGACATCGATAGAGAACACAAAAACAGATAGCTTATTATGAAATTCATTGAGAAACAAACGCCGAACTTTAAAAAAAGCGGCAGAACCCTTTAAATGCGAGAAAAATTTGATTCTTGAAAGTTTGAATACTCGAGCAAACGAACAGAGTATCAATGGATTGCGTGTCAAAAGGCTGTACGCGCCTTCATAAGTAGAGGAAGACACGAAGATTTGTGGTGGTTACCATAAAAGGAAATCCACCCCTATAGTAGACAATAACAATAAAAGCAAAGATGAACAATTCCGTATGCCAAGGGCCGAAATTCTAACAAATCAAGGCTGTTAAATTAGCAAAGCAAGGTTTGCACTAAAGGTTAAATTCAAACTTTGTAGACATATTCCCAGGTCTAGAAACTTCGTATCATTTCTTTTCGTGACTACTGGCCATACATGCTGCAAAGTATGTTTATCAAGATAAATTAACACAGCTATTAAAAACAGATTAAAATTGTACAACCGCACTCGATTTTAATTTAGGATAGCGTGGAAGTTTTATCAGCGTGTTTACAGCGTGTTTACATATTGCACGCAAAGTTGATTCCACTTACTCTGTCAGCATTCCTATGAACCACACCCAACACAGAATGGAAAAAGTTAAAAATATAGATGGATTATGCAGGGGTTTCAAAAACGTTCCCAATAAGCGGCCTCTGATGATTTAATAGGCGGCTGTGCCCGGAAAGGGGTCGTAAGGCAAAACCGAAAAACAAGAGCCTGCTCCGGCAGGCTAAACAAAGGGCGGTAAGAGGTCTCACAAGCAGCAGTAAACCGCCTGTAACTGGCTTTGAATGGAACGCGAGATTATGGTTTATAAAAGAGCTGTTTTGAAAATGTAGCTTGATGTTAGTAGTATATAAACTATTTAAAATAGCTAAGTAACATAAAGATTGCTTTTTGATGACTAAAGATGATTTTAAGTTGTTGTTGTTATCGTTGTTTTTAGCCTTCACAGTCAGACTTCTCACAAAGCGATACATTGGAGAATACGACAGCACTTTAGGTAATGAAAAACATTTTCTTCTTGTTCAATTTCATTGGCCAACAGCTTACCACGTGACCTGTACTGTAAAAGGGTCGGCTACACCTGATCAAGTTTTAGTTTTAAGCCAAAAAAGTGACAGATTATATCTAATTGCTACCATTTCTTTAACTTCAGAAGAAACATATCGTCATCGCGTTGAAGTGGACGGACAAAAAATCCTTTTAGAAATCTTGGACACTGCGGGACAAGTGAGTAGATCAAGCTGCTTTTTCAAAATTTACAAGAAATTTATAGCTTTCACAAAAAAAGAGTCCATCGCAAGTTACGTATCCCTTTCTTAGGTCAAGAAAATTGGCCTTAAGCGTTTTTCGACACAAAACCGAACCCAAGTAATCACAACAACCAATGAGGAGAAGGAAAAATTTCCTCAAGCGCGGGAAACCGCGAATTGTTGATAAGCATCCGATTGGCAGGGAAAGTAGTGCCAGTTTCTAGTCCAATCGTGGGCGCTGTAACGTAAAACCAATACAATCCCATGCCACTGTCTTAAAAATTGCTCTTCTGGCTTCTCTTTTCTGGAATTGTAATTCAAAAAGAGAGCAGGTCGCTTTTTCCATGATGCTCCTATAGATTTCTACATGATAAAGATATCTACGTGAAATACTTTTCAGTGACAACTAATAAACTGATGTTTTTCATCTCACAGAACTCTGTGGAAAAGATCGATGCATGTTCCTCGGCAGATGTATATTTCGTTCTTTATTCAACGACAGATCGTTCGTCGTTCAGAGAAGCGGCTCTAATCACTAAGTACCTCCTTGAGACAAGAAACGTCAATCGGGCCGCGATATTTCTAATAGCTACCAAAAAGGATCTTAAATACGAACAGGATGTGACAGAATACGAAGGAAGATTATTAGCGATGGAGCTCGGATGTGAGTTTTACACCATTTCAAGCTACGAAGGGTTTGATGGTACGCAAGATGTTCTACGCGGTTCGCTTCGATTCTCTCTAAATAATAAGGGAAATGGTTCAAAATCTCCACTTATGACGCGGATGAGAAAAGGACTAAAACACAGGTCGCACACAAGTAGTCCCACTCCACAAGTGATTGAAAACAGGGACAGGACTTCGACTCTTTGATTTATCACGTCACCAAGAACTGCGCTGTGCTAGGTGAAGAAAATAGTTTTACGTGACAACATCTGGGCTAATTCACCTCAAGGGAAAGAAAACGTTTCAGAACAATTTTAAATAAAATCTCCCTCGACTCAAATCATTTGTAATGATTGCAAATTTGTGAACACGTGATAGAGCAAGTTTATACTATGAAATTGTTCAAGTTAGAGTCTTTCCGTTTATTTAAAACATAGGAGAACTCTTAAGTTTATCAGTAATTGTTGAAACACCAGAAACTCTTGTAAATAGGAATCCAAAAAAGGCTAAAAATATTTTGTCTATAGCCCCAACAGTGCCCTCTCCATTGTTCGTCATATTTAAAATCAATATCAAGCTGGACTGATAAATTACGAATAACAAGGCCTGGATACGTATGTTTCTATCGAGAGCAGGAGATGGAACAAGAGGTTTTCATTTCCATTGAACATCAATGAAAGGAAATTAAAAGAAACTCCAAATGTATAGTTGTATACTCTATCAGATATGACAATCGAATACATGCAGTCTCCGTTTACATCAGCGTTTTGGGGAAGGTTTTAGTGTGGATGACAGGCAAACATGCATCGAAAAGTTGCATTTTTGAACAAAAACGCGAAAGCGTAGATGAGAGCTGAAACGGCTGGAAGTGTTGAAAACATGTCAAGAGATTTAAATGTGTTTGTTTATAAATGGAAAGGTAGGGATAGAAAATGGCCAAAGGAATCGATCTTTTTTTTTTTTTTCATCTCCTGAGACTTTAAGCTTTTTAATCTGGAAACGTTTGGAATTTTGAGCAAATGTTAATACCTTGTGGGTATTTTCATATTGATTGACCTTGCCCTCCCATCAGACTTTACTCTACGCCATTATTCTGCCGAATTCTCCGAGCACCCCTGTATCATGCAACGCTTCACAAGATACAACCAAAAGACTTTTCTTCGTTATAGGTTTAAGAACTGATGCCTTAAATATCAACGAGCAAATCATTTACCTTAAGTAACTTTAGATGTAAATACTGTGCAACAGATGAGACGTAGTCCTGCAAAACGTTAAGAATTTTTCCCTCATTCAACGCAAACACATGATGAAAAGACATCAAGATGTACAAACTAAAGATTGTGGTTTCTGTTGGACAGACTACCAAAGGTCACACGTTTTGTTTAACTCCTCACTTGGAAAACATTACAGAATCATTAAATGCTAGATTGTTATCTCAAAAGACCATATTTCGCATCTTTTCACAAATACGACCAGAACATTATACATCATCAGTTCTAGCAACTGCCACACGTAAACTGATTTATGAAAGAAGGCGAAAAAAAAAACGAAAAAAAAAAACAAAACAAGGAAGTAACACTCGTCCAGGTTACTGAGGCTTGGATGCGTCTCAAACAGGACTTTGATTCCTACATATTTGAACTATCCCTGTAGTTAATCACATTTAAGCCTCTATCACGTACTAATCCGCTAATTAAAAAGGCAGATTAAGGAAAAATTAAGCTGGCTAGAAGACAGAATTTTGTCGCTGGGAAACTAAGGAGACTAGGTGATCAATTTATACACGATAGATTTTATTCCTGAAAGATACCATATTTAGGAAAATACAGTTTCTATAGTAAACTAAAATTGATAGATTAAGTACAGATGAATCTAAAGATTCAGGATGTACTCTCTCTTCCTTGTTTCACGCCCCTCCTTTAAACCTTAGAGCCTTGATTTGCTTTAACGCTGTTTGCTTTCTAAATAACCCAGGGAGGGCCGAATCTTTGCTTTGACAAGTTTTGATGTTTTTCCATTAAAATGGTCCGAAGAAAGAAAACTCCGCAGTGACCTTACACCCCTGGTATCGATAACAGTCACTTATAATTTGCCGCCGACAATGGTTACATCAAAAGCGACGTAAAGATTTCAGTTTCCGTGCCAGACTGGCTCTTGTGTTATATTTGACCCGTGTCCGACGAACATGCGTTGAATAGGAAGTATAATTCTCCGCAGTCATCTCGCAAAGATACGTTCGTCAATAATTTGAACCCTGAGTAGGCGAGCAAGCAGTTGTAAGCATCATTAGCCTCGAATGGAGTGAACCACGTTTGAGAAACTGTTGACCAGAGAACTTTTTCTTCTATTTTTCCACAAGGTTTAATGCGTTGTTGTGCCGATCAGAGATTTGCCAAGAGTCGGATCATATACACGGAGAAAAATGGAATCTAAAGGTGACCAATTTGGAAGACGAATGGTAAGTAAATTTAACTGGGTAAATGTTTATTTAAACTCGCTAAAAGTTGTGATGTTTAAATTATCATAAAACTTGTTCACTAAGTAACAAAACATGCGACAAGGTGTATTTTTCCCCGATGTTAGATTTCTTATGCATTCTGCGTTTAGCTCTCGGAAAATCACTTGGCTGTCCACAAAGGAAATCCAGTAGCAATGCATTTAGATATTTGAGTGATCTTTTTGCATCTTGCGGTGAAAGGTTGAGATGAGTGATTCCGTAGAGAAGTTAGTAGAAATAACAAGACGGAGCGATATGCATATTCTGACATTTAGGGAACAGCTAATGCATGCATGATTTTTTTTTGTTTTGTTTTGTTTTCCTGAAGTCTTTCCCACAAGATAACGCTGGCCATTCAGTGTTTCCACGAAAACCGCGGAATCTCAGCGTAGGGTCAAATAATAACATCGAAGAGGAGAACAAAGTCATCAGAGCAGCTGTGCTGGGCAAAGATGGCGTTGGAAAAACCGGTGAGTGGAGAGCCTTTCATGTATTACAATAAAACCGCGACCTTACGAGGCCTGTCGCACGCGCCTGCAATTGAGGGATTATCACCAAACTTCTCTTGCAGCTGACACGGCAATAAAATGGTTTGAGAGAGCCTCTGGCTATCACGCACTAGTTGCCGCATGCAAGAGAGAGGCATCCAAGGAAGTTCTACCAGGATAAAACGAAATGTCATGATAAAGTCAAACGGAGGCTTCTTTACTAAGATTTTGTCACCGGATGTAAAAAACATTAACAGCGTTGTAAGAGACTATTTAATGCCAAAATATCCTAAAATAAGTCAGGTAGAGATTTTCTCTGTATGTGCACTGAAAAAGACGTCATTACTAAGCAACTTTAGAGCGGAGGAATATTGACTGCTCGTCAATCCTTAAAATATTACTCGAATTTTCTTGTAAGTTAGTTGTTCGCAATAGGTTTTCCTCTATGCCATACGCCTTTCTTTTCAAATTACCCCAATGTTTGGCGTTTTTCTTCCCTAACAAAATATAGTTTCAAGATTTTAACCTTTGAAAAGTACAAAACACACTCGTCTGTAGCTCTACTCCACAACAGTTGAGAACGATAAAAAAAGTTTGCGTGAGTACAGCATCTTCTCGCAGCAGGGAACCGAACATCTTTAGTGAAACCCACTCCACTCACTCATCAAGTTTCCATTTCTAAACTTCAACATATTGACTTTTGGTAGGCGCAACAATGCTTATCGTCAGTAATCAGATTTCTTTTATATCCTTCCGGCGTTTCGTGGTAAAGCTGTGACCAAAAATATCTATGTATAAATTCTTAAGAAATGTAAGGTGACATGTAATAAATTAATCTTTGGACTCTCTTTGATGGGACGACAATTATTCCGTGTTTTCGTACTCAAAAGTTACATTCATAATTTTATTTTAAGCTCTCCAAAACGCCATTGTACAGTTCAGCGAAGCGTCAAGCCGCTCTGTTATGCTCCCAATTTTGCATGATTTCCCGATGAGCCTTTAAATGGGGGTTTGTTTGTAAACTGATAAAACTTCCAAAACAATACTGTCGAAAACAAACACCTTGCTGTACGGCGAAACCTTTTGATGTTTAATCTTTCAGTTTTGTCATTTTGTGTTTTTTTATTTGTCTTTTCCTAATTATATTTACTTAATTGTCTAGTTACTTTTGCACTTTTACGATCACAAATCAATGTTGCCTAGTAGAAGTAATTCTAACTGATCTTTTACCTAGCTAGTTAACTCCTCAAACATGATACTTATAGTTCCCTGGTGTGGTTGTTACACTGTACGAGTTGCCTAGTGAATTGGAGATAGGTTGTTATGTCGTGATCAGACCCTACAGCTGACATTTTTTTACAAATACGTTTTTTCTGGATAATATATTGATATTCCAGGGTAACATGAGCAGAGATTAGTTGTTACTCAGTGCCACAGGTTAAAATTTTCTTTTAGTTTCATTCTCTTTTCCTTCTGCTAGCCTTCACTGTTCGTCTTCTGACACGTCGTTACATTGGGGAGTACGACGGCACATTAGGTAAGTTGATAAACACGATAAATACTACCTCACTGTAACAGCTAGTGACTAAATCAATAACGTTCTCTATTCTTGAATTTCTATAAGAATCATTTTATGAACAACAATCGATTTTCACTTGGAATGTTTTGAAAAATATTTAAATAATTTCAGAGGGGCGACACTTGTTTACGAGTTAGTAGAAAATTACAGCACGTAGGCGGAAAATTCTGATCTGTACCTTTCTCTCAAATAACAATTTATTTCTGAGTCACCCACTTATCAACAGAAGCACAGAGATAAATCTAAACCTTTTGATACAAAGTTCACGCAATTAGTGCAGATTGTAAGCAGTAACAGACGTACAAAATACCTTCAACTTTTCGGTACAAATTTTAAAAACTTCAAAGACAGAATACTACTGACTTTGAGAAAACGTTTCAGCAGGGTTAGAGAAATTTCAAACATTGGCTTTGCTACCAGAATGTACCGCTAACTAAACAACATTGCGTTCGTTCACGTATAAAAGCATAAACCTGACTAACTCGCTAACAGACTGAAAAGATGAGGATCGCGCAAGGTGTTATCTTGGGAAGGCATTTAATTAGTTTTGAATTAGCGTAAACAGTAAAAGAATTCCTTAAATTTTTTTTAAACCACAGAGAGCTGGTATCAGCATCGCGTTGATATAGAAGGACAAGAGGTCTTATTTCATGTTTTTGACACAGCTGGCAAGGTATCAACCCTTTCCTTGTTACTTATCTTTTTTTGCAATCCTGTATTAGGTGCATGACTTTCGATGTTGAAGATTTCATCGATTTCGGGGAATTATAGTTAGTGATGTCTCTGATCTCTCCACAATTTTTATTTATTAGTTCGTGTAAAGCTTTATCTGGGTATTGTAACAGTTATTTAGTGATAACAGCACAACATGAAGGCGTACAATTCAAGATGTCTGCAATTAATTATTAATTCAACTGCTGTAAACAACCAGTTTTGTCAAGTAAATTATCATTGCACTCCCAATTAGGATTGACCTTTTCTTTTGCGATGAGCAGAACGAAGTGACATTTCTATTAGTAAGCAAGAGTAATTTAACTTGTTAATGACTCCAATATTAGTTGTGAAGGAACATCTCCATCTACATTCCAGTCTTGCAGTAATGATATGGCAAAGGCTATTAGTAGCTTTCACGGACAATCAATTTGACTACGCATGTGCATACATTTAACGCTTGGAATCCATGACAGTATCTGAGCAACTGCTCACCTATCCCTCCTCTCACCCGGCAACAGTCGATTGATGACAAGTTAGGGTTAATGTTGGGTTAAGGGAGGGGTAGGTCCGCAGTTTCTCAGATACTGAAATTGATCCAAGACTTGGATACCGATGCGTACAATCCTGGCAATTGCATATTAATACACAGATAAGTCGAAATCGAACTTTTGACAAGGATTCGAAATCCAGTGCAAATCACAAGCCGCCTTCAAGCCCCTTTACTTCTTCATCTGATCACTTTTCATCTTTTAACTCTGAATATTGAAGACTAGGAATTGAACCTCAGAGGTCCTTTAGGAAATCGTGTTCGTGTGACAGGGCCCATTTTTTTTTCGACGCCCCATAAGCGCTAACCCAAGGCTAAATTTTAATCCGGGTTTCCTTAACTCCTTTGTTCAAAAGCCTGTTTGGGATGATTTTCTCTGTTCTCATTAAAGCATCCAATCACAACACTGTAGACAAGAGAAATTCAGCTGGATTTTCTTTGAAAGCATTCAGATCTGACATAAAATTTCGCACTTATCTTGGGTTATCTTAACCCAGCTTTGAACAATCAGGCCCTGCAATTTTCTAAAATTTATTAATTTCAAAATTTTACACCTCCCTCTCCCTTCTTAACGTCTAACAGTTTTATTTTTAATATAATATTTCAGAATTGCAAAGAAAAAATTGATACCTGTGCATCATTGGACATCATATTCGTAGTTTACTCCATCACTGATCGCTCATCGTTCCAAGAGGCCACCCTCATCATCAAATATCTACACGAAACAAAGAATATTCCCTCGTCAGCGATTTTTCTAATAGCAACGAAAGCAGATCAGAAACGACACACAGAGGTGACAGAATTTGAGGGAAAACTTTTCGCCGTAAACATGGGTTGTTCATTCCATCAGCTATCAAATTCTGAAGATTTTGCTGAGCACAGCAAGATATTGAAACAAACTTATCTAAGAGTATCCCTTGGACATGTACAAAAGACGCCCAAGTCTCCACTGATGAGGAGATTGAAAGGAGGTTTCAAAAACAAGGGACAAACTGTCATTACAGAACACAGGTACCGATCAGGAAGTGTCGAATTTTAGAGGCAGTCAGTTTCCAATGAAAACAGTTCGCGTAAAAGACCAAGCTGAGAGACGGATCCTTACAAAATCATTCCTTTTCAAGGAAACTAAAAAACATCCTAATATTTCTAACAACCAATTGTTTGATGAAAGGTTACGAGCATATTTCCTTTCTCTTTTAATTTTCGCTTTATTTGAAAAAGCTTCTCACAAATTTCTAATCATTACTCATAAACTGACTCTTATTTAGTTAGCGGCCAAAAAGTAAACATAGTGCTATGGTTGTATTCTATGTCACAAATATGATCAGTCACGTATGATCTGCAGCAATTGGAAATTTGTTTGATACCATTTTCAGGAAAGTGATGATAACAAAAGAATCCTATGAAATCATTTTAAACTTACTAAAAGTATTCTTAGATCAATTCCGTTTTCGGGGATTTCAGCAGGGTCCAGAAATACTCAATCACATGTCAGAAACTTTTTGGCACGTGGAGATCCAGTGCCGCGTGTGCTCGGTCTCCATATTTGAGCGACGCGTAAAATCATTTTAACCAGAGGAAATCAGTCTCTTAGAATAATTGTCTCTGAAAGCAGTACAGTACCGTGGATTTCAGACGACTGATCATCGGTTTATGCCAGGGATCATGGAATGAACTGTTCCCAAAACCGCCTCCTCTTACTCCTTATTAAAGATAAAACAGACAGTGTTTCCTTTTACCTGATGATGATTACTTTACGCCGGTAAGGACGAATCCAGAAATAAAAATGTGTAGAATTACACTGTTACCTCGACTTCGCTGATGTTACCTAGAATATTTCGAATTGATAATTTGGTTATAGCAGCCAGTTGATCATGTAAATTGGTCACCGTAGAGAGTTTCTAAAGCTTACAATGAAAAACCTGATTGATCAAGAGCATTCTATCATTGGACAAAAGCGTGTGAAGTTAACATGATAAATGCAATATCTGCAGCGTATATTATCATGTCGAGTACAAAGTATGCCTAGTTTCCAAGCCCCTCGTCCGTGAAGTATTCTCAACCTTTAGCAAACTCAGTGAGGAGTGTTTTCTTTGGCAGATTGTTTAAAAAATTTTCAATTAAACAATTAGTGAGTTCGCTTCTCGGATTATCATGAACTATGAAACCTCGTGTCTGTGTTACCTGTTTCAGCCTTTGGCTTCGGCAAGTAACGCAGACTTAGGTTTTGATAACTAATGACATAATGCTCAACCTCATCCAATAGCTCTTAATTCCCACGGTATCAACGAGTGGTATTCGACTCATTTATTCTTGTTTTCTTGTCACCATATTCCCACCAATAGCGTAGCTCCATTTTCTACATACAAACAAACATACAACACACAATTCCTCCATTCGCTCTGACGAAGAGCTAACGCTCTAAACGCCACCTTTGAAACTCTTTACGGTGGCCAATTTACGTTATCGACACAGTTGAAAATACTAAATTGCCCTGTTATACCCTCCCAGCGACGCAGCACCACAGTTTCTATAGAAACTTACCCCCTTAACTCATCCAATAACTGCTTATTGTCTCAGTAAACATCTTGTAAAAAATATGAGCTTCCAAGTTTTAATATTCTTTTGTTCTTTGCTCCTTTTTCACATTATACTGAATCAAACGACATAGTTACTTCATTACGTGAAGGAATTTAGTTTCCAATGCCTCATTAAGCAAGGTTAAACGTTGATTGGTGTTTTTCACATTTATACATGGGCGATAATTATCAAAGCAGGTGTTTCCTGTGTTTCAATAGAAAATAAGATCATTTTCCTATAAATTTCTCATACGATAGGACAAACAAAATTTTGATTTATCCACTAAAAATAGCTTTTTATAACCTGGAGCAGTTCATCCTTTCATCGATAAAATTTTTCTCACCCGACCTCATAAAGGATTGCCTAAGGCCAGTTACTAAGTGAACATACAAGGTCATCTTTTCATTTGTTCAAAAAACTAACCAACTGAAAAAAACGTGCCTCTTTTGTTTAAAATATGTAACACACAGCATAAACTCATTTTTCGCACTTCGTTAAAGCGACATCAAAATGAATTGGAACACTCTTACCTGTAATTTAGTTTTCAACAAAAATAGCCAACCTATCCCGTGAAGGGAAGGTCATCAAGTTTGTGTTAATATCACGACAATTTTCTGCAAACCCTAAAAATAACTTCCTCAGAGCTGATTTTACATTTAAAGGTTCAAGATCATCGAGGTCTTGCCAGTATAGTCACATGCTTAGAACTAACAAGTGGAAAGTTCAACCCCATTCTATTTGAGGTATGTTTGAAAATCGTCTCATCATTTCTTCATTCAGAAAATTCAATTTCATAGTTTTCGTTTAGGAGGAATGACTAAATAATTACATAATGAGAGCAAAAACAATTGGAACGAATTATAATGGCGCAAATTTTCTGATTACTCAAAATCCTGATCTTATGTTGGCTACATTAACACGAGACATTGAACTCATGGAGCTCATTCTGTGTTATAACGTGGTGGGTCTGTTTACAACGGTTCAAAGGACCGTAGCGTGATTCGTGTCCAATCAAGAGAATAAGAACTGGGTTTGTGTCTAATCTATTGTAACCGTAAATTTAAGGCCGGCTTTCAACAGCCCAGGCCTTGATGAGCTCGTTCCCAAACAAGTAAACACGAAATTCAAGCATAATCATCCGAACATGTCACTACGGCGTTCCTTTGTTGATATCAGCGTCCTACTAAAAGCTGGAAGGAAAGAGTTTTCACCCCATCAAAGCCTTGATTTTTTTTTTTGTGCGACGACCTTGAAAGCGCTCAAACCGTGAAGATTAACCCTTCACTTGTGGCAAGTTGTTTAGCTTTTTGCTCCAAAACAGGTTAAGAGAATGCCTTGGAGCTTTTCCTTTACTTTCAAGTTTGTTGCATGTAATTAAAAATGTGACCAAGACCATCTTTGTGCATGAGTTGATTGTAGATGCTGTCTTACATTCGCTCTCTCTCCGGCATGAACGGCATGCTCTCTCTTCGTACGGTAACCAAAAATATGCCACACTTATGTAATTTGACATAATCTCTGCACTGAACACGTGCATTACTAGGTCAAAGAGAGGCAGACATGAACATTTTTTTCACTCTCGACTTCCGATAACCGGCCTACCTTTCTTTTCAATAACACTGTTAATGTAAGCCCTTTACAACAAATGTTGCGATACATGGAATGCTTGCAATGATAGCAAGCATTTCAGCACCTAGAAAATAAGTTGGAATATGGAACCGCTTTATCTTGAAAGGCAATACCAGCTGTAAGACGTCTCTATCGATCTTTATAGGATTAATATAACATGGCTGCTTAATTAGCTTTAGAATATGCGGCGTGTTCAACGTTATTGCATTAAATGCAACTAATAAATCCCTGCAACAAGGAAAATCTCTTGATTTTTCAGGAATTGATCCGTTTAACTAAAGGAATCTTTTATTACAGATCTATGTTTGAAATCAATTTGCACGTAATAATGCTTACCGACGAAACTCTTCACATGCATTATCTGAGAGTTAATTAAATAAATGGTATGAACTTTTTATTGGATTAATTGAAAAATCCGAAGGCTGACAGGGAGGTATATCGCGGTGCATTCTCTTGATGTAATCAGCCCTACAAGCAAATTGTACACATGATAAAATGTACAGTCTAAGTGTGGGCGACGTAAGGGACACACCTTAAAAGTACTCGCAGCTTCTGCTTCAAATCTTTTGGGGAGTCATACCGGTTTAGCTAGTTTCCGCTCGAAAAGCAACTTTCACTTATTGCAGTCTGGTTATTTTGGCACGTTTCCACTGCGAATTAGTGAACAAGAATGTTATTTTGCTCTTCTTTTTTCCAAAAACTTTCCTTTATCGATGGATACTTCCCATTTTCGTATTTCCACAACTTTTTTTTGATACCTTTTTTTGTTTGACTGTTCCCACCATCCCGAGGGGAACTGGGAAACAAAAAACGTGCAGAAATACGCGCCCCTGTCCAAAGTTTGTTCGCCGAGCGATCATCAAATACTTCACTTGATTGGCCGGTTTCCATGAGAAATCCAATATTCACATGTTTTTGTACCTCATACGTGCTATTGTCGAAATGCATATGCTTTTCAAGTTGTATCGACCGTGTGAGAAAAAAGAGTCATTCAATTTTGAGAGAGTGTATTGAGGAACGCGGTTAGAGTATTTCAACAGTGCAAGGTGTGCTTCTTAATGTTTTGATTAATTTTTTGTTTGTTTGTTTTTCTTTCTTGCACCTATATATATATATATAATGAAAAACCGATTAACGTCTAGTCTGCAACTCATTTACAGTCGTTAATGTATATTTATGCTTTATTGTTGTGCTCTGACGCTGATTGACCTCAAAGAGAACATGAGACGTAAAAGAACGTGTTCAGCGAATCCTTCAAACATCACAAATGTCCACGCGGTGGTGCTTGGGTTGGATGGCGTCGGAAAATCAGGTATGTCAGATAAGTTATAGCCTTGAGTATCACTGTATCATTACAACAAAAGCTGCAGTTGACTCTCAAAATAGCCCCCTCCGCCAAGAAAAAGACGCCGGGGAACTATCGAGGAACTACCGGAGGAAACGGAACGAGATTTCTCGGGATAACCTAAGATGGACTGGTGTCCCATCCGAGGGGAGCCTGTAGCAATATTGTTTATCATTTCAAGCTACGGGAGTCAGACCGCTAGGATCATAAATTGGCCCATGAAAACAAACCTTAAATTCAACTTTCCAGCTACGTTGTCCATCAAAAGGCTTGACTTCTGAAACAAAACTAGGGCTTTCGGAGCTATGAAGTAATCTGTTTCAGAAGTAAGGGAACACAACAAAATGCCAGGAATTGGTTGACATTTCTAACTCATAAAGTTAAATTAAAAAAGTTATATACCAAGTAAAATAAATGTATTTATTTTAGTGGACGATTATTCGTCTTTAAATGCTTGAAAAGATGTTTAACGGCTTTCATCAGGTGCAGGAAAACCACTAAATTATGCATATCAATTACGAGAGTTTTATCGAATATCTTTGTCTTGTAGTGATTTCGCAATCAATTATGATCATCAAGTTAGGAACTTGCTCTCAGTAACAAACAGAAAAGTGAATCATCAGGCCAAAATAATTGATTTTCAGAGGGTTCCTAAAATAACCCAGCGTATAAAAACATATGTTTTGATATAATTTTTCAGTTATCAGTCGGGCATCAACGTGGGTATCATAAAGATATCATCGGCGATTGCAATTGTTTCAAAATGCGATCAAATCAAGTGGCTTTCCTATATTCTCGAGATTAAGATCGCGGTCTTTTTCTGAAAGCTACGCGCGTGTTGACGTTTTTTCAAAAACCGCAACAGTTGTCCAATTACGATAAAAGGTTCACCCCAAGAAAGCGGCCAAAAAAATGGAGATATATCGGCCCAAATAGCAGATATTGACTTGGCTACCAGGCGTACCTCTTCAAACGCTCCCAGTAATCGCTATTTCAATAAAGTATTTTCACAGAATTTCGCACAACGCCCAGCTGAAAAGTTTTGTTATTAGTGAAACATTGGAAAAAGAATGACAAGATATGTTGCACACCTGTAAGGCAGACGCGGGCGCAGACTGAAATCTCTCCAGCATCTTCAGATAAAACACTTGACTATCAGCCATTCAGACGCCGCCAATGAAACTGAGTAAATTCGCTCTTACTTCAAAGAATTCATTCAGAAGAATGACCCACAACAACCCATGAGTGGGTATCAACAGTACCACAAAATACTGCAACAATAGAAAATTTACCGAGGGAACAAAACGGTTGCATATGCATAATCTTTTTGCTCCTAATGAAGTGCTTCGCGTAAGAACTCAAAGGAACAAAGTGAAATCACAATTTAAGGCATCCAAGTGGTCACGTTTAAGGGTGTACTAATCGTTTTCAAAATAACGATAAGAATGAGATGAGTTCACTAAGCTACGTCTTTGTCTCAACAACTGCTGGCTCAGTTTTTAACACTCAGGGTGAAGTCCAAATGAAATACAAATACTTCCGGTATCTGAATGCACTGCTGTTGAAACTTATCTAGCATACAAAATAGTGTAACACAGTGAATAAAACCGATTCAAACTGAACTTCCATGGAAAACTGGAGAAGATACTGAAAGTAAACAACTTCACCCGTGGCACATGATGCTGAATTTTACATTTGAACGCATCCAACATTCTATGCAGTGCGTGCTAACATGATGGGTATTTCAAAATTATCAGTGTTCTCTCAATTATTAAGTTGTATAGAATAAGATACGTGACACTTCAGACTTTTTCATGTTCAAAAACGTTCACCACATTCAAGTACTGAGGGCTTATTGCTTGAATTCCTTTCATTGCCTCGTAGTTCTTAAAGTTCCATAGAAGATCATCAATGACGTGGTTGTTTCAGTAGTTATATAGGAAAAATCCCACAGTTGCAATCGATCTTCGTTTGCACAATGAAAAAGAATTCTATACTAACAAAACGACGCTTTTTACAGAAAAAAGGACGCGGAAAACTCTGTAAGACGTTTAACCAAACGAAAATATTTTTTCAGAACCAGAGAACGTGAGAACAGCGAGTAAGAGAGCACTGAACCACACGTATGCAAGAAAAACTCGGTGTCACAATGACACGTCCCTAAAGACCTTTGGCAGTAGAGAGCTTATATACCATATTTGGTGATTTCAGTTAAAATAGCATGGCCTACGTGATACAAATGGATCTTAACGATCATCAGCTTCTAATACTTAACCGCAGGAACCATGACACTTCCTCTTTCTATGCTGCAGTTCTCGAGGTCAATGTCCTCAAGTCTGTATGTTAAACCGCAAGACAACTTTCGACCATTTAGACAAAAAAACAAAACAAAACAAGAGAGATTGCTCGACTTTACGGTGCAATCTTTTTGTTAACGAAAGGATCGCATGACTTTTTTGACATGCCCCTCAGGGCACAGCTGTGATATTTTTTTTTCAAACAAAGTCGACAAATAAAAGTAACGAAGAACCTTTAGATAGAAAAACATGTCTGTGTGTCCAGCATACCTCCTCTCAGACCGTCAACTGTTGACTTTTCCCCTTGTGATCTAAGTATTGACTTCGTTCAAATTTCAGTTTCCTTGTGAAGGAGGTTGTTCTTGCAAACTTTAAGGCCATCTGAACGGTTGGAAATATTTTCTTTCTCTTGATTGACTGGTACAGAAGATAAGAAAGGAAACCTTATTTGAGTGTCAGGTCTAAAAGTAAATCTAGAGACACTAAGTGGGGAGACTTTCCTTAACATCTAGGCTTCTAAGAATTTGAAAATCAAAATCCTTAAGTTTGAAATTATTCTGATTACTATTATTATTATTAAGAGAAAATACGTCGTAGATAAAACTTCGAACTGAGTACACAATGTAAGCGCAATAAATACAATTTAATAAATAGTTTGATAGGATCAAAAATTTAATTCATGTAAGAATTCTTAAGAATGCTTAAGGCGATGCCTATTTATCCAATAAACTGTCTCTTGGATTAACTCTCGTTTCAGCTCTCACTGTCCGATTCTTGACCAGACGGTTTATTGGAGAGTATGATGAAAGTTTAGGTGAGTGGCAAACTGAAGCCCCCAAGTACAGCTCCTACTTCACTATGAGTACAGCATCTAACTCAAACCTATCCCCTCCTTCCACCTTCAACTCATCCATCGACCATTCGAGGGTCTCAACGGAGTTAACCGTAAGCCGTAAAAGGGCCAAAAAGTTCAACGGTTAGGTGTAAAAATGGTCACTTTTTTTACCCTTAGTTGTGGAAAAAGTTAACCGTAATTTTTTTTTCAATCGTAACGGAAAGAAGTTTACCGTAAGCCGTAAGAACCCCACAGAGACCTTAAGTCCTCTTGAGTCGATGATGGGCAACCTTAAAACTGTGAAAAATTATTTTGCACACGCTCACATCAGACAAATAAATGGAGTCAGCGAAGAAAACTTCATACCGTCTCTCCCTTTTTGACATTGACAAGCTGAAACGAGGATATTACAACTTAATATCTGACGGTTTTTTCTTTTACAACCTGCATTTCTTTTGAACAAGATAATTTATAATGATACTGTAATTGACGTCATACATTGAACAATGTTTGGTATGGGCGAGATTGGATCGAGAAATTTTCCTAATGTTCGTCTCCGTTTTTATTCAATTTAATAGAGATGACTTATCGACATCACATGACACTGGATGGGCAATACCTAGCCCTTGACATCATGGACACAGCCGGAGAGGTAAACATCATATGCATAATCAAATTGACGGGGTAGAATAAAAAAGGAGCGGTGCGTATACCACTCTATCATTAAATAACCGGAAACATATCGCAACACTTTCGCAAAGGTTCGCGTAAGGTTCGCGATGGCCCCGAAAGAGCTGCAAGTCCAACAAAGTGGTGATCACACTGCCGTATGTTAATGTTTCCCCGATAGTCCGCTGGTATCCACTTAAACCCCTGGGTGGGAACTATCACTGTAACAGTGATATGTTTTGCTCTCAAATTTTCTTCATACAACCGAGCAAGGCTACAAAACAGTCCTCTCGGACTACAATCCACGAGCCTCGTGAGTACCAAAGTTTCCGGGGAACTAAGCACTGGGCCACCGCCTCTAACTCAACAAGGCAGGTCATTTACTACAGAAATTATTATTTTTCTTTCCTCCAGAATACGACACAGAAGTTGGAGAAATGCGCATCTTTTGGGGAAGTTTTCTTTATTCTCTTCTCTATCACTGATCGAGTTTCATTTTTGGAGGCGAAACGTTTGGGGAAATACATACAAGGCGTGAAAGACAATGATTGTGTTATGATTCTAGTTGGTACAAAGACAGACCTGTGTCGTTACAGAAGAGTCTCGAGAAACGAAGGGTATGAATTTGCTAGGGAAATAAGGTCTGTATTCTGCGAGATTTCAGTCTCGGAGGGATTCGTCGAAACAAACTCTCTGCTGAATGATTCACTGAGACTGCATTTGAGTAATAAAACCGACCAGGAAAATGGCGACAAAGAGAAAGCGGGTCCTTTGTCAAGGATGAAAGAAGGTTTTAAAGGGATCTACACAAGGAGAAAGTCATGCTCACTTTAAATATTCTAAGACTGGCTTTGATGTATTATTGTATCGCGCTTAGGAACAAGGCAACACCTGGGGAGGGGGGAGGTGGCGGAACATTTTGGGGGATCACATGGTTTTCGGGAGGAGCGGAGGGGGAGTGGGGGATCAGTCGTCACCAACAGAGTATAAAAGGGGGGTAACGCATGTAGAGAATCGACTGCCAAAGGGAAGGGGGGAGAAAGGTCGTCAAAAGAATATTACATAGCCTTATGGTGTTATCTGGTAAATTTTATCATGACACATCCAAAATCCACTGACCCCCGCCCTCCCTCCCTCCCCCCAGGCGAAAAACGATGACAGGTCCCAAATAAAAGATTGAGTACTTCTAGTGGAACTAACGCATCAAATCATAAAGTCAATTCTAAGAATCAGCCGGTTCAATACGGAAGAACATTCCAACCGGTCATTTCTAAAAAAAAAATGACAATTGGCCTTGATTCAGTCAAGAGAGTCTCGCTATTTTGGAAATGAAAATTGATTTGAGCGAAAAGTTTGCTTGTGTTAAGTTTTAGCTTGGTGAAGGCAGCTTGTTTGAGGTCAATGCTATCTAAGTTAGTGTAAATAGTAGGCAAACAGAAAAAAAAGCGGTACTGATGTTCTAGGATAGTATATTGTCACGTATTGAGATATTGCGTGACGGTAAAAGTGGTAACTGCAATAAAAAACAATCTGAGTTTTGTCTACATACAACGCTTTGGGAAAAGTAAACTTGGGTGAATCACTCAAAGGATGGAAGAGCCATGCCTGCATTTTCTATTAAACGAAATACTGCGAGGAATCTCCAGAACAAAGACGGGAAGCAATGCAAGAGATCGAAGATGGTCGGTTCAGAATTGCGCAGGTAGCGCGCGTTTCGCTATTACACTAGCTCGATTTGGGGACGGACAGAAGAAGTCAATGTCATTTCTACACGTACTTTTTACCCTTCCTTGACCTAAATTCAACTTTAACGTAGCATCCATTCTCCTGATGGACAAAATAGAGTTGTTTTAAACTATGTCGCCCGCTTGTTTGAAAATGCCAACCGAACGTCTCGAAGGAATCATTCAGTTCTCCGAGCTGGCTATTGTTTTGGCTCTATCAAACACCAACTGGTAGATATTCCATTACATTTTAAAACCGCTTTAATGAACATGTAAAATAAATTTCAACTCACCGAGAATCCTTTTCGTCGACTTTAGTCGGGATCTGGGAGACTTGTCTGTCACGCTTGTTTCTCGCGCTAAGTTGTCACGTCACCTTGTCAAATGTAATGTCACACAAAATACCCATAATAACCCCTCATCACTGGGGCTTCTCGTCATGTGTCACAAAGTGCAAAGTGCATGTAGGACTTTTTCTTTACCTTCTTCATAGTTACAGAATAGCCGTAAAATATGTAAATAAAGATGTGATCATTGGAATAACATTTCTTTCTTATAAAATTGGATGGAGACTTTGAAAAGTTCTGTTTCATCAAGCGAGTTCGAAAAGGTGAATTTCTATAATTTCGCTCCACGCATTTACTTATCACCGTATTTGAGTGGGAGTTAAGAGCAGCGAAGCCGTGAAACCAGGTGTAAAGAAACATTTTCTCTCAAAAAAACTTACCACCCACCTTGATGTTACGCTTCAAAATGTTCCTTGTCGCAATAAAAAGGGTTTCCTCAATAGAAAGTCTGACTCGTCTTATCTCGAAATTGGCGTTTTTTATTCAGAAGCTCTGAACACTTTCTAAACGAGAAAGCATCAATTATTTTTTTGTTCCGAATGTGTTAATTATTATTACATAAAATGAGCATTTTATGACTTGATGATAGGTGAAGTTAATTTGTTTTAACAGATGAAACTCGTAAAGCCAACAAATGACAAAAACGTGACTTGAGTATTTGTCGCATGAATAACACATGGTTATTTTTCTACTAGAAGGGGAAAAAAATTACTACGGCTGGTGTTCAGACTATTCTCGAAGTATTTGGAGTCCCCCTTGGTTTTAAGAAGCGATTTAGAAATGTTATGGCCACGTCTTTACAAAAAGATCGGTAGGTTCTTTCATATCTGAGAACAATAGCAAACCCCCAAGAGACCTTGACGTCCGTGTGTTATTAAGCGCAGAAGTGCCGTCCGCTCTTAAGACACACTCAAGACTCTCTCTTTGAATCGAGAGGTTGTTTGTTTTGTTGTCGTTACCGAAGGACACAGGGGAAAACTGTATTCTAGTTTTTATTTGGAGTTACCATTATTCCCGTCTGTAACCATGAAGAAAAGACGCAACGGGGCCCATGTACACCATCACACTTTGAAAACCATTCGAGCTGTTGTTCTGGGAAAAGATGGCGTTGGAAAATCAGGTAAGTTCATAAAAGTATTCTATACGTTATAGAATCGAATTGTAAATAGCTCATTAATTGAAACCAAAAGTTCAGTTCTTATTAGTACTTAACCTTCCACTAATATGACTTCAAATCGAACGAAACACGAAGAAGATTCTAGTCGTGACACCTTGGACCAGGAAATTGTCAATGCCGCAAAGTATCCAAACACGTACGCATGCTATTATGGCTAAACATAAAAATCCAGAAAAAAAATCCGCTTTTGTTTCCCTTTATCCCGAAGCTTATGAGGTTTTATAATAGGTTTTGGCATGTCTGCCCTTTATTAAAATGCCTGAGCAACGCCGAATGAATTTTAGCACTATTTACTAGTAAATATTGAGTTCTTGCTCAGAATTTTAGCACATAAGTGCCCTGAATAACATCCTCTACCTCTTTTCTTTTCCTTTAAAAGAAGGCAACGCGAGACACACAAGCGTAACGCGGCCTGGTCACAAGATTGTTAAATTTAGGAGGGTTTTCTTTAAACACCTTAAAAGCTGTCACTTACGTAATCTAGAATGTTTGGTAAATGTTTGCAATTAAATTTTGCTTTTTCTTCGCGTGAAAAAAAAATAATAAAAAATGGAAAAGAAAAGAAAAATAAATTATACAGCAATGTTTGTAATTTTAAAAGTAGCTTGTAATAGCTTTCGATGCAATAGATGTATGTGCATTCAACTTGACAGTAGAATAGCAGGAGTCAGGCGATAGCCAGATTGGTCTTCACAATGGAACCAAAGTTGGCCTTTGCTTGTCGTGTCAGTCGGAAGAAGTATTTTATTGTGAATTTCCAGCGAATAATTTAATGGGAAATAGGCGAGTATAACACTAGGCTAAATCATGTTAAAAAAATTGTTTGAAAATCTCGAGAAACAGTTGAATCTTTGCCAGATAAATTAAAACGAACTGAATGATTGTATTCATAAAAAATTTGATTGGGTTTTCAACCATAAAATTTCTTTGGTTTCGGGTATAAATTTTTCCTCCCATCGTCCAAAGTCAATTTAATCTAGCGTCACGTTTTTTATCGACAGTAAAATAAGCTATGTCTGGTTTCCTCATTTTAACTTCGTTTTAATTGCGTCGTGATGATCCGTTAGAACAAGAACCCGTGTAATCTCATTAACGTTTGTGTAAATTTTCCACCTGCAGCTCTCACAGTCCGGTTCCTGACCAAACGTTTCATTGGCGATTACGACAGTACATTGGGTAAGTTCGCAAAGTGATTAATACCAGGATTCTCCACTTTTCCGATCTTGCCAACATCTGAATAAATTTAAAATGGAATAAATGTTTTCCTTTGAAGATTAGATCACGAGCAATCCATCGCTCTTTCTCAGTAAACACGTTGTCGGATGCGCAAGTTAAAAGAAGTCCGCGCGTTCGCCCGGCGCGTACTCACTCTTTACCTTTAATATACCTTGACTCGTCCCACGGCCTAAGATGAGAAACAGGAGGCCTTTCTAAAGCTATTTGGAAGGCTAAATACATATTGAAAATCCATGCTACTAACTAAGGCAAAGTTTTACAGTAGTTTGTCACCTTCAATTCAAGGCCTGCTGTATATTTCAAAAGAAAAAGGAATATGCTATTCTGAATAGTTGGCCCGAAGTGGTATTTCTGGATATTAGAGCAGCAAGGAAAAAAGTGCTAGTTAATTTAAAATCTCAACTTTTTATAGGAATTTTTCATTTTAATTAAAAAAAATTAGTAAAAAAAAATTAAAATAACGGCGCCGCTGGGGATTAACTGATGATAAAGAACGACGCGCCGCCACCTTATCAGACGTAGTCGTAAATGTATACTCTTTGTTACACTCATGGCTGAACTAACTCGGAAGCAAAAAGCTCTTCAAATCTGAAATGAGTCAGTAAGCCGTAAAAAATCATGACTTCAAAAATAAATCAGGGTTTTGAAGTGAATTCAAAACGATTTTTTTTCTCGTACGTGCTCAACCTTTCCTGTAAAAATGCCTCTGACAACAAAGTTCCTGCGTGGGGTCCGCTCGGTTTACAAAGTAACTGTTTTACTTAATAACTACTGAGTTATCAAGAGAGCCCCACTTGGTCAAAAACCCATCGTTCATTTTAGTGGTTAACCCATAGAAAATTTAAGTTTATTTTCGTTAAGGTAATAGATTGCACTTTCTATCGGTTTACCGGCGTAAATATTAGGAGAAATCAACATCTCGGCCAAGTGGTTTATTACAGCGGTAAACCGATTGAAAAATGCAGTGTAATGCTCAAATAATTGCGTTGAATAGGCTGGAATCATAGAATAAACTTCTCGTCAAATTTCCCCCAGAGAAATGCAAAATCTGAGTGGTTTCCCTGGTTTCTCCTTAGTTTTGTCGTCTTTTTTACCCTCACATTACTGGTCGAGGACGGGGCAACGGGTAACAGCTGCTCACGTTTTTTGGGCCATGTAATTTTACCTGTTTTGTTCCGTGATTGTATGTAAGTGTTGACAGGCAAGTCTGGGTTGGAGAGTTTTAATCGTCTGAGTGACCCGACATCATGAGCAGCGATGGCAATCAATCGTCAACTGGGCCGGTTTACGACAGATCAACAAGGTTACCCTTGTTTTGTTAAAACGTGACCTTGGAGTACGCAGTATGCGCAAAATTTCTATAAAAATCTTTTGTTGGCAAACAAAATAAAATTAGAGCGAACCCTGTGACCCCTAGGGGTAGCTCAAGTAGCCTCTAAATTTCTGATCACAGTATCTCCTCTGAAGCAAACATTAATGTCACGATAATAAAGAAAATTATAACCGACTAAAGAAGCGAGCTCCTGATTGTTCACCAAACTCTCCTTGCTTGAGCTACAGGAAATCTACATATTATGCCTTTTTTCTCGTCAGCGCGAAACTACATCGATCATCAAAAGTAAATGTATAACAAACTCTAATATTTGTTTGACGAATAACCTTGTGTTGGTTCAAATGTGAGGGTAATTATGAAATATTTCTTTTCAAATGCAGAGGCAACTTACAGGCATCACTTGTTAGTTGATGGCCAATTTGTGTCCTTGGACATCATGGACACAGCAGGAAAGGTACACTAAGGACTAATCTTTATTAATCTCCTAAGAGGCAGGGTGGGATGGGGTGGGGGGTGGGAGGGCAAAGGATTTTGGTTGTGAACCTCTTACAAGGCTCTGCAATATTCCTACGAGTTCACCTCATTGGAAGTGTATTAGTGGCAAATTTCCTATAGCTCTCTCTTTCTATTCCGTTGGCGACGACTGATCCCTCTCTGTTCCCCCTGAAAACCATGTGATCCCCCCCATAATTCTCCACCCCACCCTTCCCCCCCCCCCCTTCACGGTGTTAAATGATGACTGTTCACTAAAACATTATCAGATCTTGTGTGGCGCCCAGAAATCTGAAAAATCAATGGCGCACAAGGGGAAATGAGAACCGATTAATCATCTCTTTTTCTAAGGTCCTTCTCGCTATTCACCGCTTCTTCGCCATTCGTGTAAGCTTGGCTAGAAAAACTGAATGAAAATCGGCTATGGCTGACAGACTGATTCTTTTGGAGGATCCTTTACCTATTAAAGATCATTTCTTTGAAATAGACCCAGCACTGATAATTATTTTCAAAGCTTTCCGATGGGTTGTTTATCTTCTAGGATATTCACCTACTTGAATTCGATTTTTCATAGAATTCCACGGAAAAGATGCAAATGTGTATGTCTTTCGCGGAGCTCTTCTTTGTTGTCTACTCGACAACTGATCGCACCTCCTTTGAAGAAGCATCACTTCTGGCTCGTTACATCCTACAAGGAAAACCCCTGGGTCCTGCCGGCCCCACCATAATGATAGTGGGAACAAAGGCCGACCTCGAGTTCGCCCAAGAAGTCGAAGAACAAGAAGGAAGGTTGTTGGCCGAAGAATTAGGCTGCGGATTTTATCAGGTGTCCAGTGCAGAGGGTTATTTGGAGACACAAGAGCTGCTATTTGATTCAGTAAAACGTTGCTTCGACAAAAGTAAAGCTTCGACGTTGTCAAGAGTAAAAGAAGGAATTGTAGAAACGGCGAAGTCATTCCGAAAGAGATCACTTGGCCACGAAGTGGCTAAGGCCCAGCGCGAGAGGTTGCAGTTGAGACCCAGGTCATTCAGCGATGCTGATCCTATCCACGAGGCTTCTAAGCCTAAATCTTCCAGTCATGAAGATTTATCCCAAGATGGAGATTGCCATCGAAATTCAGTTGTATCGACGGCAAGTTTTTAAGTATTCCTTGTATTTTAAAGTATTCCTTGAATGAAATTTAAAGAAGCAAAGGCAAGGCCATGAGGGCATCAAAAATTGTCACACGACACAGAAACGCAGATTAAGAGGGAGGACGAAAATTCAAGAGGAATCCAATGACAGCAAGTCGATAGCTTAATTTAAGCCGAAATTTTGATGATCCAGTAGTGGGATTAGTTGAAGATACCAAAAGAAACTTATCAATAACTGTAATTTTAGCTGTTTAATACGATTCTTTTACATGTAAAATAAAATAAAATTCCCATGGTATATCCACTGATCACATTTCTTGGAAATGAATGGTATTTTAATATTAGTAAATAAAATGTTATATTCAAGTCAAGCTTTCTCACAAAATCGATCTTGTGGGAACGATAGGAACTGCACCTTTACGTTTTTCATAATATGTGTTTTTGTTATGACAGTATTAGCTAACTACATAATTTACTTACAACTTCAAACTTTACAATTTAGCTATTTACACTGACATCAAACACATTCATGTAAAAGGCGCCTGTGGTCACCACCCCGTAGGTCTACCTAAAAGGTCAGGCCTCGTTTTCTGTAAAGTGACTTGGTTCGCATAAGGAGGCCCTCCCTGAGTTTCCTTAGCCCCAGTCCCCTCTTTTGCCGGTCTCGATCGGTGTACCGCGACTGCAGATGCACTTTGATCGCATCTTGAAACAGTTTCAGTGTTTCTTCGTATCCTTCAGCGCTGGAGATCTCGTGATAGGTTCCTCCGAGCTCATTGGCGAGTGTCCTCCCCTCATCTTCGGAAACCTTTCGGTATTCCGACAAGTCTCGTTTTGTTCCAACAACGCTAATGCTGTACGCGCCGCTCGTTTTCATTGTCTTCAAATAATGACCGAGTCGATGAATTTCTTTTAGAGATGATCTGTCGGTGATGGAGAACAGCAACAAAAACATGTTTCCGAAGGATGAGCACTGACTCAGCTTCTCTTCAGTATTCTGTAAATGCGATTATTATCAATATAAAACATTATTTTATTAATTACGATTATTGATATAAATGAACTTTTTTTTACCCATCATTTATGGCGTCAATTTTAAAAGCTTATTCAAAATCCAGAGAACAAATCACATGACTGTTGTTGTATTAAACACTTAGCGAAACATGGAGAGTAATTATGCGGTAATTTCAGACGTAAAATCATGACGACTGGAAGATAAGAGTCTTTTTTCAGTTTGTAATTATAATGGCTTTCATACTAGCTTTCTTGAAATATTGTAATCCTTACAAAAGGCAGCTTTCAATTGTTACTTCTTTGAGGTTTCTTTTGTTTTTATTTTTGGTGCTTTTTTAATTTAACTTGTAACAGTTCACCAGTGGTAAGCACGAAGCGAATGTGAAAGGCGACTTAACTTGCGTTTGCCTCTGCTCAAAAACCAATTTTGTTCTCGGGTTACTCTCTTGAGAATGAGTACAAAAGAAACCCTGGGAACGAGTAAGAGAGAACCCTGGGAACAAGATTGCTGAAAACGTAAAGTATTCATTATTATGCCTGTTTTGAGAATTAATTTGTGGCTAACAAGTCTTTTTGTGGCCGACAAACCAAATGAAAATAAATAATATTCGAGCAGTGACAGTACAATAAATTCCATTTCTTTTCCTTTTTTTCCTTGTCATATACAGGTTTCATAAATGTTTCACCTTGCCGGCTGTGTCCATGATGTCCAATGTAATGAAGTTCTCTTCTAGCTTAAAGTAATGCCGATAGATTGACTCTGAAATTAAAAACAAAAGAGAGTGAAGGACAAATCTAAATTTTCAATTTCAGAGGGAAGCTAGCCCGCTAGCCTGGCATTTTGTAATTACCGGCAAAGCCATGGGAAACGAGTCAGTTGGCGAAGCGGCGACTCACGATCAGTGAAATAAGAGAAGGGGCCTTATGGAGAGATCAGACAGATTTCATCGTGGCTTAACCAAACTTCTTCCTTTGAGAGCGTTGCTGGAGCTTAGTTGTAATCGTGTATTTGAAAGAGTGGGATTTTAAGCTTGAAAGTTTTATGCGCATTTTTATCCAGATGAACGTCATTACTTTAGTGTCATTGTAACAATTATAATCTGCAATTATTTCCTAATTGAATGACGTAACTCGAAATCCATTCAGGAAAAAGGCAGTTATCACGAAATGACCTGCCTCCTAACGTGAGCGAGCTTCTTCTCGCTGAGGCACCGCATGTTCTCAAAGTCTGTTCACCGTTTACCGCTTCGCAGTGTTTGTAATCCACAGCGCTGCCTCGTGCTTTTCATAAATAATCGAACGCCAGTGTACATTTTTTTATGTGTTTTGTTTTGTTTCCTTTCTCTTTCTGTACTCCTCAATGAAAATTTTGAAGTAACTTTTAATGGGATGGTATGCGATCATTTCTTTATAAAAAGCTTAGAGCTGTAATACCATGCGCGTACTAATCTGATGAAGGGCTGTCTGCGGTCATACTTTTATCATCCACACGCCCTTTTTTGTGAGAATTTTTTTCGATTGTAACTAAGTAAAAAAACAAAGAAACGCAATCTTTATTAGTCAACGTTATCTTCCTAAGTAGAAACCATCTGTTCCACGTATGGGCTCATTCTTTGAAAGCCAAACTCTTCACTGAGAGTTAATGGCACGCATTCATGACCAAAACAAAGGCAGAGAAAGACTTAACGTCTCCTTGCAGAATAGCATGTTATTTGGCAGACCACATTACGACAGCGATATCTTTGCCCTTAATTTTTCAGAAAAACAATAAATTTTACGTGAAAAAACACCTAGTGTTCTTTCACGGTATCAGTTCCCATTTTTAACTTAAAAGCCGCTTTTGTCTTGCCTTATTCAACTCCAACATTCAAATAAAGAACTCTACGTCCTAATCATAACTTCAAGGGAAATATAATCTGAAACAGCCTGCGTTGGCCATTTCATGTTCTTTTGAAAATAAGGGCAGGAGAGCAAAATGAAAAACGTTAGACGAAAAGAAATGCCCTTATAGTTTAAAGAGAAACAAATCAAGAATTGTTTCCTTGAGCTGCTTAAAGGGGAAACCGGCTTTTAAATATTGTAGTTTCCCGAAGCTAAAAATTTAATAATGCATATCTTATTTTGACAAGTACCAGTACCATTTAAAAACCTAAAACAATTTAACAACAAGATTAAAAAACGCAAAAGAGACCTTTTTAGGTGATAAATCCGTTTAAATTCTAGACCAAGAAGATATTTGCATGATATGATTTGATATTTGCCGTCGCAGCAAGAGGCGCGCTAAGTCAGCTAAGAGCCCAGCTAATGTAATTTGACAGATGCGATTAACCCAATTAGCTTTCACCGACGCAGGCTACATTTTTATATTGAAACTTACCAAGAGAGCTGTCATATTCGCCGATGAATCTTTTAGTGAGAAGGCGAACCGTCATAGCTGCAAGAGAACGGGCAAAGAAGTCAAAAGGTTTGGGCATACAACACCAGCAGCGAACGCAACAAATCAAACTGTACAGTCGTACAGCGCCAGGCGCCTGTTTGCAAAAACAACATATTTGTTGAAATTGTTTAGATTGGCATCCTTACAAAAACATCGAAATCGACAATAGTGTAGTTTTCGAGTGTGTTAAGGTCCTTCTTAGCAAGCTCCATGCAGGCAAACTTCTTGTCAACCAGTACACGTTTTGTATAGTCATGTCTGCATGTGTTCCCATAGATTTTATAATGAAAAAGGTGGATATCTCCTAAATTTTACTAAACAGGGTTTTATCCCTTTCCGGGCTTAACCTCCGAAGGCAGCCGCTGGGTCGAAATACATTGATCAACTTTTGCAGAGAGTAAAGGCCCTTACAGAGACTGTCCAACAAATTAATGTACTGATAAAATCCATGAACACACCTTAAAAGAACGATTTTTTAGGAACTGAATTGCTAAAAAGGGCGTAAAGGCGAACTCGGGCTCTACCGTTTTGCCTTAAGACCATAATGCACTGAGCAATAACAACTTGTTCATAATAATCATTCTAACCAGATTTTCCGACATCATCTTTGCCCATCACCACAACGTTAATTTTCTCCAAGCTGCTGGAAGGAGTTCCAATCTTTCTCTGTCCCATTTCTTGTTCCACCGTCCGTCAGAGATGGCACTCGGTCGTCTTGCACAAAGTACCTAATACAACTGATGTGAATTGGAAAAATGGCAGTTCAGAAGAGTGCTTCTCAGCTGAAATGCTTTGAACTTATCAGTTGTGTCTTTGCATTGGACGTCGCTTCGAGTTGAAAATTGTTTCGTCACAAAGGTTGACAAGACGGTTAATGTGACAAGAGAGCATTAAGATGCAGAAAATAATTGCAATGTTGTTAAAAACTTACGGCTTCAATAGTCTCCCAGAAACTTCTTCCTCGGTATTCTAATCAATAACTATGATCTTCCCGGCAGTGCATTCACCGAGTGTTGCTGCTACAGCATTAATATGTCTCTTAATGGCTCAGTGCCGGTACCTCGTATAAAAATATCGTTGCCTCTAATGACCCTATTGTGATGATATGAAAACCAAAACATGTTTGTTGACGCCGTTACGTAATTCAATCACGTTTATACGTCACTTGTTCAATCTTTGAGCTCTAACATTGGTTGAAAACCGGGTAAGTGCATTCCAAACACTAGCAAAATCATTATGTAATTAGTATATTATATAAGACGAAGATAAACTGTTGACAAATGATAGCATGTGTTATTCACCGAGTGTTTCGCATGTTTCGTTGTGAAATTTTCAACGTGGCCAAAAGCCGGAAAACGTTTGGTTTGCCCTGGTCTTTGATCAGTTTCACTTTCCTGATATTCTTGCACACTCTCTTTTTCGTTTTTCATAATTCAGGCAGGTTCATTCCCTTTCAATGATAAATCAAAATTTAAAAGCTCTAAGAGGCATAGTAAAGTCAATGTGTTATTTATGTCTTTTTAAAACGTCTCTATCATCAAAGCCTCAGTTACAGCTCTCATTGGTGTATCTACCTGTCAAACGGCATGCCTCACATGTTCAGTTTTTTTTCAGAACCATTTATGGAAATGCGGCTTCTTTTGATAAATTACGCAATGCTTTCACTAACTAATATTCTCTAGTTTTTTTGGGACTTGCAACATACCCAAATCCAGATGTGAAATCGACACTGTTAGTGCCGTCAGAAGAGAAGGTTGGCCCCTTCCAGACGTAACCGTTGTTCATGTTTTTAATGGAAAACGATAAACTAAGCGTCTACACGTTGTGCTTTTAAATCGCTTTTTCCCGTCCATGGGAAAGCGTAACCGGCAATGAATTCGATAAAAAAAGTATCATCATTGATAAAGTTGGCGTATTCAATCGTATCGTCCACTAAATTGTAGATATAGCCACGACTCATTGTAAAATCCTCCATCCACTCTTCTGAGATGACTATTTGGTTTACAAGGTTGCCCCACCGCTCACCCGTGCATCCTGATCGGCTAGGCCGTGCTTTTCGACTTCTACGATTTAATTGTTTGATGTCCTCACACTAACCCGGAACTGGCAAGGAAATAAGCCCTATTATGTTGCGTCGCCCCTTGCATAAATATAATCGCCTTAAACATTGAACATCGCAAAAATTCAACTGAAAACATGCCATAATGCTTGCATGAAGCCCAAGTGGCAGTGAAACAAAAGCAATATCCGCTATGCTAATTTCGTCTTATCTCGCGCGCAGGGCAGATTGAGTCGAACACCGTTCGTGACGCTATCAATCAAAAACGGACACGTGTGAACAAGCCCTGAGTTTAACTGAAAGCCAGTTCTAGTAATCGTTGGGTGCATTTTTTCGGAACACATCGAAAAAACTGAAAGCAGGATGAAAACTTGATCGAAGCTCTGCGCAAACGAATTTCACCGATTTTTCTTAACATTAAAGTGATGGACTAAGTAATGCTCAAATGACGAAACGAAAAACCACCAAACGCCACTTAACCGATGATGTTTTTAATTTTCTCCATGCTATTCCCCATACATTAGCTAAGGTGCTGACAGAGAAAACTTTTTCACGATCATGAGCCGTTTGTAATTTGGTGATCACTTTCTTTATTATAGTCACCTTCTCGTGAAATTAGATGCTAGTCACTCTTATGGGTTTAAACGATAAACGAGTGGCAAACAGAAGCGCGACAGCTGATAAGTAAATATACATTTATTTACAGTTGACATTATACATTTGCAGTTTAATTTATCTAATCACTTTATTGATCATAGATATTATAATGTTAAAAGGAACGCCTGGTGCTCAAACGCGTTGCGCATGATAAATTTTTTTCATCAAACTACTAAGCCTAAATAATGCATTTTTATTATCTTTATTTATGCATATCCACTTATTGCCTGGGAGGGTTAGGAGGATTTTTGGTTGCGTCACGATAACAATTTACCCCCTTACGGCTCTTAAGGCAATTATTTGTACTATTCCCCGGATGCATGTTGGACCTGTTTCATCTCTAACTCGTCATCTTCTTTCACCTTGTCGTCTTCCTCGATAGGTGGCAGTTCTATGAAGCTAATATTGTAAAATGAAAAAACAGTAAGCGTCGAGTTCTTTCACAAAGTCGAAATGTTACCCTCCTGTAACAGCGCCCATGTAAGTTTGCGTTTGGAAAGGGACAGAAAGTTTGAGCGTGTTTTTAAAACCGTCCACGAGCTAAGATAACGTCAAGTATAAACGGAACAGTTATGGCTAACGCCATTATCTAATTACGTTTTGTTTGTGTGGTAAATGAACGTTTGAGTGAACTCACAGAAAGCATCCGTTTGAGGGCGTTCACAGATACAAATTGGGATGATCACGTGGTTTTCAGGAGTAACGGAGGTGAAATCAGTCGTCTCTGCTAAAGTTTGAAGGAGTGGCTATAGGAAACTGACTGCTAACTAGGAGGAATTATCAGAATACTCAGGTAAACTTTAGTGCGACCCCCCTACCCCTTCTTCTCCCTCATTCCCCCTCCTACCCCCCGGGGGATAGATGTAGACTGGACCCTGAGTTAAGTTGAACCGTGAACTTAGAAGGACCATGTGGCATAACGTAGCGTTGAGATAGTCAGCAACCACACTTACCTCACGAGAACAAAGGGAATAAGGATCAACACTGCACACAACAGGAAGACCAGACCTTGAAACGAAAGAGAAAGCGTTGCCTGGTAAACTGTGTTGAAGAGCACGGCGCCTATTAGCTGCATCAATGCAATGACCATCTCATAAGCAGAAAACATGGCACCTGGAACATGAACAGAACAGGAAAAAACTGGTAAGTATCGAAAAACTTGGTCATTAGACTTTGCGTATCGAGGCAATTCTGGCTAAGGGCCATTCGAACAGAATGATCACATGCCCATACATCTGCGATAGATTATGCATGCATATTTCATTGGAGCATTACCAAAGAGATACTGTAAATAATTAAGTGCGAAAACGGAATGTCTGAGGTTCAAATCCTGCATGAAAAGCCTCAGGTTTTGACTCTGCCTAATACTCCTGGAAAAGGTTTAAATATATTTTGATTTCTTAATTGTTGGCTGTACCTTGCTCTTCATCTGACACTATTCTCGACATTGCTCCCACCAAAACTGGATCAGCTACTCCGTAGAAGACACCGACCACGACCGCTGGAAGTAACAAAGAGAAGCAGTCTTTTTAGTACTTAGAGGGAGGGTCAGAGGGGGGAATATTTGGTTTTGATACAATAAAATTAACCCGGAACCCCCATAAGGCTTTGTAGTATTCTAGGGATCCCCTGTCGTTGGCAATAAATTTTCTATGGTCCCCCTTTAAACTCTGTCAGGGACGACTGCTCCCCCCTCCATTTCCACTGAGACCACCCACATGACGCCCCCAAAAGATTCTCCCAAGACTGGTCCCTTATTTACTGATGGTATAAAGATGTGGGGCCTCAGTCGTGAGACGGGAGGTCCAAGGTAGATCATCTGATCCTCCTCTTCCTTCTCTTTACTTTAATACTTACCAACAAACACCATCCAAGTGCGATCGGAGAACGCCAACATAACCAAAGCCAGAATCACGGAAACCAAACTAATGCGGACGACACTCAACTCTTTCAAGCAGCGTCCGAAGCAGTGAATGCCAACCACGCTTCCAATACCATGAACGAACCCTTCAAATGCAAAATAATACCCAACCAGGTGTGGGCCCCAACAAAGAGGACTTCTCAGAATAAACAACCCTTTTACGCCAGCAATGCCCAAGGTCGATAGGAAAATCACGCCTTCGCAAACCATCAGCAAGAGAAAATTATTTCGTCCAGCCTTTCTCTGCTTTCGGAAGACATTGATAAAACATTTTATATTATCAATGCTGAAAAATCCAACCATTTTTTCGTTGCTGTTTCCTCGGGGAATTTCCCGCACGCAGAATAGAGCCCAAACTCCAGAGAGAACGTAGCAAGCCAACATGAACCAAGCAGAAGGAATGAATCCCACATTTTGAATCCAAAGACCGCTGGTCAGTTGACTGATGACTCCAGCGAGGAATACGTGCATGTACATCACCGCTGGAACGTTAGGAAAGAAAAACAAAACAATTATCTTGCACAACGTAATGACACATTGAGCTCACCTGGTAAGCAGTTATCGGTTGTTAATAAGCGTATGTCCGCTTTGAGTTCTCCTATGCTCCATTTAATAATCCTTTCATTTGATTTGCTATTGAAATTCCTTTGGTTTGGTTTTTACGTTACACAATCTAAAACCTCTCTAACGATATGTCAACGGTCAATTTCTCATTATACTCACCAATTCGAAAAGCTCTTTCTTCTTTGCTGGAAACGTCAGCTATGTATGCCGTTGCTCCGACGAACAAAACTGTCGCAAATCCCGACAAGCCGTTCAAAGCCGCGCCCACAATCAAAACGTACACTGACCAGTCAAAATACATTACCAACAGGGTAATGACCATCTCCAGACACGCCCCCAATATGGCAACAAGCAAGGCAGGTTTTCTTCTGCCGCCATTATCAGTCCACGGTCCCCAGAGCGGCGCCACAACAAGGGAGAGCAGGGTTAGGACAAGATTGTAAGTCATGCCAAGCTGGGAAGCCAGAGTTTGCACCTGAAATGAAACAAGGGATGAGGAGCCTTTGTTTTACGAGACTGATGGCACACTGTTATATATCGGAAAGTATCTGGTTTCTTCAGCGTCAAAAGACATTGAGCAAGGCCGCTCCATCTCAGTGGAATGCTAATCCAAGCCACTTAACCAATCTTTAAGAGGAATTAGAGAATAAGGTGAGAATCAGCATGACACAGTGATGCCAAAAACCGACATGAATTAAAAGAAAAATGAATTCCTGGGAGAGTAATTTTCGAGAAAGACGGAACTAATCATACTTAACGTACTGCCTTAGATAGACTCAGTTACTTAATCATAAAACAGTGAGAAAATCAGTTCTATTAGGTCATAGTCATACTACAACGACAACACGTCACTACATCGAAGGACAGTATCCATGACAACAACAACGTGAATAAATGAGTGACCTCATTTTCCAGTTCCCCCAATGTTGAATTTTGCCCCAGGCCTTCTCCTCCGCAGCCGCTTCCGTCATCGCTTTGGCTGAGGTTCTTGTACGGAAATCCTTTCTCATCACTGATTCGCTCGTACACGTAAATTGTCAGGACTGGCAGGTTCATAAGAAACCCGTAGAAGTAGAAAAATATTACGAGTTCCACCGTAAAATATTTCTTTAGAAACTGGATGACAATGGTTGAGAACATCTGATAGAGAGAATCAGAAGAGGAATTGAAAGCTCCACCAATAGTGTTTTCACGTGTGTGACCGCAACCTGTTGGTCGCAAAACAGGTCTAAAAGCCCATACAGTAGTGTAAAGGACTCATGTGGTGGGAAAACTTTTGACTTTGGCAGGATGAAGTCTTATTCCTTTTAAGGGGATCGAGGCTCTGAACTGAGAAAAAAACTGGGAAATTTATTTCTGTGTTCACTTGTATTGCTGCCTATAATGTTTACACTTTTTATCGGTTGAAAACCCTTTCTCTATCGAAACACATGTAAGCAAACATCCTTCCGAAAACAACAGTTACGTCCTTGACTTTGTCATTGACCCTCGCTCGTGTGACAAACGAATAAAAATTTTTAGTTAATTCTAAAGATCGAGCTTGATATACGAATAACGAATTACGAATCTCTTGGAACACTCTGGTTTTTTCTTTGTGTTACGCTTGTGAAAAAACGAACAAAAAAATTTTCCTTATATACTCCACTTAAATTGCCAGTTATCAGGAGCACTGCATATTACAACTCCTAAACTGGTACGTATGATTCAGATTATTGTTGTTACTTCTAGTGACGTCACCTAAGGTCATACAGGCACGCGTCTGGGCATATGGCTGCGACATTACTTAAGTACAAGCGTGTCTTTGAGTGGAAAATTTTCGCCACTTGCAAAGGTTCTAACGTCCAATAAGTTTATCTCGACATTTTTCCGTTCAACCTGATTTTTCCACGAGGAAAAGAATTTTGAATTTGTTAAGAGCAACAACAACTATACAAAAACCTAACATTTCCAATAACAGGTCACAAAAATAAACTCCATCTAAATTCTTTGTCAATAATTTGGCTTGCTTAAATTCTAAGCACTGGGGGAACTGAAATCAGTTGCATTTATTGTTCCCTTTGGGTGATTAAGTGTTTAATTTTGCCTGTGTGACCCCGGTTAAAGAATGACTCTGTTTGACATCTCAACAAGCCAACCTAATCCAGCGTGACATGTATATGGTATTTGTAGCATACAAAATTAGCTTGTTTTGCTGTAAACCATCTATATAGCTATCACCTGAGAAGCATCTCATCGCTTTTACAGTGCAAAACAAAATATTGAAGATGCATTGAAAGTGAATGGCAAACATCTCGGAAACGCTGATCTTTGTCTAACTCGATCTGGCTCAGTGAATATCTCTCCGGTCATATCAGATATCCAGCGTCGCGCTTTGCACCGTTTGTTCACGAAAAGGAAAATTGGCTAAAAAATAGCAAGTGGGTTACCTTGCCCGAGCACAACTGAATAATGAAGTTTTTCCTGTCAACTGCAGCCGCTGCACTCCACTCAGTGACGGACACTCACTCGCGGGTTATGACGCACAGTGCCAGCTTCGTGACGTGAAGATTCATTACTGTGACCCCTCCCTCTCCTAGTGAGGAAGAATGTTAAACCGTTGTCCTTTGGAAGACTTCAAGCAGTCCAACACCTAACTTAGCTGTTTCCGAACGATGGTTTTTTAATTAAGCTCGCTAAATTTTACGCTCCTTCTTTAGATTAACAATTGAGAGTGGATTTACTAGTCTCCTTCGCAGTCGATGTTGGCCTGGTCACCCAACAAACCCTTCCTCCTTAGGCGAGATATGCGTTGCGTGACAAGAAGGGAAAAATGCTAGGAAGTTGAACTAAGTTTATTTTATGCCTTTGCTTTTACGAACATGTGGTCAAGCAATGGCACAAACAAAGAAAAGACAACAACAACAGTTGAAGTCAGTCTTCCCACGTAAATGTACGATGCTCAACCTCAATCAGAATATCAAATCAGGGCTTGACAATCCAAAAAAAAAAGGGTTTGCATTTTGTTAAATTATGCCTGCCTCCTCTTAAGCAGTCAATTTTCTATAGTTTCCCCCTTAAACTCTGTCGGTGACGACTGCCCCCCCCCCTCTGTTCTCCCTGCCCCCTCCCCCCCCTACGGTAATAAATTTTGACTGGTCCCTAGGCCAAGTAATTTTTCGCCATTTGTTTACACGAGCGATCGAAAAAAATCTCTAGTTCACATCGCGTGAGAATTGGCCCTGTGCGAAGTTGATCACCAGATATTAAAGGCTCCTTATAATGGTTGTTCTTGTGGCCCTCAGCCCAAAGTGATTTTTTTCGCATAATGATTACAAGGGCAGGAGTAGACAACCCCTCGAAGTCATGCATCGTGAATCAGAAAATAGAGCTATATTTTTATTACTTAAAAAGAATAAAAAGCTGACAAAATTTTTTTTTTCACAAAATGTAAATAACAAGGACTTTGTCCTATAAAGCTGTCGATTTGAAATGCCTCGATCTTCATCGCCTGGAAGGGGGAGGAGAGGGGGGGTTGAAGTTCTTTTTTGGGGGGGGAGGTTTTCAGGGGGATCTAGGAGGTGATCAGCAGTCGCAAACAGAATATAAAGGGCGAATGTGAAAAATGGACTGCTAATAAAATGCAAATGAGGGGCGAGGGGAGAGGGGAGTTGTCGAATGAATATTACAGAAACTTACGGGAGGAACAGGTAAATTTTATCTTGACGAAACCAAAATCCTTCGCCTTCCTCTCCCTCCCCTCCGTAAGGCGCAAAGTAATGACCAGTCCCTCGGAGAATGTGTTCCTCTTCTTCTGATATTTACATTACATAAAAAGTTTGTTTGGCTAAGTGTATCATGTCCAATAAACGCTGAGTGCATTGCTTTTGTGTCTGTGCCGTGCATGCGTATTATTCTAACTAGAAGGCTTTGTCAATAAATGCTTCTTAAAACTATTCTTCGAACGTTTTACGTCGCCCCAATTATTCCCCGCTACAAGATTCAGTTGTTTGTCCTCAAACTATGTCTTAAGAGTCTTAATTCCTGAATCACATCAGCTTGTGGCTGCCATATCCTAACCTACTTATCGAAAAAAAATATTAATATAGCGATAAAAAACCTGAAAATTGTTATCGATGATGCCACCGAAGCTCTATCGAATGTTATAAGCCCCTGGATTTTATTACACAATGTAAAACCTACAAAGCATGATCTATTTCGTGTCATCGTTCTGTTAACTGTCTGTCTGTCAGTCTGTCTGTCTGTCCGCCTGCCCGTCTGTCGATGTGTTGGCCTAGCCTGCGTTTTTTTTGGCTTCCTATAAATGTCCTATCGATATTCCTAATCATCTGTTGGCTTCATTAGCTCTATCTCATCAGGGTCAATCGCGACGGCTTCCCTCGACGTACCATTTTCATGTTTGGTTTCTTGGTTTTCGTCTTTTTCCTTTTCCTTGAGCAATTTCTCGTCCTGTTTATTGCGATTTTCGTCATCATCCTTCAGTTCCAATTCTTCTCCTTTTTCCTGATGCTCTCCGGTCGGTGGCACCTGTACGCAGCTGAAAAACAAGTCGGTAAACAATGAATTTTTTTCTTTAATAACGAGGCACATGCATTGATTCACTGGTTAATACGATGGATTCCGGATTAAGTGGTTTGGTTTCTGCCCGAGCCCACAACAAGGAACTCACGGGAAAACATGACAAATATTATGTAGGGTAAAATGACAAAAACCCTTGTTCACTTCATACTGAGGAAACCAGTCATGTTCGAGCGATATGAGCCAATCGGTTCATGCGCAAGGGTTAAGCTGCACAGTTCTGATAAAGAATGAATGGATGATAACATGCCCGGACAATTGCTGATAGCTTTTTAAAAGATTTTTGAGACATTGGATTCTATCTTTTTTCGTAACCTCAAATGACTTATCATCTACTGTTCATCGCATTCACTAGCTTCAAATTACTGAACGAAATCTCTTGCGACTACGAAGAAATGTTTACCTACCTGAAGACACAGAAAGGAATTAACTTTATGGCGGCGCATAGAAGGAACACGAAACCTCCGAATGTTAGGTGGAGAGTGCGTTCGTATACGCTGTTGAAGAACATCATGCCCAGGTTTAGGGAGAAGATATTAATGATGCCAATGGTACAAAACAAGGAAGCTATGACAAAGAGATAAGCTGTAAGGTTTTAGATGTTTTATCAGGTAAAAATGGATTGATCAGTGAAAAGTGGATTCACAAGGAACGGTTGACCAAATCTCTGGTCTTAAACTAAGTTTCGTTGACATTTTTGCTTGCAGTTGTTTGACTTTCTGAGCACTATTGTAAGCTAAATTCTACTTTGTCTTTCCATTCGTCTTTCTTTCCTGTTAATTGGTCTATTGTTTGCCTATTCCTGTCTGTCACTCTGCCTGTCCTTCTGTCTGTCTTTCTGTCTTTCTTTCCTTTTTCGTCTGTCTGTCTATCTGTCCGTTCGTCTGTCTGTCTATCTGTCTTTCTGTCCGTCTATCCGTTTGTCCGACTCTCCTTTCGTCTCTCAGTCTATCTGTCTGACTGTATGTCTGTCTATCTATCAGCTGTCTCACTGTCCACCTTTTAATCTGTCTATCTGTCTGTCTGTCTACCTGTCCATCTGTCTGTTTATCTATCTGTCTGTTTGTCCGTCTGTCTGTCTATCTATCTGTCTCTCTATATGTTTGTCTGTCTGTCTATCTATCTGTCTGTCTAACTGTCTATCCGTTTGTCCGTCTGTCCATATTTATCTCTTTCTGTGGTTGATCACATCACTCTGGTTTTTGTCATTATCGCACTAGCAGTGAACCCTGGCTGGTTCGTCTCTTTTAAAGTTGTCTTTGTTGATTTACAGCCGTACATACCTTGCTCATCATCACCAACTATCCGTGACAAAATACTCGTAATAATGGGGTAGGCAGATGCTTTAAAGCAGCCCAGTATTGGTGCTGAAAGGAAAGAGGAGTTCAATAACTTCAAATACCTATTCGTAGTGATGGTGTGACACTTACTCTGAAGAAGGCCAGTAATGTGTCTTTCTTTTCAACTCTAATAGAAAGAGAGAGAATTTAAAACAGGAAAGGAACAGCGTCACTGGACGTCCTCTCACTGGCAGCAATAGGCCTCATGGTTACTATAAACGTCAGTACATCCAATTCTCATCCCAAACCTTGCTTAGGATTGGTGAATTTTAACAAGAAAGTATTCATAAAGCATTGGGATCGGTAGAAAATGCCCGTGAAAAAAGGTAACATTCAAGGAATATGTGTTTCACTCTCAATATCTCATTAGTAATTATCCTTACTGTTTGCCATAAAATACTTATGATGTCAATTTGGAGAATTTGGTATTGGATCAACCTGTAGTTCCCTAATTGAGTTTTCCTCTTTGTTCTCATCACTTGTGTGCTTGTGTGTATTAATATTGTAAGGAGAAATTCTTTCTCAGTCACTCATGGGAATTAAAGGGTTGATTTTTAGCAAAGGACGTAATCCCCACGTATATTAAAGAGCCACTAAGCTTTGAAGAGCGACAATTTTCGACGAACTCTCAGCTTTTTCCAGGTTTAACCTATCGAAAAGTTCACGAGCCCCTCCGGAGCTCATCTCAGTTTCAGCAGCATGAAATGACCAGGAGTATGCTTATTATCTCTAGCTGAGATGCGTATTCATCGCGAGACTACTACCCAGCAATTCGCACCGTTTATCCCTCGGTGGAAAGAGACACTGCGAGGGCAAAGTGCTTTTCCCAGGAAAAGAACACAGTGACCTGCCAGGCCTTGGACCCAGATATTCCGACCCAGAGCCCAACGCGCTGATTTTCCTCTTTCACTCATTATACTCACCAGCAAAAACCAACCAGGTGCGAGTTGCGAACGCCAGGAAAACCATCTCAACAATCTGACTGACAACTGATATCCCACATGTAGTTAACTCGCTGAAAAACTTTCCGAGCAACTTGACACCAACGGCTCCTCCCAATCCATCGAAGAACATTCTACATGCCAAAAAGTACCCAACGAGTTTAGGACCAAAACAGAGGGGGCTTCTCATGACGAAAAGATTAGTTACACCTTCAAGGCCCATTGTCGTTAGGGTGAGAATGGCTACAACGAAAACGAGTAGAAGCAAACTTTTCCTTCCGACTTCCCTTTGTTTTCTAAATATGTTAACAAGAACCTTTAAGCTCTTGATATCGAAGAAATTGTGTTTCTCGTGGGTGGCTTTCTCGTGGCTTTCCGGAACTAGGAAGATAACCCAGAGGCCACATATTAAATAACATCCCAGGCTGAACCACGTTGGCACGATAAAGCCGAATCTATGGATCCAAAAACCACTGGTTAACTGGCTCACGACACCTATCATAAAGACAAGCATCTGCATGATGGCTGCAAAATAAGAGCACATGTTAAATATACCATAGAATGTATTGTAGCTCTAAAGAGTGCAAGCGACTACAATCCAAACCAAACTTAACTCGTATGATTGTATTTTGCTTTGGATTTAAGTTTATAAATAGGTAACCATATGAAGCTGTTTACTTTCAGTTATGGTAAATGTTATAATGATCTATTCACCAGTCAACAACTCTAAGGAACCCTTCTGTTTAATTTGACGTCATATTTTCCCCGGGATCTGCGGGGATCTGCATACTACGCATAATACAACCCTTCGACATATGAGGAGTTTGCCATGCTAGATGCGCTTCAGGTCGTTTATAAAAAATAAATGTGCTACGCCCCCCTCAACCGCCAAGTATCACTCATGTAAATTTTCCTTACCAAGCCGAAAAGCAACTTCGTTCTTTTCAGTGGTATCAGCAATATACGCCATTACTGCTAAGGAGAGGGTCGGTAGAAAACCAGAGAGTCCAGCAAGCGCCGAGCCGATAAACATCACGTACAGCGGCCATTCAAAGTACATGACCATGAGCATGACCACATTGCCAAGAAATGCACCAATGGCAGGAGCAAGGAGCGCGGGTTTTCTCCGCCGTGATTTGTCAGTCCAGGGACCCCAAAATGGTGCCACGATGAGCGCAGGAATGGTCGAGAAGAATGTGTTTCCTGTGATGATTTTAGTTGCCAAACTTTGTACCTGAGGAATGGAAGTTTTAAAAGAGAATCAAATGTTGATTTGGGACGCTCCATTTTTACATTATTTGTAATGGTCTAGACTATCCCACTATGACAGGGGGATATTATCCTCCCATAATGCTATTTGGTATTCTCATGATCACACCCTATAATTGGCAGTCAGTCTTTTGACATCTTACCTCTTTCTCTATATCCCCCAAAGTATTGTTTGCACCAGCGAAGTGTACTTGACATCCTAGGCCCTCTTTTTGTAACAGCAACTGTTCGTAGGGGAAACCCTTTAACTTGCTGATGACGCTGTACACATACTGTCCTAAAATCGGGAAGCTCATCATCAGACCATACGCGTAGAAAAATATCACGGGCTCAACTGTGAGGTAGCGTCTCCATGTTGGAAGCTTTTTTCGTAACATCTTGACAATAAGTCAATCTCCTCAAGAAGACATAATTCACTAGATAAATCATGTGTTGATAAAATAGTGCTGTGACATATATATATATGGTCACGAGTTATAGTTTGTCCTAGTACCTTAAGCACCTTGGTCGGAATCTTAAGAATCTTTGCGGTGCCCTCCTGAAAACATTTCTAAGCGTGCTATTTTTCAGGAAACCACCCCAATCGTTAAACATAATTATCCTATTTGTTTGAAGTGGGGTATTTCGTCGAGGTCACACACCGAGCTTTGTCTCCTAAAGGTTAAAATCATGTTCCGCCTTCTCAGAGAATTGTATCAATACCGAGCTCATACTGTGAGCTATCAGCAACCAAAACAAGCTGCAATTACGTCGATAGAGCTTATACTAGATCGTTAGCATCGTCCTCTGAATCGTAAGAAAAACAAAGCCATTCAATCCTCACGATTGCGTCTCCGAAAGAACCTTTCAGTGGAAATTCACTTCGTGAACACTTTTGACTGCCGTCTACTTAAGACAAAGCCTGGCTCCTGGGTATTTAGACGCTACGATCGCCGTTGAAATCGCATTGAAAAAATCGCCATGGTGCTTCAGCCACACAACAGAATGTTAATGCTTTTTTTATTATTACCGATCCACGCAAATTAAATACTTCGATAGTGAATGATAAAATTACAATATTTTCAACTATACAATTGAAATTTAGCCCACCGTACGGTGATATACGATCCGTTAAGTTGGCCAATCACAGAACAAGTACTAACTAGAGATACGATAAACTGCAGTTTACCCTAAACTCGACATTACTATTAAAATTCTATGGTAATTAGGTACGTGTCAGTTAATGGATATAATGAACATGAACTGGTGCGTGATGTATGGCAGGAACATGTTCAGGCAGGACTCTGAGAGATTATGCAGGACAGCGTTGCTAGCAGCTCCACGATTGCGATCCACGCAAATTAAATACTTTGATAGTGAATGATAAAAATTACAATATTTTCAACTATGCAATTGAAATTTAGCCCACCGTACGGTGATATACGATCCGTTAAGTTGGCCAATCACAGAACAAGTACTAACTAGAGATACGATAAACTGCAGTTTACCCTAAACTCGACATTACTATTAAAATTCTATGACAATTAGGTACGTGTCAGTCAATGGATATAATGAGCATGAACTGGTGCATGATGTATGGCAGGAACATGTTCAGGCAGGACTCTGAGAGATTATGCAAGACAGCGTTGCTAGCATCTCATAGAGTGACAGAACACTAAGCAGTTAGGTCTGGAAATGTTTCAAAAACCTCAATTGTTACAAAATCTTTAACAATCATGGATTTCGTGGGTCATGACTTATTAAAAAATGAAATTTGTATACAAAAGTAATTATAAACATTTGAATATAACGTCATTTGAATCATGAGCATTTTCTCCCGAGTTCAAAAGAAAGAGCTCTCTAACAGCCCTCTTTGCGATTGAAACATTTGCAGATCGCTTACACCCTGTATATGCCAAACCTAAAAGTCTCGTAATCACAAAAAACGGCAAAAAGAAAATTGATTTGCAGTCGCTTTGTTTTACTGTGACCGAGATTTTGCACGTATCACTAACATTCGGGTCATTGTAGGTGGTGATATGGGTTACCGTAATTCCAAAACTTCAGGGAAGCGGAAAATGTTCTCAGAACTGAATGAGGGATGCTGCAGTAGATATCTTTCCGATCATTCTGACTTACCTGATAATTTCGTTAGAAACTTACTTCTTGCTGGGATTAAATCAAATTGTTTTCCTGTTAAGGATTTATCGCTAGGTCAATAAGATTTGTTTTTATTATGCATTGTTACGTCATGTATTCCCACAAATTATTTCTCTGATCCATTGTTGTCAGATTGTCACCTTAGGTCTGTATTTAAATCAATTTGCATTTAAGGATGTTCATTCAACAGACAGACCTGAGATATTGATTGATGGATTCACACCAGGATTATTTATCTTTATGTCTGCTTCTATTTTATTTACCCTTCATATGCATATTCTCCATTCTGTTCTCTATACATTACCAAAGGTGCTAATAAGGAGAATTAGTTTAACAATCAAGAACCTCTTTAAGTGGTGATCATTTCCTTTCTTCTCCTTAATGCTCGGGGATGATTTTGTAAGAAGAAATAAGAGGTTACTCTTGGGGGTTAAATGGTTAACGTGCGTCAACGAAAATGCTGATCTTCAGTCAGCATTCACGGCAGAAAGAGAGGAAAGTTTCTTGTCCTTTCCTCTGCTGTAAAAAAAAATAATGATACCAAATTTCCATTGAACTTGATCTCATTTCCCAATTCCCCTTACTAAACAACGACGTGATAAGTTGATTTATTGAAATTCAATAATTACTTCATCAATCCCAACAAAGAGCTCTCATCGTGATCGAAGCCATCTTTGAGTGATGATATTCACGGTTTGTATGAATTTTCAACCCAGTTTCAAATACATCTCGAAATGCTTTTGTAATGCCGTCGATATTTATTGATTTCAAGCATGCTTTCTGTTCAATGCATGTTATTTTCTGGTGACCGCAATTTTGTCGGTCAGCCGTCTCCCACAACACTTTTTACGATGAAGATAAATCCGGAGAAAAGTGATTTTAAATCGCCGCGCCGAAGCCAGACGAGTTCTCCGCACAAAGCGAAAAAATTATCTCGAAAATAGAAATTTCAGATTGTAATTTGAAAAGTAATAAATCGACCGATTATCTTTGAAATACAAGTTAGTACATTTTAATCAAATAACTTGATTTTGCACGGAGAAAAAAATGCAGAAACAAACAAAAACAAAAAAAGCAAGCAAAAAAATTAAAATTTTGAGCTACTTTTGAGTTTCTGATTATTATATACGAAGTAGGCCATGGCTTTCACTAATCACGTAGCTTGAGGCAAAAAAATATTGTTTTGACGGAAATTGTGGTGCATTTGCGGGCTAAAGTGGAGATTTTGGCGGACTAAAAAAATGTATTTTAGCCCCCACGTACGCTTGCTTGCTTGTTCAGACTGTTTTCTTGACACTTTCTCAGTTTTTAATTTCTCAGAGCCCTCCAAAGTGATAATTATAGTAGTTGACTTTATGTTCGTGGGCATAAATATATTTTGAGCCCTTCTCAGAGCTCATTTCAACCCCCGGTTAGTGGCTCAGACTTAAACGAGGGTCTCAATGGGATTAACAGTTAGACGTAAGACGACCTGAAAATTTAGCCGCTCGGCGTAGAAATCGACGAAGTTTAACCGTTAGTTTGATTACCGCGTTGAGATTCCTGACTCTCCATATAAGTTCAGTTTACAACTCAGTTACGCTTGACTCATGTGGTCGAAGTGAACGCGTTTAAATATGTAAATGACGTTTTCAGTACATATACTTATATAGTATAGAAAGGTTAAAACAAAGTCAGGACGTTATGTTTTGGGCATTCTTTCTTTGAAGTAAACGCTGTGTAATTCCAAACAATGATACTTAAACATTAGCTAATACCCCAGCTTATATTGCGTTGTAAATAACGCGACGGGTGTCTTTTCAACTGCGTGTAGCGGACTTTTATTGTGCAAGGCGATCGTACAATAGCCGGTAAACTCAATGACATTTTTTTCATGTTATCTCGCCAGCAGAAACAGTCAGAGTTTATCATGATAACTTCTAAATTTGGCAATTCGACCTTTTGCCGTATTGAAAACTGTCAAATACGCTTTTACTTACTACAGATAACTCGGATCACAAGTCGCACTCTGATGGAAACTGAAGCACTGCGAATATCGTCTTCGAGTGAACACTGTCGTATGGCCCAGTAAAGTTATTCGAAACTGGTTAAGGTAAGACAAAACAAAAGCAAATTACTTGCAGCTTTCGCATTTGTCGAAGGCCTCTCAAGTCGATTATGATCGCTCGACAAAATCCTGATCGTTTCTTTTGCTATAACCTCCAATCCGAAATTCGATTTCGGTAACACAAATCTTTCTTGGCAAAAAGTTGCACAGAACAGATTGTGTATCGACATAAACCTTATTTTACAGCTCGTATAAGTTTCCGCCGATTCAGTTTTTATCAACCTCAATTTTTTCCCCAAGGTTTTTGTCGTTATACCCGTTCGATATATTTGCCCTTTTCTCTTTTCAAATAGTAATAGAGCATTTATCTCGTATATACTTGGTAGTATAATTTGTAATGTAAAAGTTATCTGCTCATTTCAACCTCTCGTGCATCATGAAGAGAGTTAGAGACGTTTGACTAACCGGAAAAACTCCACATGCTTGAATGACTGAACAACTCGGGCACAATACAGAAGTTCCATCGACGGGGACTGCATGTAAAATCCACTAGTTTATGAGAGAGCCATGGTGAGTTTATCAATAACTGTAAATTCAACGTTAAATTTTTCAGTGTGCGTATGACAACTTAGCTGGAAATTTAAATTTTTTACGTTCAGACTAATCTATGCTTGAATGTGCATTATCCTAAATATAAACTTAAAGGCAGTTAAAACTCACATCTTCTATATTTCGTTTTTTTATTATTATTATTATTATTATTATTATTTTTATTAAAGAGATGAAGAAGACAACGTCCAGGAATCCTTCCTCAGGCAAACAAAGCCATTCACGTAAGACAAAATATCAGACTTGTTGTTTATTATTTCTTGGCTTGTCTAGACTTAACGTTTTATTTCCACATTTCCACATTTTTACATACTCTGACTGCAGTTCCGTTCTTTCTGTTGTATTAAAAATATTTTGATAAGTTACTCGCAAACTAAAAAAAGAAAACTTCTTTCAAAAGAGAGTAAAACAAAACGCAATATTCTTCTCGACCATACACACATTACTTTCGGCATATTGTTACGTAATATATGAAATGACTCACCAGAGCGTATCGGATCACGAAATCCGAGGGTCTGCCATTTCGTATCCAGCGGTTGTTTTTCCACTTCACGGAGTAACAGCAATAGGCAGTCGCCATAGACGCGAATAAACTGGTTTCTTTCGTTGATATTAAATTGGAACTAAAGGGACACACTTGACCAAGCAAAAGATCATTTACAGCTTATAGTGGCTAAAGTATTGGGCAGAATTCTATTCAAAACACCTAAATATGTTTAAAACATAACTTAGACCATGTAATGCATAATCGGCCCCTGCTTAGACACAACGTGCCCTACGATTGATCACGAGTCTATATCAGTGATTGCACCGGTATAGAACAGTAAAATATCTTCCTGTTTTGAGGAATGGTGCCACACGGAACGAATTCACGGTTTTTTTTTACTTATCTGTTTACCGAAAGCCTTTGGTTTAGAGGAAATAAAGAGGACACCTTGAACGTCACGTAAACCACCCGCCTCCAGCTGGTATAGTTTACAAACGTTTCTCGTGTTCTTCCAACATCCCGCGTAGTTTAATACGCCGGCGATAAACCGTCAGAGAGTGTGGTTTGTTGTTTAAATGACCGTATGGGTAAAGTCAAACCTATTTTATTATAGCAGTCTATAACACGTAATCTGGTGTTGTCACGGTGGTTGTTGATGTTTTGTTGTTTTTATCGTTAATTTTCCCCACCGCTTCCACTGGCACATTAATTCCGATTTTCCTCGTCTTCTTTCTCTTCTTTGGGACAATATAATGTGGTAAAATTTACCTTTTAAGATTTGGAATTGTGAAAAAGGTGCAAGACAAATCTAGTTCAGGTTACAAGCAATCGTCGCCCACACTCTTCAATCTGTGTTTCAGTGAGACACTGGATTATTGTGAGAATAACCTGTACAATTAGGAGTAAAGTTTATGTTTACGAGGAGAACCGCCTTACTAATGACGGAGAAGGCTTAAACAAGTGATCATCTAAAGCCAAAAAGTAGCCGACCTACTAATCAAAAACTTTGCAAAAACCCTTTAAATAAGTCTGGGTGAAAAGTCAAACTGATTTTGTAGCAGCACTGAGACCCACACGTCGCTATAGTCTGTAAACAAATTACAGCTAATACGCGCAGTAAACATAGCAGATTGCATGCAACCATCACCCTGTTAATGATGAGAATACCTGTGTAACTTACAACTGACAGATATTTCAATAGTCTCGCAATCTTCCAATTATCAGCTAATTAGTTGATTGTAACCTTAATTGACGGCTTCCTAATTTATTTATTACAGTTATTGTTATTTTTTTTAGTGATACTGTCAGTAATCTTATTTCGCTCGTTCCTTAAATACACTAAAGCTCAAGATACAGCTTTTAATTACACAGGAAGAGTCTATTTTTGAAAGGTTTGGCATGACTCATAATAACGACTGCTTATTAAATTAGTGAAAAAAATTGAGTGAAATACTGGACTAAACTCGGATAACTGAACTAAGAAGCGGCGTGCACCATGGAATCAGCGTTAATCTTAAGCTTCTTCGAATGGCAGATACATTCATGCTTGGCGCAGCCTTGAAAAAAGTGAATCGCCCGCTCAATGGCAAAAACCGCCGCACACGAAAACACTGTCAGCTGTAGCAAAGTCACTAAGCTTCGTTTTGCTCTTGATTTTTGAATATTCACAAAATCCAATCTTGCCTGTGATACTTGAGATAGTTCTTTCGGTCGTCTTTAACTAAGTAAGGAAAAATCTTCCATTGGTCTTGGCTGAACGCAATACAAGCGATCGCATTTTTTAATGCAGTTTTAACCCTTGTAAATTAAACTGAACTTTCTCCTGCGAGATAGCCGATAATCCAAGGGCTATTCACATACTTGAAATATTTCATCATTGTGTTTTGCTGACAGGCTTCGTAATTAGCTCATCATAGGGAACGTCATTTTTACGCAACGTGATCGCTTCTGCTGGAGCATAGCATCAGTACATTTCGGATGTGACTTTACAATTCCTGCACGAATAAATCGTCAGAGTGGGTTGCAGTGATGCCTTTGAGAAATGGGCAAGGTATGTTGAACTAAACACCGCTACCTTTTGCTAATCAGCGTTTTGATATGTGTAACGTTTTGCAGCTGGTGGTGGGACTCAATTGGGAAGCAAGCGGACTATAGTATGTTAGTTTCACAGTCAGATGTTGTACAAATTTCTTTCGATATGAACCAAGAATGCTGCAGACTTCGATCAGTAAAAGCGAACACTTAGACGACTTCAGTCGTCACTTAACAGCACAAAGTTAGCCATTGAACTCTGAAAGAGAAAACAGAGGATTTATCTTACATATTGGTTGATTTGGAAAATGTACATGCTTTAAAACATGTGCCTCACAAACTTAAACCCAACTCGAAGTGTATTAATGCAAAATGTCTATCTCTTGAGGCAAACTTTGTTTTCGTCATTGTTGTGTTTGATCTGAGCAAACAGTTTCGGTTTCGCAGTAATTTCTTTCAATTATAATTAACTGCAGCTGCATACACTCGCTATCAGATTGAGCGGAGATGACGAATCATTCCGCAGCCGTGATATCTCCCTTCGCTCACTCAGGCGAACAGTCTTTGCCTTGCTTGGACTTTGAAAACACTTGATACTTTGGCTCTCTGTTTCGATTCAACCTGGACTGCTCTGGGTACTCTACACTCCTGGTGGCTTTCCAATAAGCAAAAAATTATGTAATCACATTCATGTTGTTATTATGCTCGCCATTTATTGGTGGAAATCGTCCTTGTTCATTTCCGACGTATGAGAGCCAAATCTTTTGAGCTAAACCACGATTTTACATATGAATACCGATGTCTCCAGCGAACAGTCATTAAATGTTACCGGCCCATTTATGTCGTACTTCCTGTCGCACCCTTCTGAAGAGCAAAGATCACTGTTATTGCAAAATTGATCCAACCACTTGATATGAGAGGTTTCAGCGATTTCATAACTGCATGTAAAGTATATAGATCTCTTTTTCGTCGGCTAATCTGATTTCATTTGACTTATTGAGATTCCAGATCTCAAAACTGAATAAGAAAGGTTTTGAAAGGAACTCACCGTTCTTCTTGCTTCTTGGTGGGCGCAAAGGACAAATCACTTTGTTCTTCTTTGTTGTGCGATTTGCGCAGATCATTTCTGATATCATACAAAAATCCCATGTTTAACACACCTTTGTTTCTTTAGCAGACTAGTCTTCCGCGTAGATCAAGCTTTTCCTGAAGCTGAGGCGAATTTTAATTTGCCAGTGCTATCAATTGCCCGCCACACACCTCTGTTGCTCAGATTCGATTCCCGAAGTTATGCGTCGATCAATTCGAAGCTTCAACATCCACCCCCGAGAAACCCCTAAGCATTAGAACTTTTGAAGATTGGATCGTTCAAATTCTACCCCCAACCCCTCGCTGGGCCAAAGTTGTGCCGGATTTGATGGTCACTCTTTTTTTCGTAAAACAGGTGTAATCCACTAGGAAGACTTGACAGTTCGGGTTCAAATTCCCCACCCCACCCCACCCCACCCCCATCCCAAATTCCCCAACCCCCACAAATGCCCGTGTGTTGCCCGGAGGGGGGAAGGTTGAAACTTCGAATTGATCGCCGTATTAGCGTTACCTGTAGGATTCTTCTATCAAGGATTCTTGTCACATCAACTGTCATTCGATCGTGCGCAGTCGACGACGAACTACTTCGCGTCTACATGGTTGCGCATGCTTTCTATGGTGTTCAAGGGTTCACTCCATATACTATGGAGTCAGCTGGATAATTATTTGATTTATCTCCTGTTGGTCTTGGCAGCATAAACAGACCAGAAAATGGGGATCAACGCTTCCCTTAGCTTTACTTTTTCTTGTAGTCGCGTTTTTTTGAACAGCTAAAGTTCACCTTATCACTTCTCCCATAACGCTGTATATCTACGTATCACTGTCTAAGTGATACCTCTGTGTCTTCCAATTAAGAGGTTGGTGAATTCTCAGCAGCTGTTGCCGTCTACATAATGAAAACATTACTGTACCCATCTCCTGGTTTTGATTCGAAATTAAGTCGTGGCTTTCAATGTTGAGGTGCGTTCTCTCTAGATGCCGTTCTAAAAGCAATTCGTTTCGTCGAAATTTGGAATTATGTTAAAGGGGATTAATTCGATAGCCTCTCATGCTTTCACTCTGTTATGTGCTCGTAGCACGTACGATAGAAGTTTCTAAGGGTTGGAGGTCATTTGCCTTGGAGGTTCCTCTGATCATTTATAGACAAACGTTATTAGTTCCATACCAATTTTATTAGACAAGGCTTCCTTCAGCGTTTGCGACGACTTTTTTCGCTACCAATGAACTTTGAAAGAAATTTCCTTAAAAACACGAAAACGTGAAAACGTGAAAACGTTTTCTTGGGGTTTATTTCCTTGTAATGGACGCGGAAACGCTGCAAGAACTTATGATTACTTCCCTCTTGGTCAACTGTATTCATTTGATTCACGTACCTGACGCTGCTCTGTCTGTCATAGTCGGCATTAGGCAACGGTGAGTTCACTTGTATGTTTATGGACTACTCTCGATTTCGACATCTTGGAGCCTAAGAGCAGTGATAAATGCATTGCTAGATATTACTCAACGCCTTATTAATCCTTTCCTCTCCGTACTGTTTGCCATACATTTCTTATTCTTTTAGATCTGAGAATTTGATGGTCCGTTTAATGGTATTACTGATTTGATAATTTCTTCACT